ATTATCCAGTAATGTTTATTAATAGGTGCAAAAGTAAATTAACGCCAAGACCACTCGTTTATTCGGTTTCAAAGAAAAACGTTTATATCTATCTACCAAATAGAGGTGAATTAAACAGTATGGTTTTAAGTAGAGATTGAAAGCAGCTATCGAAAGAACCTTTTATGCTATTAATTTGGTTGTGACTGAAATATTTAAGCCTATGATTCCAAATAGACCTAGACAATGCACAAATGATTACGTCACATCCCATGATATTTACCAATTTACATGTTTGTGTGGACACAAATACATAGAGAGGAGTAATCGAACGATTCGATCAAGGGTCATTGAATATGCGCCTAGGTGGTTTCGAAATCAATGTGTGTCAAATGATCCTATCAACGTGGAAGGTAGAAAACCAGGTTCATCGATAGTGAAACATATAACTGAAACAACGCACGACATTAATGGAGCTTTTAAAATGTTGTATAGAAATTTCCAAGGACGAATTCTCAGGTTTGAGGAAGCCTTGGCTATTCGTAAATTTAACCCCCCCCCTTTTGTGTACAAAATCAATTTGTCGTAACCTTGAATTTACTCAAAATAACGCGATAACTTCTTATTCTTCCTATACGATGTAAAATTGTTTCTCTCCCCCTTTGTTACTTTTTTACTTGAACTTTCATTTAATTGACTTTTATTTATTTTCATATAAAATACCCTGACAAGTATACGTATGGCCAGATTCTTCGAAATGTATAGCGCAAATACATCAGATTTTTCAGATCAACTCAGTCTTCTCATTATTCTATCGAAATTTATAAGACGGGATTAATAGTTTTAAACTTCAATACTCCGTGGAAGATCGAGAACTCACTCTGTTTATCAACTATAAACCTTTCAACTTTCTAAGCTCGTCTTCATATAAGTACTCCCCTCGAGAGTCTTGACAACTAGACCAGATTTCGCAGATATACGACATATTTCTGCGGCAGACGATATAGTTGTTTACGCATTGTCCCGTATAACATCCTTTAACGGTTTACACGGAATCGACCTTCTTAGATTCATCCATCTTCAGAAAGAAGGAGACAATCTTCATCACGATTTGTCATCGATAATCCTGAAACTAAGGGTCAAACAGATGAGAACAGGAAAGAAAACCTTAATTTGTGACACCTATACATGTACGGATCCTTCAACGTTGCCCAAGCTTTCTCGTACAGGTGTTTTTGAAATCATCAAGCTCGTAGCAGAACGATTTTGCTGGCCAGATATGAATAAATACATAAGGGATCTGGCTCGTGCCTACGTAAGCTGACAGAAATCCAAATCGATTAGACAAGACAAATGTCCCTTTCAATACTCCCGATGCCCGTTTCGACCATTTACATCTGGATTCGGTAGGACCTTTGCCATATTTCAATGGACACTCTTATCTCTTAACTCGTGTAGACTGTTTCATTTGATGTCCAAAAGAAGTACCCATCAAGGACACTGAATCAGCGGTCCACGCCTTCGTCGAACTATGGGTAGCAAACGTCTTCTGATTTTCAACTATCACCACAAGCCATGGACACTTGTTCTAATCTGGACTTTTCCGTTATCTACCTACTCTATTAGGAATCACGCGATTCCAAACAACCGTCTATCACCAATCAGCAAACAGTTTGGTAAAACGCTTTCACTAACAGTTGAAGGCCCTACTTTCAGCCGCAAGCATTTCACAATGGGCCAACGCTCATACACTCGTCTTACTCGGTATTTGCAATGTCGTGAAACCTGGCGTCGGATATGCTGAAGCACAACTCGGTTATGGAGCAACACTCCAACATTCAGGAGAATATGTAGCTTCTCCGTCTTCTTCAATGAATAGGGATCTGAATTATTACTTAAGCACGCTTACAAATGCAATGCGTTCATTTAAACTTGTCTCCACCCGATCACAATCAATTGACGTTTTCATTCAAAATGCCTTACGATACCTCACTCAATAATCAAAAATCTAAAAACAGGCTTGATACCATGCGTTATGGAAGAAGATCAAAGCCTCCGGGTCAATTAGACGAATACTGAACCTAGGACGCTACTTAAAATTTCGCTTTATTGCGATTTCTTTTTGTATGATTGTGCCAAAAAGCAAAAAGTCAAACATTTTTCATATGCTCGTATAAACACGTGCATATTTATTTTTTCAAAAAAATCCAAAAATACCATTGTACTAAAATTGTTTTTAAGCTATTACATGTTAACCGATTTCATGTGTAGCGGCTCATTTTCATTTATTTATTTATTATCAGATTTTGTCCACTCGTTTATATTTTTCCAACCTTTTTAAAAGTATCTGAACGCTTCCTATCCTGGAAGTTTTTTTCTTTAATAAATGTCTTTGACCTCTTTCATTTTATTTAACAGCGATTTAGGTCTACATTATTCTTATCACAACTAGTACACCTGTTATAACGGTATTAATTTGTACTTTATACTTGCTGTTTATTTATGCAATAGATCACTTAATCGTAAAATATCTTGAATGGTTTTTATGATCTCACAAACGCACTTAAGCATTCATGTTTATTAGTGCGAAATCTGGTGAGAATCTGATTGGAAATGATTTTGTTTCCTTACACATGTGGTTCTAAATCACAATATGGGAACTCCTAATGATTTAGTCAAAGAAGGCTGAAAAACATAAAAATATAGCTGCACAGGTTCTAGATAAGCTAACACAATGTAGACAAATTTGGTGTCCTGTTTGAATGGCTTGAGCTTAATGGAGTTAAACGGGAAGACTGTGACCTTCTAGCTTACATCAAAGCCATAAGTCGCGATCACTTCCAAACGTGTGTTTGTGGAATTCAGGTATAGACCGATACTAGTGCACTTGTTGAAATTATATCTACTCATTGCTGTATAGAGATAAAAAAGAATTCAAGGCGGTTGTGGTAAACTTGTATTACGCGATGTGCGGAACAGGTGAGGTTCAAAATCTTCATATAAACACAAAAAAACCCTCAACATTCATTGTGAGAAACATAGTGCCTACACAAAATAAGAAAGTAAATAATTACTTTAACCATAATGTTTTTATCCTATTAAATATTCGCGGCTAATTCTCGATCACATAGCTTATGCTGTTGAAGCTTTTTATCTTGTGATATCCATGTACTGCGGCCACTCTGACTAATTTATGGAATTAATGAAGAAATGTATTGCTATGACATAACAAATGCATAGTTCAACCAATGACGCTTTCAATAATCCATGGCGTGCAGTTGGTGATTCCGCGTTGGTCGTCTTTGACCTTGACGATGCTCCATAGACTGTATAACGGTCAGTGACATGTCGCTCCAAGTAGAAATAATTCAGCCCGATAAGAAATTTAGCTTTGGCTTGATGACTCTTAACTGGCTAAACGGTACAAAACTGGGAGAAAAGTCCAAACAATAACACTGTCAAATAAAACTGTAGATGGATTTTTGGATGATGAATTCCATCAATTATAAACCTACGTGAATTTGTAATTACTTTTGGATAGGCACTTAAACGTTAGACATTGTGTGACTAGGGAATTATTATCCCTAAAATGACCCGAAATATCTCTCGGTCATTAGTGACCTTATACATAAGTACACTTATATCCAAGTCCTTGTTAATTCTGCTAACCATATTTTATCGTATAAATACTGATTATCACAGTCATTTATCCTTTACGTAGTCTCATATATGTCTGTTTGCTTATCTAATCCATCGCCTGTTTTTACATACAAACCAAGTAAGTTCTTAATCAAACAATCTAGATCAGGTCATTTACAATCCATTACATTACAGTTTCTCAGTGCTGGAAAACTTAACACAGAGTGCTCTAGCCATATTTCTCATTTAGCCTTTCATGTCGGTGGGCACTCCTTGTTCTATCGCTAAAAGAAACCAGACTAGTGGTGAATAGGTCTTTATTTTGATCGTGGAACAGAACAGTTGGAGCGCAAGATTACTTTTTCAAAACACTCAAAGTTTTTCATCATCCAATACGAAATAATATTAATTATAATGCCAATACAAAATAAGGAAGTGAATGAATGTATGAGCTATGATGTTTTGACACCACTGAAATGTTTGCGGACAACACTTAAACAATCAACCTAAGTTGTCACATCAGTTTCCTTCTAGAATCAACTTCCATAGGAATGTCTGTTCGATCGACTTACCAAACCAGAACAGGTCACTTCAGATTGCTTAGCCCGAATGAGAATTCATTCGATAATCGGATTTCGATTGATGACGACCAACACCCAATCATTACTCGGAGATACTCCATGGATGTTATATCATATATCGAAGTATTTGCATTCTCCCATGATTTATCGAACGTGCCTTCTTTATGAGGTTCGGAGGTTGCAAGGGAACAGAGGGTAAGAAAGTGGAACAAGAGTATCTATGGTAGTGCATTGACCAAATTTTTGTTGCAAGTAGAAAGACATATGACCTCAAGATCTGTTTTATAGCCTTTATAACTGGTTACTTCAACGAAGCAGCAAAGTAAACGAAGTCATTGTTATTTGGAATCGGGGCACTTTTGATACCTTCTGTCACATTTGACTTCACACTCAACTAAGTAAGTGGCAAACACGTCCTCTAAATCCCATAGTTGGCCAGCACATTGACTGTTCAAACTGAAATTGTTGGATTAAGTGGGAAATGCAGATGTCTATGAAAAATAATGTAGTACACCTACGTATTAGCAAAAAATGAGCTGGAAACAGTAGTGTGAACAGACAAAATGCGACAAAAATGGAGTATAGAAGTGAAAGGATTGAAAATAAAATTTTTAGATGTGATAAACAGAAAAGTAAACGTCCTAGAAGAGTGATCATCCCTAAAATAGTTTGAATGATGTCAGAGTTTTATTGAAAGGTATCAAAAACGACTGATATCAGATTTTTCTCATACAGTATTGTTTAAATTCAAAACCACGGCTACAACGAAGTTTTACTTTGAATTGTATTGTTTGAATGTGTAGCGGCCTTCGGTTCAGCACGTTTTGACTTTGTGTACCTATCATGTATGTTGACATTTCTGGTTGTGTTATATCAGTTTTTCCGTACAAGTTGACAATACTTAATCGTTTATTTGTCGAAACGGCTTCACTTGTGACGATGTTTTAATGGGAACAAAATGCTTTCTTTTTCAGGACTACGTTTGGTGCAAAGCTGGAACATCTTTTATGTTCCAGGGCTGAGATAATCAGCCGAATGCACAGACCCCCACCAGCTGAAGGGAATGATTTAGAACGCCTTCTGAACTTACCTCCGAACACAAACCCAGCAGTACAAGCGCCACCACCCAATGTACCAGTTTGGCCGGATGAACAGGCAGCAGCATTTTGTGCAGTTGCTCCTCCTATTGAAACATTCATGGATGTTCCTGATGAAATTCGCCGGGACCAATTTTATGCTGTAAGCCCAGTCTTAGTTCCGATTCAACCTTGGCTCAGTGGTTCCTATTATATTACATGTGCCGTGTGTGATTAGTGATTTAGTCATGTTTAGCGATCTTGTTAGGTAGTACTTAAAGTCCCTCACTTAACAGTACAGACAAAATTATGCGTTTTTTAGCGTGTGGTAGCGTGTAGGTGATGTTATTCTGTACAATTGAGTATACGCATAATTCTCCCCATAGACCATTGCTATACAGCGATGTTCTGAAATAATACTGAGTTGACCTTAGTTATACATTTATGGTCCAGAGGCATTTGAATCGCCTGACTACTTATTAATTCACCTTAACTAGGACCGCTAATGCAAGTGTGCTATTAGGTCGAGTCGGTAATGGTTATAAAATAAGTTGTTTCAGGGACCTTTTTCTGCGGGACTGTAATTCACGGGCAAAATATAAGCATTAAATCCTATACTTCAGCACAAAATCCATCCTTTTTTTACAGTTTAATAGCATTTTCAGTTTGGGATGGGGAGTAGTCTGGATGGTCTGTGTATGTCTTGGTTAGGTGATCTCAGTTGATTGAAATTTCTTTTGAAAGCGTCGATGGACGGTGTTTCAATCACATGTTAAGGTAGTGATTCTCATTCGTTGACTATTCGGTGTAAAAGTCGATAATCAGCCAAAAAGTAGTTATGGGCTTGTAAACTTTCTAACTGTTCTCGTAAATCCTGTTTTGAAAGACCGAAAATGAATGCTATGCAAAATCCATCATTACGTAATTAAAGAACTGTTATATAATCACCTCTGGTTCTTTTATGTAATAAGGGAAATTAATTTGGCTTATCCTGTCTATCATCATACTGGGGCTTTTAGGCAAGGGCTAGCAGTTAGTTTGGAATACTGGAGTTCAGGATGAACGTATACTGTATACGAAATCAAAACGGTTTTAGCATCGACATGGCTGAAGGCACTACGTATTGACCATAGTGTTCTAAAACCTTTGGGGGTTATCTCACGGCATTGTGCAGTAGTTTTTAAGTCTTAGCTATCGACGAATCCTAGGTCATTGTGCTTGACCAACAAGTAGCCTGGTGTTACTCACCCTGTATGTATCTGTACCTTGATGACCAGTATGTATCATCATGAACTTGAAAGCATTTATCAGCAGCTGCCAAATTTTAGACCATTTAAATAATTTTTTAGGTCATTTTGGAGCTCTAAACTATCACCTTTTTATCGCTCTCTAAATCTTGACATCGTGAGCATATAACAAAACCGATGATGATGGGAGACGAGGAGGGTCATTTACATGCAAGAGGAATAACACTGACCCCAAACCCGTGCCCTGAAACACTCCACTAAGCGCGATTTCCAAGCTATACAACTTTGAATCAACCCGTACGTTTTGTTGACTTCCAACTAGGAAGCCCTTAATCCACACTAATCAATTGCCTCCGATCTCGATATTACTTAACTTATGTAAAAACCGGTTATGAGGAACTGTCAAAAGCTTTGCTGAAGTCAATGTTGGCTACATCTATAGGTAACTTATCTTTAAGAGCACACCAACTTTCACGGGCTACTATTATGCTTATGAGACATGAATAACCTCTAGAACCATGGTATTTTTTAGAAAAAATCTAACATTGGTCTACATATTCAACTTTCGTATAAAGTCTTCTAAAATTTTGAAAACCATACTAGTTAGGCTTACTAGTCGATGGTTCTCAGGTTTCTCATACGCGTTCTGAATCTAGGACATATTATAACATTCTTCCAGTTCTTTGGTAGTCGACCCTGGACTGCAAATGGCTTAGAACATACGCTTAAAGCATTCGCAATAAAATTTACTTACTTTTTAGTAATTTAGGATGCATTTCGTAAGGTCCCATAGATTTGTCTATATCATGCTCCTTCAGCAGGCTGAATACATCGGGTTTTTTAATGGTTACATTGTCCAGTGTGTGTAGTGTTTGCATAAACCAAAGGAAAGGGCATTTATACGTTATTCATATTGCTGAAGTAATCTAAGGTTAACTGACCCTTACCATAATCGTCCTCCACTTATGATGCGATACTACTGTCTCCCCATAATCTTGTAATATTCGGTCTTCTAGTTTTTGGTTTATGTACAAGTACAAGCGTTTATGGTATTCTATAGATTCCTTAAAAAACTTTTCTCGCTACAATCTTCTAGACTTAATGTATTATTACTATTATTTGAACACATAGATATTGGTACAAAGAGGCACCAAATACACATGCGCCACACAAATCTCATTTGACATGTGTGAGGGCTGTGATACTGATCCAGTTCCAAAACCGAGGCATGTGGTTTTCTTGGGGGAGGGCACACCCGGAGCCTTCGGCCTAAAGGTCTGATCCACAAGGCAGTGGAGCATCATGAGATGCAGTCCCATGGTAGCCAGTGGCCAATAATTGGTTCATATGTCATTTTTTCCCCTCAGGATACTGGTGTCCATGTGCACCATTAGTTTGGAAGTGTGGTTTTCCAACTCTCCTAGGTGGACTCACAGTGTCCAAAGACCCGGTTAAAGCTCGGGACATTCGCTTTTCGTCCTCTGAATTTCGTAAAAAACAGTAATGCCACGAGAAGGCAATGAGCAGGACTTCCCTGGCAGAGGCTATATACTCGTGGCCATGTGAGAGCATTTCGAGAGGGAAAGCGGACTCTCCCCACTCTCGGCCGTACCAGGGCATTTGGGGGCTGACTTGCTGATAGTCGAGGCACAAATATTTTGAGCTTCCTCATATTGAGATTTTGTCTCGTCAGTATCCGGTAACCATCTCTCCCATATTCTTTTCTTTTTTCGAAAAAGGGTGCGAACCTCTATTAAACCACGGTGGGGAGTTCTTTGGTGTAGTTCAAGAGATGTCCAATGCAGTAATTTTAATATATAAATTTCTGGATACATCTCAAGACATTTCAATGGGGTGTCCCGATTCTATTGTCCAATCCACAGAGGATGCTAAGTGTATAATATCTTGTATATTTGCTTTCCAGATATTTGGGCTGACACATCGTTATTGACAACGATATGCAAATCAAGAACTAGAGCTGCATGATTACTCTTACCTAAGAGTGGTATATAATAAAGGCTTATTATGTCATCCCCTAACGGGTCAATATGCCATCTAGTAAGGATAATTTGGGGTCTGTGTTGTACCTAGTTGCTCCTCCCACATGTTGCACCAGGGAACATGCGATAACCACATCAACTAGTTTATGTTCGAAAGGATTTTGTGACAACCCAACCCTCAGATTTTTCCAGTCTATTTGCACCGTAAGTGCATTAAAACCGATCACTTGATGACCAAGTGTTAAGTCCGTTTAACAAGAACTCATCTCACAATTTGAACTATTATAAACCAAACCAATCAACAGCTCTTGTCCTTTGTATTTCGAGAAGCAACTAACTTATTAGCATGTTCCACTTTCATGGGATATGTTACCGGTTTCGGTAAAGGGGATAGTATTTCTGATGAATTGAACTACTCCTCCTGTTCACCTGCTTAAAATGAGTATTAGTTGGGATTCAAGCACAGTAATCACTAGAGCCCGTTCTTGATTTGTATACTAACTCCGAATTAGCCATGTCAACAATACGCTGTGAACTCTGTCTTAAGCGTGACATAATGGTTTGATTTATTTGTGCTTCCACTACGGAATAAAGCTCCTATTCATGTCTCTAAATGCTACAAATCAGTATAATTGTAAGATTATTCTCTTACAGTGTACGTATAGGGTCAAGAATACTTCGGCATTCTTTTTGATAATTTAACCTCGCTGTTCTGACGCGCGGCGATTCGGGTCAACATACTTTTGTGCCAGTTTCTCGCGTTGTTGGTGTCTGATTCGACAGATGTACTATCCTATGGCGTACCAAATAGTTTTATACTATTCGTAAGTGATGGATTAGTGACTAAAACAACCGAACTCTAACTAGTGACTCTCAGGTTTGAACGCCTCTTCAACTACGTTGGTTTAGACAGTCAGGTATCGTTATTAATCCTCGCATAAATAGCGTTGCTCTAAGTCGAGCACTTAAACAGGAATTCAATGAGTAAAAGCAATGTATGCTTCATAAACATTATATGTATTTTTCGTTTTTGTTTTAACTTCCATTTAAATGTTTTTTCTTACACTAGACATGTCGACGTGATGATGTATTAGTGGGTGTTATCAGTGTTATACAGGATTCCGGTCTTGTAGTCTCTGTCCTGGCATATGATCAAGGACCTCGGCGGGATTTTGAAGGTCTAAAGATCACGGTAATTGTTTTTACTAGTCTTTATATGTTCTTTATCAGGGCTTTTGTCCGTTGAGACAACTTCCGCGATATAATGCTCACGGAAACGCTTTGGATGCTTTTCAAATCGGTGACAAAGTTCGTGGTGAGTTGCCTACTTGTTGTGTTACTGATTATTTCTTAGGTTACGTGCGCTTCCTCACTACGTTATGTGCATAGTTTTGTGTACTAAATATGGTGTGTGTGTGTTCTAAGAGCTATTGACACTTTCCAGCTGCTTAGGAATAATTAAGGCATAAAACCACTACCTGGCAATTGAAAGTTTACTTTTCAAACCGTTGAAGCTTTAAAGTGGATATTGTCGGTTAAGTGAAATCCCTATAGTTCGTACCATTTGTTTTTGCTGAAATTCATAATACACAATTCTATGCCACAACACTTAACCATTCAGTAATTAGCCAAAAATGCAGCTCTATACTGTCGATCTGATGTCAACTTAAAATATAGTTGAATTAGTACTAAAGCCCGAATATTTCATGACTTTTCACTCTCGTTTCCACTCACTATTTACTTAGTAAATGACAAACTAGCAAAGTGGTCATTTCCCTACAAACCACGTTGACTAAGAAGTGATGTTCAACTTCGATTCATACACTGATAAAACAAATTTATTATTTTACATTTCCATTATAGCATTTATTCTTGACATTCATGGAGGTGGACGTCTGATATTAAGCATGAATGCGAAGATGCTTAATCGTGATACTTATGGGGATCTGAAACTTGTAAGTTAAAGTTGAAATACACATCAATATTCAACCCTTTCATTCTCCACTATCTCTACATGAATTCTTCCTTGTTTTTCTAGGGTATCATAACTGATGATGATATGCCTCTATATTACAAGTAAGTACACTTAATCATAAAAATAATATTTTTTTCAGAATTCAATCACAAATTTATCACGTATGTTTTAAAGGCACTATTGTGATGTAACCGATTCTTTGATACAAGTGGTCGATTTTTAATTGAGTTGATAGTATTGTTTTTCACAGTCTGGTTCACAAATTAGTCTGAGGTTACTAAACTACGCATCTCAGACGTAACATATGATGTAGTGCTGATATATCAGTTTACGTTGTCACACTTTACAGCATAACAAGAGTAAATTAAAAGTCAAAAAAGCTCAAAGAATTCAACTCCAATGTAGGGAACTGAAAAGACAGTATGAACGAAGGGATCTGGTTTCCGGAAGTTGTTAATTAGTACGAATTTAGTAAAACTAATACACTAACATTTTTTTGACAGTAGACTTATAATCTATTAAGTTTAATATTAGTCGCTTTTGTACCGATTGTTTTTTGGTTTTTACGTTGATATATGTAATTAAATGAGATTATCGGAAACGTTCATTTTGATTACTAGTGACATTTTATGGAGTACATTACAATCCGATGTTTTAATGTTGAATTAATTACAGTTTGACTCATTCTAGTTCAAATGTATTAAGTTACATTGCTTTTTTTATTTTCAAGAATCTTTCAGTAATCAATTTTACTGAATTTTCCCTAACATTTCCCTTATATTGATTTTGTGAACTAGGAAACTTCAGAATTTGGATGGCAAATCGTATGAAGCCTATCTTGAATCAACACCACAATTTCGCAACCCAGATGGCCTTCAAGTTCTGTGCGCACGCATGGGGATACCACGTTCGTCAGCATGTAGTCTTCTCTTTTGTATTAATAAGTAAGATTAATTAGTACTAATAATCTAGAGTCTACATGAAATGCTTATCATTAATATTTTCGCTCATTTGTTTACATTTGTTTTATGCATCGATTACTTATTGAGAGATTCAGAAAAGTCTCAAATCTTGTGTTTATACTTGCCATTTATAACTATGCTTTTTCCCCGTTTGTAGAATCCGATTACCAAAATCAGAGATGGCTTGTGAGCTTAGACGTACCCAGTTGCTGAATTTTTCAATGAAACAGTAAGCGTTTATATGTTAAGTGTGGTTGTAATTTAATGATCTATAGTTAAAACAAATAACTGTCTTGATAGTTCAGAAAACTTTTATATTAGACTTAGTAGTATAGCAGAGAACTAAAATCCCGTTTCAGCATCCCTATGCAATTGACCTTTCTATATATATATATATATATATATATATATATATATATATATATTTGACGCACTCTTGTACCAATATTTATTTGTTCAAATAAATAAATAATATCTTCACTTTATTATTAGTGTCGCCCAAGGTGTAAAATATTTCAAGGAAAGCCGAAATACTGAAGCTTTACAGTGTTACAATTTTGCAATTGAAGTTGAACCAACTAATCCTGACGCCTATGTTGCCCGTGGTGCTCTGTAAGTCACAACTTTCGTGTTGTTGAATTGCATACCTAGTTTACATTTTTAACTTTGGTCTGATAAAAAATGTACCTGAATTTTTATCAGAGTTTGACTTTCTTTTAAAAGATTTGTGTTCTATTTTATATTACTTACTCCTGTTACCCCTCAAAAAGAAGAATAGGCCTCCCACCAGCATTTTACATCCAACTCTGTCTTGGCCAATCCTTTCCAGTTGCTATTCATTCTTTTCATATCTGTTTCCCATTCCTGATGCAGTTTGTCCTTTGGTCTTCCTCTTTTCCGTTTCTGCTCAAGGTTCCGAATTAGCGCTCGCCTCATGATGCAGTTTGATGATTTTCGAACTGTATGTTCTATCCACCCCCAGTGTCCTTTCCTAATTTCTTCAATCGGAAGCTGGTTTGTTTTCTCCCATAGTAGACTGTTGCTGATCGTATCCGGTCAGCAACGGGCATTGCGTATTCTGTGCAAACAACTATTTATAAATACTTGTACCACTTTGATCATGGTTGTGGTTGTTCTCCACGTTTCAGCTCTGTACAGTAGAACTGTATTAAAGATTGTGACTTTAATATTGGTTGACGGTTGTTTTGAGTTCCATATGTTCTTCAACTGTAGCGATGCTGTCCTTTTCCAATCCTTGCCTTTACGTCTACATTAGATTCTCCTTGTTCATCGATGGTACTACTAACGAGATACGTGATAGTTTCCACCTGTTCTTGAGTTTCTCCATCAAGTGGGATTGGGTTGGTTAGTGTTCTCCGTGTTATATTTGAGGATGTTGCTTTGTCCCTTGTGTTTGTTTAGACCTACTGCTGTAGAGGCTTTTGCCACACTGGTTGTGTTAACCTGCATTTGCTCCTATGTATGGGAAAGAAAGACTAGGTGATCTGAGAAGTCGAAATCATCTATTTGCATGCAATCTGTCTGTTGTATTCCGTGCTTCCCCTCAGATGTGTAGGTCTTCATAATCCAATCAAACATCAGAAGAAAGAGAACGGAAGAGAGTAAGCAGTTTTGTCTGACTGCGGTCCTCACTTGAATACGTCTGTCAGCTGTCCTCCATGTACCGTCCGTCGTTTGAATTTGGTATGATGTTGATGATCTTCTCAGTTACTCACTACATAGTGTTAATGAGGGTTGTACCAGGTCCTCCTATCCACACTATCAAACGCTTTCTCATAGTCGAGGAAGTTGATGTATAGTGACAAGTTCCATTCAATTCATTGTTGAACAATTATCTGTAGTGTGGTAATTTGATCTGTGCACGACCGATCCTCACGGAATCCAGTCTGTTGATCTCAAAGTTGAGCGTCTACTGAATCTTTCATCTCGTTCAGCAGCAGTGTTGAAAACATTTCCTGGTACTTATAGTTGTTTTATGCCTCTATAGTTTTCACAGTCTCTCAAATCTTTCTTTGGTATCTTGATGAGATATCCTTCTCCCCAGTTTGTCTGTTGCACTTGTTCTTCCTCCCAAATCTTCCAGAATGGAACGTGGATCATTTTTGCTGTTACTTCTATATTTGACTTCAGTGCTTCATCTAGTATATTGTCAGGTCCATCTGCTTTCCTACTATTGATCTATCTCATGGGCATGCTTATTTCTTTGATTGTTGATTAAGTGACATATTGGAAGGTCTCTGTGTGCTACTGTGATTGATCCAATACTCTGTGGTATGATTCAATGAGACCCATATCGCTTTGTGTGTGTTTGTGATAATTACAAGAGGTAAAGAGTCGTATATTAGTATTTGTTGATCGTTGTCCGATTTGGTATCCCCTTCATTGTTATTTATCCATACCATTTTATTTGAGGCTCGCAAATATTAAATCTATCTCATTTAAGTTAATGCTGTAGTACTTTGAGGTGCAATCCTAATTTACCGTAAAATTTTGTTTAATAGAGTTTTATTCAACCATGTATCTTCACAATATTGGTCTTATTCAATTTTTTTTAAAAGCAGTTTAATTTCCGGAGCACTTATTCAACATTTTAAATAAGAGAATTCAGCCAATATTTAACACCTATGAACTGAAGAAGGTTACTGATTCTATTTCTGCTTTCTCTATTTCAGTTTATGCATCTGTGTAGTATCGTTGACTCTCATACTTAGAATGTGATTAGAAGCCAAGCATACGATTTTGTGCCTGGTAAATGGGTTAGTAGATAAATGAATTTACCCTGTTAACTTCAGACTGTTAGGATGAGTAGCATCGGTGTCTCTTGTTGATATCCAGACTACATTTTCTTATTTTTTACTCACTTCATGTTCGTACTAAAATTATACTTTAATAATCTGTTCTTTTTAATGTCACATTTTATCATTCGTTAATAAAGCTATGCCTCAATCGGTACGTACACAAAGGCAGTGGAGGATTTGGAGAAAAGTCTTGAAATCCAACCAAATCATGTTAATGCTAAAAATTATCTGGTTCAGACGCTAGTTGCGTATGCTGGCGAGTAAGTTTATATTGTTAATAATAACAGATATAAACATTACGATATCTAATATAAATATACATCGCTCCTGGTTATCTCATCACCATCGTAGAGTAGAAAACTAGCAAGTAGAAAAGCAACCTAAGTAATAATAATGGCGAGGAGTTAGACAGTAAAAATATATTTCAAATAGGTTCTAACCTGACGAGATTAAAAACATGCTAAGTGGATAAATCTCTCATCCATTGGTAACAATCGGAACAAAGTATAAGACGGGAAATGCCAGTGTATTTAAAAGTCGCTCAGGAGAATTGCAACATTTACAGGAATAACTCCATCATCCTTAGAAAAATAAAATGCCTGTAAATTCTAATCGTTTATAAAGAGATCAGTGGGAATTGTTTAAGCGAATTTTTTATTACCTTTATTAAAGCGTAAATGTGTAAAGACAATTTGATAATTGGAACTATAATATTGTTAGGAGGATTATTGTCAGTGTCACTACCTGTTTCGTTTGGATCCATAGTTTCTATCAGACAAGTAAAACTAATATTTCACAGATCTCAGTTATTACTAACGATCAAAGAGTCATCGGTTTTGAAAACCGAAATTGTTAGTATTATTGTGTAGGAAAAAACAAATCTGAAAAGAGCTGGTTACAGTAGATGCATTATGTATAGAATTGATATTTTGTTGTCAGAACTGTGTGAAAAATTAATATTTCTCAGTTGCCTATACCTTCAAACCCAGTATTTAAAAATACCTATAAAGCGAATAAGTTTAGTATCGTGCTATTACAAAGCTTAAATGCTTAAATATTTTAAAAAAGTTCAGGCTTTGTCTACTTTAAGATATTACAGGCCCTAAAACAGTGTAAGATACATTAAAAAAAAAATTTGTTTATTCATAAACTTCTCACTTGTAAGGCAACACGCCAGAATACTGGTATCTCAGAAAATGACTTACTGCTAACAAGTATCTTTCCAAGATGCAGTTCGATTTCGTCTCAAAACATAGTTCAAATTATTTACAATATCATTGTGGCTTATTTTAGAATTAGTTCTTTACGGTCAACCCCATTGTGGCATAACATCGAATACTCTATTAAATACCTTGCTAACCGTGAAGAACAAACCTAGCCATTACGTTCATGTAACAGCTATCTGTCTATTACATGAGAGAAAACTAATGACAAGCAAGTCTTGAGTTTCAGTATCCCTTCATACATACCTTTTCATTCTGCTTTTACGAACTATACCATCAATATTTATTCTTTCTCATTACTATTGTTGTCACATTGTTTCGGCTCCTTTGTTATTTATCTTTTAAAATTTATCTCTTGCTAATGTGGTGTGAAAACCTGGGTTAGTTTACGTGTGCTAGACTCTGTTGGTTATGATCAAGCGAGTATGGTTGAGAAAGTGTAGAACGGCAGTAAAAACGCCAAAAGTCTAATGCGGTGTCTCTATAGTGGTTTCCTATTTTTATCATCAGTTCATGACTCATAAACGGGGAATGACATTCTCTTTGAAAGAAGATACCAAATCGCACCAATCTGTATTAAGAATGATTATAATATTGACGTCCATAGCAACCGTTAAATTAACGTCCCCCGAAACATTTCGAATTGATCTAGTTTTCATCAGTCGCATCTGACCAATCCCATTGTTAAAAAACATTGTCTTACTCGTGTGTAAACTATTTTTTCTGTTAACTGCAAATCGTAAGTGGCCTTTAAATTTTTTTGATCCAGCCGTCTTTTTGACTATTTACTTTTAATAACCAATTTAATTGACTACTGTGCATCGCACTGTGATTTGACCTACACTTCTATCAATGCTTCAAGACATTGGGTTTCATGACCAAAAGCAAATCACAGGCTCTAAACATATTTTGAACAAATGTCGATCACCGAATTTTACTATTTTCGTGTATTAAGCATGTCAAAAAGAAAACGCGTTGAATACAGATAATTTGAGTGAGTAATGTGAAAACTTCCTCGGTCCAGATCTTATAAAATATGCTTTTATCTTATAATTATTTGGTCAAACCTTTTACTTTGTCTGTAAAATATTTTGTTCTTTACAGAATTGGGCGTAAGGAAATAAGCAAGGCAGAACAATTAATAAATCGGGCACTTAAGTTGGATCCTGACAATAATGAAGCCCGAGATGCACTGAAAGAACTTCAAACTAACGGATCTTTCTCTACTAACAAGGATGCTGGTTTGGTATGTTGACAATAATATAAATAACAAACTTTCATGTATTCTTATCGAATATTTTATTTTATCAATAAATTATGGTTCCTTTTTGTTTATAGCGATCCTGGTCACGAACGCCTTCTCCACGCGGTTCAAGTCGAAATGTGGGTAATAAACGTGACCACACTCCTCTTTCTCCAACTGCAGTTCGTCCAAGTGCGGGTTACGCCACTCATATGGAACGTAGTAGAGCTGCTCTAGAACAGCTTGTTGAAGAAGATCGTAGTCGACGTGCTGCTAAAGAGGCTAATCGTCAAAACCACGCACCTGACCAAAGCCCTCCAGGATTTTTGTCTCCCAGTAAGTAAAGCATTCTTATACTATTTCTGTACCAACCATATCACGGTCTACTGTGACAAATTTGCATATTGTTCTCGAAATTTCATTGTCTTTAACTTTTAATTTTAGATCCCTCTCATGAACGACGAAGAGGAGATTACTATCGCGATGATGTAAGCATTATTTATCCGGACTTTATCTTTAAATCTTGACATGCGGTTGAAAAATTCATATCTTTAACCAATGGCTAAAGTCATTCTTAGTAATCGTGGTGTTTTCAGGAAATTCACACAATGCACACTAATTAAGTGAACCCATCTTTCTCACTTATTGGTGGCACGGTTACTGCCTGCCAAAGCCCGTAAAATATGTGTTTTCATTGCTAATACTAAATACTCTTTGCTTGTTTGTCAGTTTTCTCGTTCCACAAACAGTGCATACATCTGCGCTGTTAAGACCCATTCTGAGCTATGCTATCCAAAAATTGCTCAGCATATAGTTCAACCTAACTTCACGTTAACCATAGTTAATAGATACAAACAAGTTGCCAACGCACTAGTCTTAGAATAAAAAGTTGGCCAATTTGGTGGTATTGAACGGTTATTGGAACTTGTCACTATGTAAGTTTTTTAGATAGGTCACAGCAAGACAATATTTTGTTTACTAAACAGCATTTGTTAACATCACAGAAAGTGATTATAACATTAGGATACTAGAGTTTTACAGTTCTAATTACTCTTATTCATGTGTTTTAGGATATCAGCTATATCATTTAAAGACGAATGATGTTTTCTAAGTTATGTATGTTTATGGAATAAGTATATTTACATAATTCACTGTAATGATGTCAAGTGTTTTGACACAAAAAAGTACAAAATAACTATATTTTTTATATTATAATCACTGGTGTGTTTGATATACATGTTCTCATTTTCTATGTTTATATGCATTCTAGCCCCATACAGTGACATAATCCCACATATCAATATTATTGACACTAATCAAGAACGAGTTTTCGTTTTTTGTAGAGTCTAGAATTGTTCTATGAAGCGCAGAAAACGAAACAGAGCGAAGTTGCTCTTAGAAATACTGATTATGTGGAGATGATAGTACTATGTGTAAAAAAACAGTGGTAAAAAGAGTGTATGAGGATGGTGAAAGTATGCTGCTGATTCTCCATATATCTGTGAGTGTGCCTGTAAATACTGGTGCATAATAAATTACAGAAATGAGTTCAGAGGGGAGACGGTATCGATATTTCACCATCGGTGGGGACCAAGGAATTAACAGTCTTGTTTTAAATTCTCCATCACTATCAGTACTCTAAATTCTTATTATTATTTTCGGATCAAGAATTTCAAGTCAGCTGATTGTTTTTCTACCGGAAAAACAGGTGCTTTTTCATATTAGCTTTCTTTTTTAGCCATCAAATTTATTTTCTGAAGAAAATAATGATCGTCGTCATTATCTGTCATCTGAATAAAAGGAAGAAAATATCAAAAATGAAGAGTACTCATGAAGATCCACTCATTATTATTGCTAATTATCATTTTGAGTGTTTCGTGTGTAGTACTGATTTATTCTTCTTTTAGATTTAATAGATGCTTCATTGTAGATGAATAAAAGTTTTTAAAAATGAGTCAGTAGAAATGTATAGAAAAGAGTAAATATTATCATGTGTTATTGTCTATCGCCTGATAATTGGAAATGCAATGAAGCCTCTAGGACTAATTATTTATATAAATATCAGTATGTATACATATTCGCAAGAAGAATGGTTCTTTTCCAGCAATCTCTATGCTGATATGCAAGTTTATCCGTTCGTTTTTATTAAAAACAAATAAACAGCGGGATTTATTGTTGTATCCTACATGGGGAATCATATTCTATGTATTATTGTCCAGATAAAATCTGCTGGTGGTGGTAATGCTGCTATGGACAAAACGAATATGGATCGTGGTGACCTGTCTAAAATTGTAATTACTCGCAACCGAGTAAGTATATATTAACTGTATCTTTGCCAGTTGTTATTTCCGTGCTTAGAGAAATGATATAACAGTGTAGTCTACCTAACGTTACTTCTCCTTTGTGTTATGTGCCAGTACAAATCTTTCTAGGCTATGTTATTGTGCTTGATATGTATGACTGATCACTTCTGAAGTTAACGACAGTTGTCAGTCAAAAGCCTCTTGTATACTTGAAAGGACATGAGTTTGGTTACGTTGCCACATCTCACATCATTGTAACAGAATGGAGCTAACAATATAAGATCTGAATTAGTAAATATAGTAATGTAAAGTGTAGTGATAAGTTGAACAAACCACTTAATGTTTTCTGCGATGGATTACGATTATCACGTGAAATTCAACCAAAAAATGTTCATCTTCTGACATATCTTAATTCAAATAGCCAGTAACTTCATAAACTGATCTAGCTCAATTTTGATCTAAAAAATTTGTCGCGCTTCAGTGTATTCAAGATCTGAAAAGTAGTATTTTAGAAATCAGATAAAATTATGCATATTTTATTGCTACTATTATGTTATAGGCGTTAGTATTTTTCAAGGAAGCATTTTTATAATCAGACGCGTTTTGTGAATATTAATAATTTTATAGTTGAATTCATGAGTCAATTGTAGCTAGACTGATAGGTCTTGGATTTGTATCTCGCGAGGCGGGATCGTGGATGCACACTGCTGAGGACTCCCATACTCTAGGACAAAACGACCGTTCAGCACTTCCGAGTATTTTTATATCTGTAAAACTCCAATATTTTATTATCCCATAACTTAGCTATAAACTAAGTGGTGTTAGCGATAAGCTAGTCACTTTTTAATAATGTCATGTTATATTCGATAGCATCTAAAACTGGAAACATTCTACAGAACATTAATTATAATGCCCACAATTTTGTTTGTATTTTAGTCCGGACGTATTATACGCTGCAAAGATGATGACGAGATGGGTGATGAGTCAAACAGGTAACTTTCTCGAATTTTCATTTAGTTATATTTATTTCTTATTTGTCCATCTATTAAGAAAAGGGATATTTATATTAAGAGTTCAAATAGTATTCAGTGTATGTATTTTTTTAAAATTATTTTTCTATGTGATCATCGTTTGTATATAAATATAATATAGTGCTATTTTTTCCTGTAATTGTATGTACTCTTTTTGCTGGCTGATGTTATTTTTTATGGAAAGATCAGATAAGCAATGTTGACGTTAGACATAAATTATTTGACAAAGGTGGTGAATCTGTTAATAAGATGACTGAGTTAATCAGGACGATGCTTGCTAGTGCAGAACTAGGTAAAAATTAAACTAGGGGTGCCAAAACCGAAATATGACGCCATTTTGGTAGATGCAGACTACGTAGTTGGGGTTTACATGATAACTGCGATCAGTGGTTACAGATCTCGGTTGATTTAGCTGAGAATCGTAGATGCATTCACCCTTTACCGTATTTTAAATCTTGAACTTCAATATCCGTTCATGCAAGCCTTTCCACAATGTCTTTTCAAGCAGTATTCCCTAAGTTTAGTCTCTTTTTTATGGTTGGTATTACATTATCTCTGTCTGTTTTGTTATTTTTATCTCATCGTGCTTGGGTCAACACACATCTGTGTTGGTGATGTAGGTCTGTATTCTACTAAATACGAACTCTTTAATGTGACCGTTTAGAATAAAACACATCTGTACCATGTTTTACGTTGATTACAACGCACTAGCCAGTAAATACTGTATCTGAAATCGAAATCAAATGTATACGTAGGTTTTTGTCAGAATATTGTGTTAAGTACAATAGGATAGTGATTTCCCTATAGAAGTAAGTAGAAGAAAATCTGAATCAGTTTAAATCATTCTAATGGTTTCCAATATCCTCATACTAATGCGACTGAGAATGATACTGTTTGTAATTAATAATTTTAGTTTCAATAGGATAAGAAACTATCTAATAACCTAATAGCAAGTGTATAACCAGATATCAGTGATAGACAACTCACTACACATGTATCGAAGTTTCCTTCATAAATTGTTTTCTTTGTTGTGTAGGTCAGAAGGCTTATGGAAACGTTCCTATGATGATAATCGAAATGGTAAGAGGCTACTTTCCCCCCCCCCCCCAAAGATTTCATTGTGTTAGTGAATTTTTAAATCACCATGATAGTACCTGATTAAAAATGTGTGATGTAATGTGATGTTTTAGGATAATTTATTCGATTAATCTTTTAATATTATTGGTAAATTGTTTCAAAGAAAAAGAAATATAACTATTTTATCTTAATCTAATTAGTATATAAAGAGAAATAATAATAACCTTAAAGTATAGTAAGAATCATTTGATGATCTATAAAAATAGTTGAATCATATCAAAACTCATGTACTGGTATATCATTATTTTCATATTCCTTAATTTCAGTATTTCTTCATTTAATATCAATTTGTAATCCATTTTTTTATTGATTCAAAACTATATTTACCTTTGAATGAATTAGTTTGCTTTTTCAACCCTATTCTTCTATACTATTCAGTTTTATCAATTGGTTATTATCATTAGTTCTTATAGTGAATAATGTGATTTAAAACTGAGTAAATTTATTTATTTAAACACATAAATATATTGGTACAAGAGGGACACCAAATACATATGCGCTACACAAAACAATGAGAATTTGAAGAGAGAAAAAAGGTAAGGAGCATAAAAAAAAGAACAATAACGAAAAGATTAGTGTAAGGTAGTGTAATAATAATAATAATAATAATAATAATAATAATAGGGGAAACTGAAAGGTACAACCACAAGAAATCTTTCAGTTAAGGAAGATACAACCACTTTTTATGAAGAAAGTTGAAGAACGTTACAGCGGGATCGTCATTGGCTTCTATTCTCAGCCATATTTGATAACATCTCTAGCCACTGTGTTGCAACATCTCTCAAAACCCAGCCAGGGAGTCATGAAGGACCAACAGAAGCCAATCCTTTGCAGCTTTCTTTCATATTACGACATCATGTCATACACTGACCACCTCTGTGCTTTTTCCAAACAGTCCCAGAGTCGGCAAATAATGCACCACGTGGAATTCTCTAAGCTGAGTAAAATTATCGTCTTATTATTCAATATAAGTTTAATAGTATTTTCCTCAAGTTACAATCACCTTAAACACTACAAATCTATCTATAATAAACTATTAGTTATTTCTTGAATTGTTCATTGTTTTTTTTATACATATACAAAGTGAACTTTTTATTGTTACGTAAACTTGGTGATTTAATGATAACTTCATTAACACTACAGAATAGTCCTCTTGATAAAGTTATCTCCAAGTCATTATATAAGTAGGGATAATTCTTTAGATATTTACACTTATACAAAATTAGAAGCTAGATTATTTCTCTGATTATCTTTAGTCATTTGTAGTGGTGCATTGTTGTATATATTTTTTCCATTCCCTATAATTTCATCAGTATTGAAGATGAAATGTTTTAATAGTCCGATTAGCATATCTTTATAAACTATACCGCTGTTATATCATAAGTCGCTTCAAGTTTGCGCTGTGAAATGTTAATGTGTTACTATTTTTGGTACTAATAGTATACACTAGAATTGAATTTTATAGTTCATCTGGTTTGTACAATTACAACACATTCCAAAAAAACATAAGCTTTCCACAATTGTTATGCCTTGTTATCTAATATACAGATGTGAATATAAAATAACCAAGTTATGATGTGTATTTGATCTATACTAATTTCTTTTCAAATATTTACCAAGTATTTCGTGATTCATTTTTAACTCATTATAGGTCCAGATAATTCGAAAAGAAGCCGAGCAGATGGGGAATCAGAATATCGAAGCACAAGACGAGTAAGTTAGTAGTGTCTGTTTTTATTAGTGCTAGAGTTACAGCATCTAGCCTGACACTCTACAATATTTTGATTTGCCTAGATTTGATACTGTAAAAAGTGCAAATACCTTTATAAATGATATAAGCATTGAATGACATTTTCACACCTATTCTGTACGCAATCTCTAATATTTCTGCATTGTTGACGTGGCTATTTATTTTAATTTATATAGAATTAGTAAAACCTTCATCTTACTGGGTCATTCAATAGCTATTGATTGATTTGGCTCTATTAGTTGTTATTCTCTAAAAACGTTTTACACTCTTTCTTATTTTTGGCTAAATCTAATGGAAGTATGGTTATGAATTTATGAGAATTCAGTGTAATAATAGTCGATGTACTTGTCTTACTTCTCCAATATCGTAAAAAAGTCAGTTGATAGTAACCGACTCTCTCTAAGTCAAATATTACTCTTCCAAAATGTCTTGATCCTCAATTTTCTCTGCCATTGCCTAGCCTTTGTGATCACAGGGTCGTGTAAACGTGTTGCTGTTTCTTTTTGCATACACTTCATTGTTAAAACTTTATAACGTATATTTGTTCGAATAATGTGTGGTAGTTCGGTGTTAGATGATGCACTTCACAAATACTGGCCTATGATATCTGTTAATAACTATTTACTTTTTCAATCTTGGCTGATTTAATAATCCATTCCTCACATGTTGTTGAACATTATTACTCACAACCATAAGTAATTACTTACCAAATAAACTGTACGTCATGTGCACACGTGTTGTACTCTTAATTGTATTTTCAGGTATTTACACCTCCACGAAATGCACGTGAAGGAGAACATGGTTCTCTTACTGTATATGAGAATGAAAATGATCTTCCTATGACTTCTAAAAGTCTTCAAGAGCGTGTTCAAGCTCGTTTACGTGCCATAGAACGACGCCACCAACTGGAAGAAGGAAACAATCCTGGAACTACTGAAGTTACTAACGGCGCACCTACTGGTCAGGATAAAAATCGTGAAGGTTCTCTTGCAGTCGGAGATGATGCCCCACCATCTGAATCTCCTAAAGGTGATCGAGGACACTTTCGTGGGAATGGTCCACCAAGTGCTGATCGTCGATCAGGTGGCTCATTTCAGCGTCCTGAATATCATGGTAGCCGCGGCAGTGGATATTATGGGAGAAATCGTCCTCGTGGAGGTCCCCGATGGCGTAATCAATGGGATGATTATCGTTTGCGCCGAAATAACTGGCATAATCATCGGTAAAATTAAATATTTTGTCATTTTGCTTCATGCATATTTGTAGATTTTTTTGCATATGCATATACAAACGACTGTACCTAGTCAATTAAATGTTTGGGATTCCCATATTACAGTATTTTTTGCCTGCGTAAAATTATGGTGCAAATAATTTGTCTTTCCATCGGAATGCACTTTTATTTTATCCTATTATTTTGTTTGAACACATAGACATTGGTACAACGGGTACCAACTACATATACACCACACAATAACAATAAGGTTATGAAGAAATAGAGAATGTAAAGTGCGTATAATAAAAGAACAACGAACAGAAATTAGTGTATGAGAGTGAAATAATAATAATAATAATGGGAGAAACAGTTCAATCAACAAAAGTACACCAAGAAAGAATCCTTTCAACTAAAGAAATTGCGTTCGTTCTTATAAAGAAAGTAAAAGGAATGTACAACAGGGTCGCCCTAGCTTCTATTATAAGTCATATGTGATAATGTCTCTATCCACTGTGTTACACAATCTCTAGAACCCCAACCAGGGAGTCTTGAAGAACCAACAGAAGTTAGTCTTGTACAGTTTTCTTTCATATTACGACATCATGTCATACGCTGACCGCCTCCTCACTTTTCCCAACCTGTTTCAGCGTCGGCAGATAATGCACGACATGGAATTCTCTAGGACGACATTCGCGAAAGATGTCCAAGCCACCACCTAAGGTGAGTGCAAGATCAGGGTCCTGCCAGTCTTGTAAAAGTACTTTGTACTTCGAATGTGCAAAGCGCATATCATACTTACGGACATTGATTGCCAACTGATTAAATGTGGATTGGATGGCTTGGTTATTATCGCACAGTAAGACAATATTAACCACATACTCATGGTCGAGAAATCTTTCTCCCGGCAACAGATTCACACCATTACTTATATCCATCAGAGCTGTTTCCAGAATGTTATCGATAGCAAAGTTGAAGAGGGATAGTGTCTAACCTCATTGCTTGAATTGAACAATAGAGAGAGGTGGTTGTATGCCTTCACTCTGCATTAGGTGTTATTATGTAGGGCCCTTCAGATGTTAATGAACTTCTCAGGCACACCCTTCTTCAATAGACAATCCCAGAGAACTGTCCTGTCCTACAAATCGAAGGCAACCTTGATGTCAAGACACACTACGATTTTTAGCTTGTAATAAGTATGGCGGTGTTGTAACATTTGCCAGAGGGTGAAGATGTGATCATCAGAACATCGACTAGAACGAAAAATAACCTGCTAGCGATTGTCGTTCCGTCAGGTTGTTTCGCTCACACCAGACTTTTTATTGTCAGTGACTCAGATGAGTTGGAAGAGTTTTCGGCAGTTACCGAATGCCGCTGCTGCTTCCAACTGTGCGTCCATTCAATTCATTTGATTTTTCCATACCAAATTAGCATAGTGTTTTATTTTGTTTATATCTATATCACACCCATTTTTCAAGTGATTTTTATCTCCAAGTTTATAAAAATCATCACCGAATAATTAGTTGTTTACTTTGTGTTTATCGCATGAACTACTACTGTTTTGCTTTTACTTTGGTAGCATTTTTAATTTAATTTTGTTTAATTTACTGCATGCAGTTATGATGACCGTAGACGTGATGGCCCATCGGCTAGATCGGGCAGTGCCAGTAACTTTGAACGTCGCAGAAAACGTTATGGAACATCTGGATCTGCTGAGCGCTCACCTCGGTCTTCTCGTTCACGTTCGAGGTCACGATCACACGTGTCTAAAAGTCGATCACGTTCATATTCTCGGAGCCCTCGATCATCACCTCGATCACCATCACATTCACCAATTCGACCTGGTGCTCGTGGAAGGTAATTTAAATTTTTCATTCTTAAACAGTCTTTTTCAACAATTATTTTCATCAAGTTTGTATCAAATTTAGACTTTGTTCGATTTCCAAAATTTATAGAATTGTGTTAATATTTTCCTTTTCTCCCTTTTAGAGTAATATCTCGTGCTCGCATAAAAACTCCCCCTCTTGCCCCACTAGTTACAAGTTTCAGACGTAGTGAATCAGATGAAAACCTAGCTGAATTAGACCAATTTGTTGCACAGTTGAAGGCTAAAAGACAATTACAACAGCAATATCAACAGCAACATTACATGGCTCAGTTCCAAGAGATGCAAGGTCCGATAGTCAACACTGCAGTTGTTTCTCAAACTCAGCAAGATTATCAGCAAATGGAATTAGAATCTGGACAAAATAGTCCATCTAAAGATGATGGTGCTCCTGCAAATAATGAATGCCTTTATTCAGATAAAGATGATACACAAAATGATTACAACTATAGTCGTCATCAACAGGATTCCCCAGAACCTCCTCAAGCACAATCTCCACCTCCACTTGATGATTCTATGAGGGAAGATAATGTTATGGAGAACGCGGCTTAATGTGTTTTTGAACATGTGTAGAATTTTTCATGAATCACTGTATTTTTTTTGCATCTATTATTCCATTCTGAATTTTAAGCCTTTTATTTGAGACATTCTGTGGATAAAAAAATTTATCATGTTCATTGTTTGTTCATCTCTAATGATATTATGAAATGAACAAATTTCAATCAATATAAATAGAGCAAAATTAGTCTCTATTATATATCGTGTTTTCTTCAATTACTAAATACCCATATATACACTTGATAAAGTAAATTGTTCGTTTATAATTCTTAACTAACTATCTTCAATACGTTTCTCATTATGAACTATTTTATAGAGTTTGATATTAATAAGCCATTATTGGTACCGAATATTAATCAAAAATAAGACATTTATAGTTTGTGAGTATTTAGTTGAGAATTCTACATGATTTCTATAAAGTACAGTCAGTCAGCTACAACGTAGGATCAGGCTCATATATACATCGGTCCAAGTTGCCATACCGAATTAGCACAACAAGATGAACATTGGATTCATAAAAGTAGTTAATTCAGAGGTGGTAACATACAAAAGAAAGATTCCATATAAGGATATAGTACTGGAAGAAAGAATTAGTTCGTAGAAAGAAAGATATGAAGCGGTTTTAATCTCTTAGTTTAAGGGAAGACCGTCGTTGCTACCTTGAGGTGTGGTCGGGCTTGCCCATCGTGATGAACCAATCGGGATATACTGGCTAGAACAACCGTTCCTCAAGGTCCTACCATATAAGACAGGTCGGTTGAAGAGTGGTAAGACTAAAAGCAACAAACCCAAGGTCCGAAGTCGTACTGCTGACTGTACAGAGGTGTGACAGCAGTAAGGTGTTTCCTTCAGACAACCAACATGACAGCGATGCTGCCTTCCCACAAGGAGAGATGTAGTTATAATAGGTCAACCCTAAAAATGCACACTTCGCCTTATCCCACGTAAATCCGTCCCCGGCGGTAAGGTCTTAACAAGTACGGAACTAACAAAAATTACCCATGAAAAGGTCGTGTGTGACCGACCTCAAGCAGTTGTATCTTGGGCACTGCGGTCACGCTCTCAGGTCACTAAGACCACCTAATGGAATTTCCTTTTCAGGCACCTCCGGAAGAACCCTTCCACGGTGTGGGCAACCGGGAAGTGATGACCGCCCTCATACCCCTAACAGCACTAGACCACTGTATTCATAATCAATCTCTATGAAGTACAACGTGTTATTAATAAAAATTTCTATGTAGGAACGAAAGTAAATAAATACAATGCATGACAATTGAATGTTTTAGACTATCAGATTTAGGTGTGTAGTTTAATAATAATCAATACTTTCTGTTTGCAAAAATTTATAGCCCGTTAAAAAATTCCAAGTAACTCATCACCGTGGGCGGGAATTTCCATAAAACTACTGTTAATGCCCCCATAATTGGCAGATTAATAAACCAATTAACGTGATCAGATAACTAATATCAGCATGTTCAAGTTTGTACACAAGTACATTTCAAGTTATTCAAACCAATGGGTATTGTTTCAAATCGTATATCACATAAATGGCGAGAATGTGTCATGATTATTTGTTATCCTTTGTCCCATATAAGACTGCTTATCTTTAGTTGTATTCACGATAACCCACACCAAATATATATTGTGTTCAAATGAAATCAAGGTGTATCATTTAAACAGATCATCTGTTTTAGGCATAAGAATACATGAATGAAGTCTATTTCAAGGCCATAGGTTTGGATCAAAATAATGATGGAGTAATAAGTCAAGTTTAAACTGATAAAGGGGACTACCGTATAGTAACTGTTGTTAATAGTGGTTTAGACTCTAGCTGCAATATATGAGTCTGAAATAATCGCGAATACTTTTGAGCCTATTAGGAAGCAGCTTAATTAAATAGATAGTCTATAGTATTATTATATGAGTGATTGGATGTCTGTAGCAGTGAACATCATCGGGATGCAGGTACATACGACTGATGAGCTATAGGTTGGACGGAACTCGCACAAAGGACTCCATTGCTGCCTGAGTCCCACCTATTCTACCGTACTATTTTGTTGTAATGGCTGTATAAACGCAATCTGCACATATGCCAGTCAAGACTGATCACATTTCAGTCAAAAGCATCAATAATGGGAAAATTCAAATCGAATCAAGATGGTATTACTGTTGTCAACAGTTTACGTAATGAATCCTAGGGTTTTCTACGAGTTACTATGCATGTCAATCAGAAAAGCGACAGATTATTAGCCTTTCTGAATTCTATTGTTCTCAGGGTTTTCATCACGAGCTGACACCAGGTAGAGCAGAAATGCTTTGTGTTATATGACTCAATGAATTTCGCACAAAAGTCGAAGAGGCACTACCTTAAGTCTGATTAGTTCGTCTATTAGTTTCAACGGATTAAGAGTGTCGATTCACCTGTTTTGTATAATCTACATAGAAAAGACTGGGTATTAGATGCGTTTAATACTATCATTTTGACTATAGTGACAAAAAATAATTGTTAGATCCCCAGATCAAGAATATAAAAGACAATTTCAAGTGACCAAAAATGTAAAGGCTATTAGATATTTACAGTGAAAATGTAAATATTGTTTTTTTTTCAAAATGAAACGATTGTTTATGAAATTCACCACAAACAAACATCCTTTTTAATAGATTATACTCTAGGTGTTCAAAAGACATACGAGATAAAACGGCTAGGATAACAACAATTGGTTATCAACTTCAAGATGTTATACTATTTGTTTAAAGTACACTTTTAGTCATACGTTTTCGATTGATGATTAAGCAAACGAATAGACAGTAAAACAAACCATATTTCACTGATCACTTTTAGTAATATTCATCTTTATTAGCATGCATCCTTCTGGGTTTTTTTTTATCTAAGCCTTATTTCTAATATGAACCGGTTGCGTTCAATATGAAAAAACAAACATTTGACATTTTTGTTAATATTAAACATTTAACACTTTATTCAAGGTCAGTTGTTAAGCGGATAAAATAAATCAAACAATTTTTCTTCAAAAACCAAAAAAAAGAGAAAGAAACATAAATACAATAATAGTAATAATAATAAACTTTGAAAATAGCCTATTCAATAAAAGTATGCAAAATGATTGTAGTCTATGATATAATCATTAAATAGGCTTTTATTGTTAGTTTAGTATATAGGTAGGTAAGTTATACGGATTACATACAATCATTAATAAAACAAAATGTTCACCACAAAAAGAAAAAAAAATTAGGTTACAGGTAACTTTAGAAAAACGAGTCAATTGAAGATAAACTATTGTTATTTAATATAAAACGAGCTGACCATATATCTCTATACTCTTCCTTACTCTTCTTCAACCATTAACTATGATTATAATTGAATGATTCAATGTTTAAAATTAAAGAAAAAAACAAAACAAAAAAAACAAACACAAATAAGACCAAGGTATAAAAAAAACTTTTTTTTTCAAGAAGAACATTTTATGGTATAGTTGATATGATATTTTTTTGACGTCCAAATGGTCCAGCAAATAAAGCAAGTTTTGATAATGGTATACCAGCATTAAATAATTCTGGAATATGTATTTGACTACGATAATAATTAATTTTATTTTCAAATATCTAAAAAGAAAAAAATTGGGTGAAGAAGATAAATGAGATGATTGGAAAATATTGTTGAAATTCAATAGAATCTATTTGAACTAAAATTGTATTGTAAAACAACAACAACAAAAAATGTTCCTAGTTAAATTTCAAATCACTTTATGCATTGAATTAGTTAAGGGTTTACTATCATGTTGTCAGTCAGTCAGTCAGCTATAATGTACGACTAATCACTTATATGCATCGGTCCAAGTTGTCATACCTCATTTATACAACAAGATGAACACTGGATTCATAAAAGTAGTTAATTCAGAGGTGGTAATATAGAAAAGAAAGATTGCAGATAAGGATGGATATAGTACAGGAAGAAAGAATTAGTTCATATATATAAAGATATGAAGCAATTTTAATCTCTTAGTTTAAGGGAAGACAGACAGGGAAGACACCGACGCCATTGTGATCGATTCTCAACCATGTTATACAGAGTCTCCAAGCATTAGTTATGATAATCACGTGGACCCCAGCCAAGTAGTCTGCATCTACCAACATGGCTAAGACTAGAAGTTAGTGACTTTATGAACTGATGTCACTTTTTCGTTTGGCTGTCCCTAACTTTCTTTCAACCATCTCGAACACCGGTTAGCATTGCACGTCGTGGTAATCGGTGTTGTATGTATAGAACAGAGGACTTTTTCCCTTTTAGAGAAACTTGTTGCACTCAACAAAGTGGACTTACCTATTAATATAATTTTGATATATCACAACTGGATTTTTGTTATTATTATCATCATCATTGATGATAATGATAACAACCATCCCCCAAATACTCTGGCCGAGAGTAGGGTAGGCCTGCCCTCCCTCTCGAAATGCTCTCACACGGCCACACGTATACAGCCTCTACCAGGGAAGTCCTACTCACTGCCTTCTCGTGGCGGGGGTGTTGTTTACGAAAATGAGAGGACGAAAAGCGAATGTCTGGCGCTTTAACTGGATTCCAAATCAGTGGTGCACATGGCGCTCCAGTATCCTGCGGGAGTAAGTGGCGTATGAACCAATTTTCGGCCACCGGCTACCATGGGACTGCATCTCCTCACGATGCTCGACTGCCTCGTGGGTCAAACCTTTAGGTCAAAGGCTCGGGGTGTGGCTCCTTAAGAAAACTACCTGCTTCGGTCTGGGCGCCCGGGCAGTATCGTAGCCCTCACACAAAATTGTGGAGCATATAAATTTGGTGCCCTCTTGTACCAATATTTATGTGTTCAAATAAATAAATCATCATCATCATTACTGTGAATTATGCAAATATAATAAGTGAGTAATATCAGTAAGAATGAATAGAGAATATAAAAATATATATAATAATAATATAATTTCACATACTCCAATACTTTTTGGTATCATTTGTGATGATAAATGCAATAGATGATGATTGATATATAAAACATTAGCAGCATGATCCTCTGGTAATGTAATCACTTTATAAGTATGTGAAGCAACACGACCAATTTCCTGAAATAAAATATAATTACAAATAAAATGATGGTAGAACACAAAGACTTTTTTTTCGTATATCAGTTAAACAACATACTATTGAGAGTGAGAGGTAAAATCAAATAATATAGAGAATAAATTTAAAGGTATGGAGAAAGAAAACTAAATAGCCCCCAAATGCCCTAATACTGCCGAGAGTGAGGAGAGCCAGCTCTCCCTCTTCAAATACTCTCACATAGCCACGCGTATACAGCCTCTACCAGGGAAGTCCTACTCATTGACTTCAGGCGGCATTACTATTGTCTATCAAATCGAAAAGACGAAAAGCAAATGTCCGGTGCCTTAATCAGGTTGGTGGGCACGGAGGGTCCTCCTAAAGGAGTCGGAAAACCCTGATTCCAAACCAATGCTCCACATGGACTACAGTATTCTGAGGGAACAAATGACGTATGGACCTATTGTTGGCGAACGACTACCACGGGACATCTCTTTACGTTGCTCCACTGCCTTGCGGATCAAACCTTTAGGCCGAAAGCTCCGGGTGTGGCCCCCTGAAAAAACTACTTACTTCGGTTTGGACACCCGGGCAGTATCATAGCCCACACACAAATCAAGTGACCTGTGTGGCGCATATGTATTCGGTGTCCCTTTGTACCGATATTTATGTGTTCATAAAAATAATTACAAACTTAAGTATCGATATAATTAAAATTTTAGGATTTAGAACAAAATGGGTTGAATGAAACCGGTTAGCTGTTTGAATTTCATATAATTTGACAGAAACTGAGCATCAAGTATGCGGAAGATATCAGATGTAAAAATTGTATCTCAATAATCTGTGTAATTGACATTTCAATAATTCCAACGTTTCGTCCGGTAAACTAATCCGAACATCTTAAAGAGGAATGTAATTGGAAAAAAATATATACATATAACTACATCAAACCTAAAGTTTATCCCATCATGTTTATTGTTCCTAATGAGGCCAATAAACAAATTTGATTGGGAAAACAATCTTCACCATATAAAGAATGTGTGTGTATCTGTATGCTATTTTTATTGGAAAAAAAGTGAGTCCAAGGATAATTGGTCATTTATTTTTATTATACATCTGAAAGTATAAAAAAAAATGAAATGAATCAGTCGAAGTATCCACAGACTCAGATCATTCACATGGTTAATTGTGATGTTAAAAATGAATTACAATTATGATAATCATAAGTGAATGACTATATAGCCGTCCATCTATGTTGATATCAATCTTTAGTTAGTGAAAGTTTAAGGTCCTTGTGTTCATATGTTAAGCAACAGTTAGCATAGTGTATTTGACTTTGTTTAACCTCTTCTGCTAATGTTGTTATAATTCTCTTATTTATACACAGCTTGTTTCCTTTCTTTATGAGATCTGAAACCTTTATGAAGTATTTTTATCCCTTCAAAATCGATAGTATATATCCGATTTCTTGACCTTACTAGAAACTGAATAAACACGATTAGACAAGCTTTAGATGTGATCTTGTTATGTATATATACCTTTAGACTATATTTCCACTGAAGAAATTCGGACCAGTTTGTCAGACGAAACATCGGAATTATTGAACTGTCGATAGTTCAGATTATTCAAATAAAATTTCGATATTTAACGTATTGGAATTATTTCCTCTGAAGCACTGGCTTCAGCTTACCTTCAACCAAAAAAAGTTCACAATTTGTCATGCTGCCCTAACTAACAGTTTATGATGTTTAGAAGCTAGACAAATAAAAATATGAAATTGGGGATAGATATGTAAGTCTAAGTAGTCATACTTACTTAATTGGCCTCATCATACTGAATAGAAGATTCTGTCCAGTAGGATCAGATGGAATTCAGAAATCTTAAATACAATGAAGATTTACAGCTTACGTCGATGCTTCTGGGTTTTCGTCCTGGACATCATCATTGTGTAATTTATTTCTGTTATTTGATAAACTAATTCAGTGTTTTGATGAATTTGTTTCTAACTGGTTGTTTTTACATGTTTTAGTGAGGTAAAGTGAACGACACAGTCAACTGTCTCACTCCCTACCCTCAATTTAGCTGTTGACTCAAACCGGTAGTGAAGTAATATTTTACATTTGGAGGAAGAAAACACATCCCAAATATCTTTACATTGTTGCTTAAGGCAGTTAGATGCTAGTTGCCAGGGGGAAACACCGTCACACTCCAATATAGTCAGCAGTAAGACTCTGCATTTCGACAAAAATTTTGCTTACCGTTCCCCAACCGACCTTTATGGGATAGTAGGACCTAGAGAAATAATTATTTCAGTCAACACAGCTTGATCAGGTATAACAATAGGTAAGCCCAACTACCATATCAAGGTGCATCCACTCTTTTTGTTCTCCCAAATTCTAATCTCTTGAGTCCTCCTTGTCTCTTTTTTTCTTTTTCCAAATTTATTTCACAGGATTATACTCTTTAAATAGCATCTCCAAACTCTAATCTTTCCGATTACTGCTTATAGTTTTACCACCTCTACCACTACGGGATTCGAATCGACAACTGCATCTCTGTGCTAATGTGGTGTGGCAACTCGAACTGATGTACGTACGTACGAAGTTCTACGTTGTTACTGACTAACTGACCATGTCAAGGTAGCAGCTATGGTCGGAACGGATTCTCTTGTATACTTACGTTTAGCCTTGGTGTTACTTGATAATATGGTACAGCAACGATTGAGAAGAACTTGGGAATTATTACTGACGTATCATGTCTATACACTCAATGTTACATTTTAACCAATAACTAAGAACAAAACTACTTTTACTAATAAAAGTTTCGAAAAAAAAACATTTGTTGTAAAACAATCACTTAGTATAAAATGGTTGAAAAGGAGTCATTCATTACTTTACTTTTAGTATAGATAAATAAGGTAATTATTTTTAAATAAACATAAACTTAATTATGATTGGAAATTTGGTCACTATTACACATTTTCTTATTAAAATAAACATTAATCCTTTGAACAAATCAGATACCTGTATCGATGTAATGCCTATATTTTGTTACTTATGAAATGGATGCATTATTGTGGTTGTTTATCTGTTTTTTTTCTTTCTTTAATGATCATCGAACTAACTCTCTAATGACCGATTTAAAAAAAACCCATTTACAAAATGAATATAATCAACGATATTGAGAAATGTAAGGAAATTATGATATACATATATGGAGAGATTTTTCTAGCAATTAACACATTTCCTTGTCAGCATGTTGAGAGTTCGAACTGCGTTTCTGTTGTGATATTTAGAAAAATATCCCCAAAATTATCCTGTTAAGTCTGGTGCTATCCTTGAACGTGAAATGGTATCATTTCCCTGTTGGTCAATATTCACGGTAGTCCTAACTGTATAAATATGCATTTGTCTGTGAGGTATTATTCCTATTCTTATTCTTCTCCTGACCCCATAAACAATTTCATCTACGGTTCGTGTTCTGATATATTGGAGATTGGGGAACAGTATTGGGGTCGTACTGGAATATCTGAAGTTGGTCAGTCGGTAGAAATTAGAGTAGCCACCCCGCGGTCCACAATAGTTTCACATACTTCAATCTGGTTAGTATAACTAATTCGTGCGCAAATAGTACGACTAGAAATCCACAACATAAAATTGTGCATGGTAAATAAGTTATACTACAAGTTAAAATATAAATTTATTTATTTATTTATTTGAACACATAAATATTGGTACAAGAGAGCGCCAATATAAATTAGGGAGCTTCAAATAACCAAGAGAAATATGGAAAACTCCAAAAACGACTATCTTTAGACATAATAATAGAAGTGTACATTCCATATAGTTTGTGTTATATATTTGAAAAGGGAAATATATTTTAAACTAATATTTATGAAAAATATTATACCTTTAATAGTTGTTTAGCTGCTTCACTTTCGCCCACTGCCAGTACATTGATCCCAGCCACACCAACGGCATCTTTAAGGGAACGAAAAGGCTGAGGTAACTTGACGATAGAAGTTGCATATTCTGGGAATGCACGTGCCACAGCGTGAGCACCAGCCTCATTAGTATGGGCGGAAATGCCCACAATAATTTCCTGACCTAAAATAACAAATTTGAGATAAATGCTAAATGCAGAAGGGAGGTCTAAAATACGAGCAATCAAATTTACCTGAGAAAATATGAACACGTAACCAAGTATCGGTTTATTACAATTAGCTATGGACTGCACACGTGTGCAAACAAGTGATAAAATAAAAAAATATCAAGATATAGTATAGTAGGGTTTTAATGAGATACTTCGATCAATGTATATAAATCAAAATCACATAGAAAAGAATGTATAGATAAAAGTGCTATCGATTTTCAACTTGCTCAGTACCTAAAAGAACAGCCTACTTAAGTCTATCCGTTAGATATCAGTTAGAAACGGGTTTTGGTTCGGGCAGCCGAGTAGTATTATTAAACTTAAAATAAGGCTGAAAGCTGAACATAAACTTGTATGTAGTAAGATGAGTGTCACCACTACTTACAACTATATCACGCATATCCTTTAACAGTCGATTACAGTCAGCTCATAGAACATCAGAAAAGCCCATACAATACAAACAAACTATCGACAACTTCATTGAGTGATTGTATATTCCGACTCCCGACCGGACCTGCCACCTCGAAGTGGTGATCGGGCTTGCCTATCAGGAAGACGCAACCGAACTAAATTGGCTAAAACATATGTTCCTTTAGGTTCGACAATGTCAGGTAGCTCGGTTAGAGAACGGTAGGACTAAAGGCAGCAACTTAGGGCTCGAGAGCGAAATCGTACTGCTCACTGTAAAAGGATATGAGAGCAGTAAGGTGTTTCCCTCGGATAACCAGCCTCTGTAGCCCTCATACTAACCACTATCAACATCCGAATTCATATTTTTCACAACTGAATCCTTCTCTCACCATATCTAAATAATTCTTCTAATACTTTTCATTTATCTTCATCACCACGCACCACTAATGCTAATGATTTGACTTTGAATATATGAATAAATATCGTCTGACGTGGTGACCTCCACAATCGACTCATCAATCGCTTAAAGCAATGTTAAATTTCAACTTAATGATGAGAAAGTTAAAAACAAACAAAAAGAAATAACTACAGGAGTTAGTTAACCATCAACGCGATATCCAGCCTGAGGTAACTTAACTTGATATCCAAAAAAAACTAAGGAAACAGCAGTGATATCCACTAGTAGCTAAAACCAAAAGGTTAAGAAAAATCAGTGGATTTCAGCAGAGATAGGTAACAGTAGATAATTGTTCAAGCATATCAAGGGAACGGGTGTTAGAAATCCGGTTGTTAATGAAACTAACTCGTGAAAAGGCTATTATTCAATGTCGATCCAGGAGATTAGGCTGATGGGCAGAGGTATGACTATGAATACAGTGGTCTTGAGTGCTGTTAGAGGTATGAGGGCGGTCATCACTTTCTGCTTGCCAACACCGTGGAAGGGTTCTTCTGGAGGTGCCTGAAAAAGGAATTCCATTAGAGGTGGTCTTAGTAACCTGAGAGCATGACCGCAGTGCCCAATGGACAACTGCTTGAGGTCGGTCACACACGACCTTTTCATGGGTAATTTTTGTGTTAGTTCTGTACTTGTTGAGACCTTACCGCCGGGGACGGATATACGTGGGATAAAGCGAGGTGTGCATTTTTAGGGTTGACCTTTTCTAACCCCATCCCTCCTTGTGGGAAGGCAGCATCGCTGTCATGTTGGTTGTCTGAAGGAAACACCTTACTGTTGTCACACCTCTGTACAGTCAGCAGTACGACTTCGTCTTCGGACCTTAGGTTTGTTGCTTTTAGTCTTACCGCTCTTCAACCCACCTGTCTTATATGGTAGGACCTTGAGAAACAGTTGTTCCAGCCAGTGTAGCTCGGCTGCTTCATCACGATAGGCAAGCTTGACCACCACGTCAAGGTAGCAACAACGGTCAGGCAGGAGTAGGGTGGTCGAAAGCTAGGGGAGGCCAAACCAAAACATAGCGTCAGTCCATGAATCAATCGACATCTGGATTTGTCGATGTTAACAGGTGTAGACTACGAGGTTGGGATGCGCGTGATTATCATAGCCAATGGTTAGCGACCTTGAATTGCATGACTCAAAATCGTTTGCAGTCGAAGAGTTGCATCCATTCTTTGTCTTCCCCAGAATCCTGAGATTCTAAATTCCTTTTGTTTTGCCTTTTTTGTTTGCTTCTCTAATTTATGTTTTTTCAGAGTCGTGTGTTCGGTACCTAATATTCCCCATTATCAGCGATACTTTTACTACCTACTGGTGAGCGGCCTATGCTCCTTCACGAGGAGTAACAGGCGTAAGTAAGTAAGTTTTACTACCTCGACTATTCTGGGATTTGGCCTAACAACTGTGTTAATGGGGTATGGAAACTTGAGCTGATGTACGTGCGTACACGTTCTACGTCGTGACTGACTGATATTCTGCCTGATTATTCATGACCTGTCTCCGGCTTGCTCTTATACTAACCAAAATAACGAACTAAGGTAGGTTGTGGTGCCTTATAAACTGTGCATAGATCAATCGCCTCATCCCTCAAAATTCACCAGAATGGTTACTCATTTTAATCAGTATTCTACACCCAACATACTAGTTACACAGTGGATTAACTATATGCAAGTGATACTTCAGAAACATCTGCCATCAAATCATTGTAACCTGAGCGTGTTTCCTACTTTGAGAAACATGTTTTACACCTGCGGGAAGTGTAAATAGAACTATTGAGTATTTAAACTTTCCTTAGTAATTAAATGAATATTAAACTATGGTGCAGTTTATGTTGGATTGGTGAAAAAACGACGGAAAATTTTCGCATGTGATAAAATCCAGTCATCCACCAACCCACAAATATTAGCAGAGATTTAGAAATCTCAACTAACTTTTGAGAAATTCTGCTGTTTGAAATGCTGAAAAAGTGCATATTTACCATCCAAAAATTATGCAAAAGATAAAGAACTTTTTCAACACGTGAAACTTGAGCTCGGTGTTCATATTCGTAAGTAGTATTTTCCATTACGTAAATTAGATCAGAGTAGTGGAGAAAGGTTAATATATCTAAATGTATTTACTTAAATTTGAACGCTTTACAGTATATCTGGCTCGTAGCTTACATGCTAGATCATTCAATTAATAGCATATTCTAATTGAAACTTTATGTCAGGTGCAAAATTCTATAAGATATCTTCACCAATGCTCCAAATGGGCTTAAGAAGTCACAAAAGCTGGAACGTTTAAAATTGCCTTAAGTCTGCAAAGGGAGCATACTTATTTTATATCCAAAATATGCTAGACAATTGGCCAAAGTTTTCAATCATATATGTGACTAAACGAGATTTTAATAAATGGGTATTTATAGCATTGTGGAGTGAAAAATATTTTTATTACATCACTTGTACAAGGATAAAAAATTACCTGTGAAAAGGACATCACTCCCCTCAACTTGAGCATTTTCTGTGTTCAACTCAACTATCTTAATTCCCAGTTCTTTCTTGAGAGTATGACGGATTAGGTTGACCTAGAAATATTAGAAAAGCAACTAAATATATTCTACTTCTCCTTGTCTGTGACATCTATATGGGTTACACATCAGTGCTGTCCCATTAATTATGACAGCTGTGTCGTCTACTTTTACGCACTCAGGATGACGTTCATCCGCTTCCATTTCAAGTACATCGACTCCGTTTTGTCTCAATGCCTCAACGAATTTTTCTCTCTCATTGCAAGCTTCCTCATAGTTGAATTTTCCACCCTTTTTTCCTGGTACGTTAGCATCAGGAGACATCAAAAATTCTTCAAACGATCTGGGTATTTGGCTTACTACTGCATATTCATATTGGAATGCCATTAAAATGAAGTACACCGAACGCTACAATCTAAGCGCCACGCGTACGTTCAAACTCCAAATTCCTTAATGGTTCAAAATGATTTTGGACTGAATAGAAGATGCTTGCGCTTAACGGGCCTCCGTATCTAGTAGCGGTGGATCACCAATACCTCCAGACAGAAACCTAGGTAAACTTTGGCGCTCATTTCAAAAAGGGTAGTGATTTTTGTACTTGTCATGGTTATCATAGCTTTGTGTATCTGTTGCACCAAGAAGCATTCTCGGTCCACTTTAACTAAAAGTACTTTGGTTATGGTTTGAAATTTTGCTAATCTTTGTCCTGTGGTGACTGACACTCGTGTTCACATTGCTATCATATTGTGTTTTAAACCATTTTAATCAAATTACAATGGTTGGTAAGAATTATAAATGTGGACAACCAAACTGCTTATTCATCGTTGAGGAAGGAATGCAGTGCAATGAATGTAAAAAGTGGTACCATAAGATGTGTACACGTTTAAGCCCTGCGGCATACAAAAGATGCTCGAAGCCTAACTCACATTAGCTTTGTACGTTTTGCTGTACAAATAAAAAGCTACTAGTTTAGGAGACTATGAGTTTATTGGCCTTTGCCTGTGAGAAAAACGATGGCGGTTGCGCTGATAACACGACCACTGACGGTGAAGAATGTATCAGTGTAGTATGTGCTGCTACCGGACCCGTTAAACACCCGACTGTGATTGATGGGAAAGTGAATTCTCCGTCAAAAGAATCTTCCGATAAGGAACCAAAGGCTAGATTTGAACACGATCTCAGTCATATTAAGTTCTTAATAAGCAAACTACTCCTAGATACAGTTTCTGGAGTTAATATTTACAAGCTTTATACAATAGGACAAAAGGTGGATTCTGAAAGTCTTCAGAAAAGCCACTTCTTGAAGGTTATCTTTGCCGCGGCTGAAGAAAGAAACCTGATTCAAGGTAACTCACGTAAACTAATTGGATCCAGAATATATGTCCGTGAGGATTTCAGCCTGGTTGACCATATTAAGAGACGAGCTGCAGAAGTAAAAATAAATGAGCACCCTCGAAAATGCAATAGAAACCACACACTTAGGGATTTTTAAATAGTAAAAGTTCCAAGCAGAACGATCCCCAAACCACTCTGAGTGGTAAAGAAAATTTCTCCACAGAATTAAAGGTATGCTACACAAATGCTCGCAGCCTACTTAATAAAATAGCAGAGCCCAAGAAACTGATGGATATAGAAAAACCGGATGTTATTGCTGACTCAGAAAAGTGGTTAACGTCTGAAGTTCACGATGATGAAATTCAGATGACTAGTTTATTATCCAGTAGGGCTGAGATATTAAACCTTAGGGCAGGCAGGTTTATCCCGTACACGAAAAGTATTATAACCATATGAGCAGTTGAAACATTGACACGTGATTCCGTGACGTGTGAACTCGTGCGTTGCAGGCTGAAATATAGACGGCAAGATATTGAACTAGTTGTAGTCTATTGCAGTCCAGAAAGTGTAGTGGATGATTTTCTCCTAGTAAACTGAAGTCATGTTGTAACAAGGGTAAAAGCCTTGTAGTATGCGACTTTAATGCGCTGTATATAAACTGAGTTAACTTAGAAGTAGGGTCATCGATAACGTCGTTCGATTGCAAACTGTTAGAAACCTTGGTTGGATTAGCTTTATTCCAACACATTAGAAACCCCACAAGATATGATATAAAAAACTCTTCTTCTCGTTTAGATTTAGTCTTCACACACGGTGATGACGTTGATCAAATGACTTTACTTCCAAAAATTGGGAGAAGTGACCACGTAGTCATATTATTCAAATTCATGGCTGAGATTGGCTGTCTAACAGTTGCGCCGGTATGCCCAAATATATGGAAGGGAGATATGCAGGCAATTAACTGCGCAGTATCGGCTGGAAACTGAGAAATTGACTCAAGGACATCAGTACGAGATGCATGGACTCAACCATACATACATGGCTGACTATTTTGGGGCAGTTTTCACTCAGGAACCTCCTCTAGACAAAGAACCAAACCAAAATAAACAGTCAACAAACCACCTGCTCACCGTGGACTTTGATTAAGACGATGTACTTAAAGCTCTTAGCACCTTAGACATAGAAAAGTCAACAGGACCAGATGAACTACACCACAAAACCTGGAGACAAATTGCACAATATATCACGGCCCCACTGACTGCGATATTGAGTATGCCACTTGAACAAGGTTTGTTACCTATGGACTGGAAGGACACAATCGTCACTCCTATACACAAACCAGGACCAAGACAAGTTCCATCAAACTACAGACCTGTAATCCTCACCAGTGTTGTGGTTAAAGTAATGGAAAGAATATTCAAATGGACCTTAATGGCATTTATGGAAACCAATAACTTGCTAAACATAGAACAACATGGTTTCAGAAAGGGTCTATCTTGTACAACGAACTCCCTTGTAGCAATGGAGTCCTGGATAAAGGCGCTAGACAACAGAAACTCAGTGTATGTTGTCTACATAGACTTCAGTAAGGCTTTTGACAAGGTGCCAACTAAAGGACTGCCATTGAAGTTGGAAAACCTTGGTATTGCCGGACCTCTTTTAAAATGGGTTAAGGATTTCTTAGTAGGTCGTAGACAGAAAGTAAGAATAGATTCCAAGTGTTCCATCTGCAGACTAGTACTTAGTGGCGTACCTCAAGGTTCCGTCTTCGGTCCTTTACTTTTTACAATGTATGTTAATGATCTTTCGAGTATAGTACAGTCTCCAATGTTATTATACGCTGACGATGTAAAGATCTGGCGAGTAATGACTGAAGAAACAGACGCATGTGCTCTTCAGACAGTTTTAAATAATATGATAAACTGGTCAAAAGAGTGGCTGATGCCTATCAACGCAGTAAAGAGTGTCTACATGCACTTTGGGGATTCAAAGGTTAATAGGTACAACATAGGAGATGTGTCACTACCAGTAGTTCGGTCTCATAAGGATCTGGGGGTGACAGTGTGTAATGACCCTAAGACGACGGCCCATTGTCGGGAGGTCGCAGCTAAGGGGTTTCGAACCCTCTGAGCTATAAAATGGATATTCACTAAATTAGATACTACCATGTTCACCACAGCATATACATCCTTAGTGAGAACTAAGCTTGAGAACTGCGTTCAAGCTGCAAGCCCTCGTTTAAAAGGTGACTCGGATATCCTAGAAAAAGTACAGAAGGCAGCTACCCGTGCAATACTAGAACTCCGAGGTTTACCATACAAAGAGCGGCTTGAAAAGCTGGACCTCATTACTCTGTCCTATCGCAGATAAAGAGGTGATCTAATTTTGATGTGCAGAAAACTGAGAAATGATTTTGGACCTAACTTATCCTCTCTTTTTCTTCCTACTAGATCGGGACATCCAAGAGGACATAGTAGGCTAGTAGAAAAGCCAAGAACGAACAAACTACCCGTGTTATGCAGGTTTTCACATTGTGTCATCAATACTCGGAACTTGCTGCCCAAGGCAGTGGTCTTCGCACCTTCAGTTGACTCTTTCAAGAGAAGACTGGACACTCACAGAATCATACTAGAAAGGGAATAACATAGGCCATAGGCCTTCTGTCCTTACTACAGAAATCTGAATCTGATATTAGCGATAATGCAGGATAGATTAGAACTAGTAAATCATGGTGAGATCCTGCCTTTATTCCTTGAGGATGTGTCGAGTTCTCTCTCAAAGAACTCCTGAAAATCCTCTTGAACTAGCTCGGTCGTGAACGAATCCCAACATTTGACTACCCTCAGGAAGTGGAAGGTATGTGTGCAGTCAATTCTGCTGTGTTGAGTCCCCAGCTTTTTGGTGTAACCCCTAAGGATTGTGTCGGGACTAAGCTTAATTACGTGATGAAGTGGACGCCCAGAAGTGTTTAAAATTAGGAGACCACCTCTGAAACGCCTCTACTCCAACACGTATAGATTCAGTGATTGGAGGCGCTCTTCATAAGGCTTCAGTTTGAATCCCCAATCTGATTTTTGTGGCTCACCGTTGGATGGGTCCCAGAGTGTCCTTATCCTTTTTGAACGAGAGAATAAACACTATGTTTGCGTACTTTAAGTGAGGACAAATAAAACTGTCGAAGATTATGTGGAACGTTCTTCCGTCAAACTGGTTAAAAACGCGCTTCAGTGTTTCCAGAGCAAGGTTTACTCGGAAGGCAATTTTGTCAGTTAGCGTAAGACGCCAAATCGTAGAATAACAGCACTACTAAACATTTTCAACTTGGGATATTTCTAGAGAGGAGTTTTCTAAGTTGTGACTGTAGTCGACAACATGTCTCAGATGGACTACATTACAGTTTGAAGTGTTTAAGGTAAGTACGTTTTCGTTTGCCCAACTTTGAAGTCGATTCATATTCTCCTGAAGTGCCAGTTTATCCTCTTGGTTTCGTATCTATCACTTCAAATCTTCACATAATCAGCAAAATGTGATAAGCCAGACGATACCTGTTATGGAAGATCGTTTATACAAATCAAGAAAAGGAGTCGTAGTACTGAACCCTAGGATATCAGTACGAATGTATGGACACTTGTTTTCATTGATTTAATCTATGTAAAAAAACAAGGGTATGAGAACAAAAAATTCTGAAGCGATTCATGGGACAATAGCAACCGGCGTATTCACATCTAAACGCTTTCTCACTACTCAAGAAGTGCACCAGAATATAGTACCTTATTCAATAGTATTTATTAATGAAATAAGTCTTCGCTCTTGAATTTGTGTCTTAATGCTAATCATAATCGTAGTCGTTATTTTGAGTATTAGAGTTGCATTATGCTCATGGTGAAGACATATATGTAGTTCTATTCTGTTCATAGGTTATTGAAATTTGCGATTCATTGGGCAAGTAAAAGTATGTAAATGTAGATACTTTTGTAGCGTGGAGTCGAGTTGCGATTGATTATGAACACCACTACTACTCTTGATAAAAGTAGGTCATTGCACTTTCAACCATGCTGAAAGTAAGCAATTTACAAGCTATTGTGTATATTTTACACGTTTATTCACATTATTTCGCACCTTTATGTAACACACAACTAACTTACTTACTCATTACCCAATCAATTAATTCTAGCCACTGTATACACTTATAAATAAAATAGTTTGTGATGTAGAACAGATATGATATGAGATTGAATTGAGATCTGCAAAGTAAGCACACTAAACATTTCTACACACAGTGAAATTTCACAAACTAAAGTTTTTAAAAATGATAGATCTGGTCATCATAAAGGGTCTTCATATTTGTTTGCAGATGACTTGCTCGAAATGAAGCGTAATAAGCAAAGAGTATACAGTTCAAAACCTAATAAAATAAATAGTGTAAAAAATTTGGGTAATTTTTAACGGATGAAAATAGTGTTGTTGACTAAAGAACGTGTTATTTACCGTTGTAATATCATCTCAAGTAATACATAAATAACCAAAGTTTACTTGCAATTAATTCTAGGATTTTATCCATGTATGATTTTCTTTTATGATATGATTGTTCGCTTACTTGATTATATTATCTCAATCAGTATGTACTCACTCATCTACTCACGCCTGTTGTTTCTCGTGAACGAGCATAGGTCGCCCACCAGCATTCTCTATCCGACTCTGTACTAGGCAATAGTTACCCCAGTTGTTTCCAAGTGCTAATCATTCTTTTCATGTCTGTTCCCCATTCCCGATGCATTTTGTTCTCTTCTCTTCCTCTTTCCCGTTTCCCTTCAGGATTCCAAATTAAAATGGATAAAATCCTAGGATTAAGTGCAAGTAAAATTTTCTTATTTTACACCTCTTTAATACAGTGTCAGACTGTGAGTGTTTTCCATGTTACTAGAGTATAATAACTTACAAAATTTGTCTATTAATATTATAAGATATTTTAATGAATTATAGAAACGGACAGAAATTCATTGACCTTAACTATTCTCTTTGCCAGACATCATTCATTTCACAGTCGCCGTATTCATCAAAGTAATCAAGAAATTCCAGTTCATAATATGAAATCATTCAATAAGAGAACTAGACAGTCAGGTGATTCATAACTCACTATATAAAACGTAAAACATAACAATGTGAATTCACAAATCATTGATACTACTTATTAAAATCATTGATACATGTCTGATACTCTTTATTTTAACTTATTGTTATGGTTGTGTTTTATAAAACTTTTATACTCTAACCACCATCCAACAATTGGGATCATAAATGTTAATGAAACCGATGAAACATTTTCACAAGTAATTATAATCATAATTCGGATTAATAATCTGTGTAATTAGACAGATCACTATTATTACACAGAATTAATACGATTCAATCAATCATCTCCAGTAATATTTGATAATGTGAACAAACCGATTAATTTATCTAGACCAAGGGTAATGTAAAATCTAATCAATATTTTTCAGCCATTTATGCCTCTATTCCCATTTATATATTTTGGTGAACAGTTTCGTTTGGTTACAATATTTTCAAAGGGTAAGTGAATAATGATAACAATTTGTACATTGTAACTGATTGTGCGCAATATTATCAAGGTGATGGAAATGATCACTGCATTTATTCTGTCAGTGATTATTCAATGACACCCTTTATCTGATATAAATGATGTGAAAGTACACAATTGATCATACAATTTATAAGATTCTAGTGACCTTCTTTTATGAAGATGACGTGATTGGTGTAATGGAAACAATCATTATTTTAACTAACTGTACCAGTGATTGTTTTACTGTACCTTTTCGTTTAATTGTATCAAAACGCATAGTTTTCCGTTATTTGTGACCTTGACCACACTCACGTTCGCTCGTTAGTTTCACTTGTAGATTTCTGCACGATCTCGATATTATTTCGATACCACGAGATTGCCAAGAAATACATCCTAACAACAATCTGATATTTGTCCTACGGATGGGTTGAACCTGATAAGTGGCACGTAATCGATCTGTAGTGGTTATTATAATGAACTGTGACTCAACACAACTACAGGATAAAGACAGACTACCTTCAATTTGGATATAACGAAAACGTTTTGGAAGTTTATAGGACATACATTTTGGAAATCATCGAATTGTATCACGATGAAAACGCTGAGTTTAAGCACTGAATGAAAGACCAGATAACCCTTTGTGTCTGGAATTGGAAGCATACATCTAAATGATGATTAATAATTCTAAACAACTGTCACGGTGAGATGAAGACAGTGTTGAATGGTGAATTCTTGTTTACGGTTCATTCGGTTTCACGATGGAAACTTCTACGACACTACGGAGTTCCTGAGAAGATTGTCAACATTATCCGGAACTCATACGACGGACTACAATGCAAAGTCGTGCATGGAGGACAGCTGACAGATGCATTCCAAGTAAGGACCGGAGTCAGACAAGGCTGTTTACTCTCTCCCTTCCTCTTTCTTCTGGTGGTCGACTGGATTATGAAGACCTCGACATCTGAAGGAAAACACGGAATTCAATGGACAGCTCGAAATCAATTAGACGATTTGGACTTCGCAGATGACCTAGCCCTCCTATCACGTACACACGAACAGATGCAGATGAAGACAGCCAGTGTAGCAGCAGTCTCTGCATCAGTAGGCCTCAGCATACACAAAGGGAAAACCAAAGTCCTCAAATTCAAAGCGGAAAACAACAATCCAATCACTCTTGATGGCGAAACTCTGGAAAATGTAGAGTCCTTCACATACCTGGGAAGCATCATCGATGAACAAGGAGGTTCAGATGCAGACGTAAAGGCAAGGATTGGCAAAGCAAGGACAGCATTCCTATAGTTAAAGAACATATGGAACTCAAAACAACTTTCAACCAATATCAAAGTGAGAATATTCAATACCAACGTCAAGGCAGTTCTACTGTATGGAGCTGAAACTTGGAGAACTACAACAACCACCATCAAGGAGGTACAAGTATTTATAAATAGTTGTCTACGCAAGATACTCAACATCCATTGGCCGAATACCATCAGCAATAGCCTTCTGTGGGAGAGAACAAACCAACTTCCAGCTGAAGAAGAAATTAGGAAAAGACGATGGAAATGGATAGGACATACATTACGAAAATCGTCAAACTGCATCACGAGACAAGCGCTAACTTGGAATCCTGAAGGGAAGCGAACAAGAGGAAGGCCAAAGAACACATTGCGTCGGATAATAGAAGCAGATATGAAAACGATGAATTACAACTGGACGGAGCTAGAAAAGATTGCCCAGGACAGGGTTGGATGGAGAATGCTGGTGAGCGGTCTATGCTCCTTCACGAGGAGTAACAGGCGTAAGTAAGTAATGCGGTTTCACGATAGATAACTTGTGTTAGTAATTATATAATGATTATTCGTAAACTACTAATAACTTAACATTCATCATTTATTATGAATATCTAATCAAATCATTTTTCAATAACACACAATAATTACGTCATTATTAATCAATAACGTACTTGCATCTAATTGGTTAGTTACTAGTTTAAAATCGTAGTTCATTACCAAAGTGCCAAATATGACCCCGACAGTTAGTTATCTGATATAAAATCAATGAAATTTGAAAAATGAAGCTTATAAAATCTTTATTTCATAGACAATATTTGATCATTTATTGAACTTTGAAAAGAAAAATAACAAAATTGTTATATTCAGTTAAGCTATAAACTACAAAACGATCTATTTCACATATACACATTTCATCAATTGAAACATATCAGATTATATTGACAATTGAATGATATCAGTGTCCATTGTTTAAAGGTAACTTTTATAAAACTATTAATAGTTAAGAATAATTTTTTATTATCATTTTTATCAATTAAGGTGTATTGGGCATTGGACCTGGAACTGAGAAACCAGATTCAGGAAATATAATTCATACTTTTGATGGAGAAAACGAATACGATGAAATACAAGTAAAGGATTCTAGTGAGATTTAACATTTTGTTACATTATCTTATATTTTGTTTTAGAACGTTATTCTTATATAAATTTTCAGTGATAAATTAAGTAATTGCGAATAATGAATTTCTATATTGTGATTTAATGATAGCTGTTGTCATGAACTTAAATGAGCTGAAGAACTATCTTACAAATCATGGTTTATAGGAAAAATGTATCTCTCTTGTTTTACTTACTTACTTACTTACCTGTGTTACTCTTAATGGAACATAAGCCGCCAACCAGCATTCTACAACCCACTATGTTCTGGGTCTTCTTTTATAATTCTATCCAATTCTTGTTCATCCTTCTCGTACATGCCTCCATGTCTCGGCGTAATGTGTTCTTTGATCTTCCTTTTTTACTTTATCTTTGAGGATTCCATATGAGGGCTTGCTTCGTGACGCATTTTGGTGCATTCGTCAATATGTGTCCTATCCACTTCCAGCACTTCTTCCTCATTTGTCCCTCCACTGGTATCTGAATTGTTCTCTCCCATAGTAGGTTGTTGATAATAGTGTCTGGCCAACGGATTCGAAGTATTTTGCGTAGGCAACTGTTAATAAACACCTGTATGTTCTGGATGATGGCTTTCGTAGTTCTCCAGGTTTCCGCCCCATACAGTAGAACTGTCTTGACATTTGTATTGAAAATCCTGACCTTGGTGTTAGTTGACAGTTGTTTTGAGTTCCAGATGTTCTTCATTTGTACATATGCTGCTCTTGCTTTACCGATCCGCGCCTTCACATCTTAATCAACAATACACATTTCTAACTTTGATAAAAGTATACTAGAATAAGAAGGTAGGTAAAAGATCTACTTGCAATATAATAAAAGTTCATCATTTACAAATTCTTATTAGGAATTCGGAAATCTATCTCGAAAATATTTAATAATGAGCTGACGATTGATATTCTAAATAACCGAATCATCATAGAATTTAATTGTTATACCCTATTTCTGTTCAAATAACATTTTCTATATTCTCTTATTCTAATACAGTAATATATTAACTGTTATCTATACGAAATAAAACTTGTTATTTTCATAATACCAATGAAATCGATTATTAATTAGTGTGATACTTTGTGATGTGTACTACTGATGTCAATAGATATAAGTAGTATGTATCATCTGTCGAAAGTGAAAGGTCTGTAGGCAAATTGTTAAGATCAAAGAAAAAAATATCAAGAACATGTAATGATTACTGTTGAAACAAGAGAACAATACGATCTGAGACGATTGATTGATATTTTACAGAATAAAGTATTCACTGTATGATACTCAGATTTGACTAAGAGATTCTTCACTTCTGTTCTCATTCACTACAATTTCAGCTCCAATAATTTCAGTTGGTTTATAGTTAATTAAGCTATAACATTAAATACACATAAATTACATTCAGTTGAATGTCTTTTATATTCCAGATGAATTCTCTGCAGTGAAATGGCTTCGTTTGAATACACAATATTCAAATGATTATCAAATCAAAGATCATGGTATTTTATTCAATGTAAAATTGTATAAAAAGAAGTTTTTTTTGTTTAATAAACGGAATACACTCATTAGAACATTAAATAAGAAAGATTAGTTCAGTGAAGAGTTCTCCTCTTTTCGGTGAATTCATTTTCAAAGTTGTACAATCACAATTACACATATACTTATATTTCACAGATTGAAATCATGAGTCAATCGAAGCTAGACCACCGTGGAAAACCTGGAAGCACTGGATTGTCGTTTCTTCCTATTGTGGTACTCCTTAGCAGTGCGCATCCACGAACTTGCACCCCACGAGATTCGAACCCAGGACCTAACAGTCTCGCACCAGGCACTTAACCAACTAGACCACTAATCTGGCATCCAACGGTGTTAATGCCTAACTTCAACTAATACACGAGATTAAGCGACACACTCACCATTGTCATCAGTGAGTTACTATCTCACAACTGACCCGGTTGAACTCCACTGGTCACTGCTTCTCACTAGAACTTGTTATTTCCAAATGGAACATGTTAATGTTCAACAAAAATTGATCAAATCAATGAAGAGTCTTGTTTACAAAAGTATAAGAAGAGCGAGTTTTCAACTAGTTGAATGACATCAATAATGAATAAGTAAGAAAAGTTAGTTAGACATCATAAGGTGTTTGAGAGTTATAGTTTATTAGAGAATTTGTATTCACATTAGAATAAGAATATCATAGTTTTAAACAAAATATTTGATATAGAATTATGAAAAATGTTTAGATTAAAGGAAGTTTCAATGGGATTATGATTTTAAAGTCATCTCTCAACACCTACACACTTCCTCGAAATGATCTAGAATAAAGAATCTGATGCAAATTATTGATTGCGTAAAAATGGTAAACATGATGCTAAGCACAATCAAATACTCAGTATGAGATAGTTATTTGAAATAGCTACATCATTGATTTCCAATGATTGTAATGATTTAAGTCATAAGCTATATAAACAAAGATGGATAGTGGCTAGCAGTGGAATACAGGATGCTCGTTTCGTCCTATTCAAGACTCGTCAGCTGAATGTACCTGCACTTCAGAGTTGATGTTCACTTTGAGATTCCAACCCAGTATCATTTGATTTAAATGCACTTAGCTACTAAGCCCTAATAGCCATCTGCTTATCCAACGGGATGAAGTATTGGATACTGGATACAATACAAACAATATCAACTAACTTATATTGATTTGTCTAATATAGTTAGTTACCTATCAAATGATTGTTTAAACATAATTTCTTAATAATATAAATGATGATAAAAAGTGTCACAGATAGAAATGTGACTAGAGAATTGTTTAACCATTTGAATGAATCACAATGACTTCAGTTTACTTGTAATTTGTATCATTTATTCAACTTCAAATGATCATACTGTTTAATATCACTTTGTTTTAAGAAGATTATACATCTAATTGGTTTTATTCAAATTAATACAAAAAAAACTATGTTGCTGTAGATATTTTAATGAATGAAAACGACCATTTTTCATTTTTCATTTTTTTTGAATTTTTCAGTTCAGATTGTCTGTGTTATTTATTCTAATGGAAATATATCGATTTACTATGAAAAGGTATGTTAATAGTTAATTATAAAGTCTTTGTATTAGTTAACTTGAATTGGCAACATTCTAATTTGTTCTATTAATATGTATAATATAAAGTGTTATATTATCACCATTGTAGATATTTACTTGTTATATGAAGTTATACTCATGTACATATCAAATTCTACCTACTTACTTACGTACTTACATATGCCTGTTACTCCTCGTGGAGGAGTATAGGCCGCTCACCAGCATTCTCCATTCAACCCTGTCCTGAGCAATCCTTTCCGGTTTCTTCCAGTTATTATTCATCCTTTTCATATCTGCTTCCATTTCCTGACGTAGTGTGTTCTTCGGTCTTCCTCTTTTCCTCTTCCCTTCAGGATTTCAAGTTGGGGCTTGTCTCGTGATACAGTTTGATGATTTGCGTAATGTATGTCCTATTCATTCCCATCGTTCTTTCCTAATTTCTTCTTCAGCTGGAAGCTGGTTCGTTCTCTCCCACAGTGGGCTGTTACTGATGGTATCCGGCCAATGGATGTTGAGTATCTTGGGTAGACAGCTATTTATAAATACTTGTACCTTCTTGATGATGGTTGTAATAGTTCTCAAAGTTTCAGTCCTCATATTAGAACTGTGTTGACGTTCGTATCGAAGATTCTTACTTTGATATTGGTTGAAAAGTGTTTTTAGATCCATATGTTGTTCAACTGTAGGAATGCAACCCTTATTTTGCCAATCCTCGCCTTTGGGTCTGCACCCGATCCACCATGTTCATAGATGATAATTCCCGACTACGTGGAAGATTCCTCATTTTACAGAGTTCTTCCATCAAGTGTGATTGGATTGGTTGGCGTTCTTCGCGTTGTATTTGACGATCTTGCTTTCTGCAGTGACCGGCTAACTTACAAGCTTATCCACAAACGTTTTGTAGATCAGTTTTGTTTCTCTGATGACTTTATTCAATGGATGGATGAATTTCAATGTTATCGTCTTTCATTGCTCCAAATAGAATGGTATGATGAAAATATAAACATTACATTTGCGATACCACCCTAATTGATCAGTGATTAGTGTTGGAAAACATGTAGCTTAGACATTTGATAAGGTCAACTAAGCTTTTCCACTTTATATATTTCGTACTGATTTTAACAACTAACAATATGGACTAATGAGAAATAAGAGTCCTGTTGTTAGTTGAATAAATTGTAATGACAATAGTTGAAAACAATATTCATGTGTTCTAGGTCGGTTAAATACTAAACATCATATTGTATTGAACATTACTTTCCAGATACCCAACGAGATTGAAACGAATTCATCTGTTAAGTTGATCTATGAACCACCTAATGAAGGTAATCTAACCAAATTGTAATAGTAATTTCTTATTGTGTTCTATATCTGATTGAACTTGTCACTCTGAAATCAATGAGATATCAACTTTTGTAATCAATGGAGGTCCAAGACAACTGCTGATATTCTACAACGAGATGGTTGTATAAGAGATTTTGAAACAATGTGACCATGTTAAAATGAATTGAAATACATCATTTCAAAGCACTCGTCATCATTCTGTCACATATACAAAATTATATCGTTTTATGGAGGTTCAGCTGAGTTTTTAGGTTTCACTTAATCATAAAATATCATTCACTTGACAATCATTAGGAAATACATAACAGTGAACAGACTACATTTTTAACAACAGCGGTTTGTTATCATCGTCTAGATGTCACAAGAATCACAATGTGCTTACAAATCACTACACTTGACAAGCGTAAAACTCCAACTTAAGTGTATTGTAATGAACGCTTGTATATAAACACCTTCCTAACACTGAGGCTTGTGATCTGAAAAGTTTTCAAGTGTACTACTGATATCAGTAGGCTGACAACAAGTGTAAATAAAAGTTTGAGAAACTCAACAGAAACATAATCTTGACCATTTTTATAATGAATTCATTATTATCTGTTTATAAAAGGTAACTAATTCACCTGACATTGGGTTATTGCTCAATTGTTTTCAACTTCTCATAGATGATCATTACCGGAGAAAAGAAATACTTTCCACATATTTGGTGAAATCTGGGATGTTGATTGAGTTTACTCCTATTTTAAGTGAGTAAGAAAGTTATTTTAACTGATCACTGGATATATTGTTTATTTGTTAATCATCTCTTCTATGGTTTCTCAGTATGAAATGATGAACAAGTATCTTGTGATGTATAGAATTATTATTTGTTGATTAGATCTCAGATAAAATAATGTTTCTCTCCCAATTAAGTACTATTCAGAAGCATTTCATTGTGCAACGATGTCTGAAATTAACAATTTCCTTCAGTTGACAGTTATCCTCGAAGTCCAGTTATATATTGACCAGCCTTAATATAATGATTCATCAAGTATCTTGTGTGATCTAGCTGATTACGTTCATGTTCAACTTGGGCATGTTTCGATACCTGTTACCAATCTTTTAATGGATGTTTATCGAGATAATCCTTATACGTCACATATCATTCGTCCTGATAACCTCCTTTAACATATTTGAATGTGTAACGTCCCAAATATCGGTTGGGGGTACTATTCTATTCCTTCCGGTAAACGAAATACCAAACAGTGTGGATGTGTTTTGAAATAAGTAGTGTGATGGTTCTAGAGGGATCTAAGCTTGTCATCTGATTATCGTTTAAATATAAAACTGAACAAAATAATTATAGCTGACATTTAAGTCAGTAAGTAGGACATTTGAGTCGTCTGTAATACGACATCAAGAGAATTTCCACTAACATCCATGACACTGTCTATTGAACACGCTAATCAAAGGGCTCAACAAATGTCAACGTGTACAAACTCAAGTATAAGTGAGGGTTCTATAAGCTCATACACAAATCAGCTTATAATTTTGCCTCTCTAACTAGAAAAGTCACAGATTTCGTTAATCAATTACTGAAGTATTTGGATGAAATTGGACTTATTAGCGAATAATATACATGACATAACAACGACTCCTACAGTTTAGTTTGATGAAAGTGATTTGAAGACATTTTCCGGTGGAAGATTTAATTTTAAGATTGGGTGGATGGTTGATAACTATAATTACTGCTTATTAATAAGTAGAATGATGACCATGAATAACGATATTTATTTTCCACATTCCATTTGATGTATTACTGACAAATACAGTATGACATATTATCTATTTTCCAGTACACACTTTAAATTGTCAAGCGACTCGATCGGGCACCAGTAGGTCTCAATATACACAAAGAGAAAAGCAAGATTCTCCGATACAACACAACATGCACCAATCCAATCACAATTGACGGAGAAGATTTGGAAGATGTAAAAACCTTTACATATATGGGCAGCATCATTGATGAACACGGTGGATCTGATGCAGTTGTGAATGCACGGATTGGTAAAGCAAGAGCAGGATATGTACAAATGAAGAACATCTGGAACTCAAGACAACTGTCAACTAACACCAATGTCAGAATTGTCAATACAAATGTCAAGACAGTTCTACTGCATGGGGCGGAAACCTGGAGAACTACGAAAGCCATCATCCAGAACATACAGGTGTTTATTAACAGTTGCCTACGCAAAATACTTCAGATCAGACACTATTATCAACAACCTACTATGGGAGAGAACAAACCAGATTCCAGTGGAGAAAGAAATGAGGAAGAAGTTCTGTAAGTGGATAGGACACACATTGACGAATGCACCAAAACGCATCAAAGAGCAAGCCCTCATATGGAATCCTCAAAGATTAAGTAAGAGAGGAAGACCAAAGAACACATTACGCCGTGTAATGGAGATAGACATGAGAAAAATGAACAAGAATTAGATAGAACTAGAAAAGAAGGTGCAGGACAGAGTGGGTTGTAGAATCCTGGTCGGTGGCTTATGCTCCATTAAGAGTAACAGAGGTAAGTAAGTAAGTAGATAAGTCGATCCGGCATCATTGTGACATATCTCCTCTATCCATGAAATCGCTAATAGTTGAATTAGTGCCCTCTTACAGATATCTCTTTATCTTGTCATTGAAGATTGTATGGAATACAAATTTTGTGAAGACTGTACTAAAGATTATACATCTGGAAGAAAGTGCCATTGGTGTCCGAAATTCAACACGTGCAGACACCTTCGTGATATCGATATCCAAACCTTGCTTGGAAAAGATTGTGCTGTCCAAGTAAATTTAATCTCTTTGAATCTCAAAGAATATATATAATTTCTGTTCAGTTCTTTTACCTACTATATATGGATTTTACTAAATAACATTTTGTGTCATTGGGCTGTAATATACTGGTCTATTAAGCAATCACTATAAATATTTATTATTCTAGTTACTACTGGGTTTCTGAGTTTATTTGTTCTAATACATGTTAATTTACTGTGGATTGTATGTAGAGCTGAAGGTCTCATATGAAACTGGAGGTTCGTTATTGTGAATGGTTCGGCATTGCTTTGGCAAGTTTTGCTGACTGCTCATGCACAAAATTGGTTTGCTGATTAACCGATTTCATTCATACTGGTGGTTGCTTTACAGTGTTCTTAAGGGCCATTGTCATAGGGACACTGTAAGGCATGTCGCCATTGCCAACATTAATGAGCTTGACTGTCGTATAAGCTGAATAGGTCAACTTTGGCCTGTTCGTGCTGTGCATAATTGATTCACGCGATCACTGATCGGTGGCGTGAATGTTTATATGAATTATGCAAATGGTCCACCAGGGTGCTTGGTATCTGTGTGGTTGAGCCACAGGATTGAGCTGTACTATTCAGATTGTAGCGTTAAAGCCTACACGGTATAATTCCAGCTTCTTTTCCTAATTTCCTCATTAGTTGTAATCTAATTCATTCTCTCCCAAAGTAGGTTGCTGCTGATAGTATCCGGTCAACGAATATTCAGCACCTTACGTAGATAATTGTCTATAAATACTAATACATCTTTAATGATGGTTGTGGTAGTTCTCTTAGTTTCGGCTCAGTACAATAGAGCTATTTTGGCGTTCGTATTGAAGATTATGATTTTGATATTGGTTGATAATTATTTTGAGTTTGATATGTCGTTCAACTGAAGGAATGCTATTCCTAGTTTCTAAATTCTTGCTTTTACGTCTACATCAGATTCTCTTTGTCCATCGATGATTCTTCTGACCAGGTACGTGATAGTTCCAGCTGTTCTTGAGTTTCTTCATCACGTGTGATTTGGTTGGTTGGCGTTGTCCATTTTGTATTTAAGGATGTTGGTTTGTCCCTTGTGTTTGTTTAGGCCTACTGCTGTAGAGGCTTCTGCCACACTAGTTGTAATGACCTGCGTTTGTTGTTATGTATGAGAAAAAAGGACAAGGTGATCTGAGAAGTCGAAATCATCTAGTTGCATGCAATCTGTTCATTCTATTCTGTACCTCCCCTCATATATGTAGGTCTTCATAATCCAATCAAACATCAGAAGAAAAAGAACGGAAGAGAGTAAGCAGTCTTGTCTGACTGTGGTTCTCACTTGAATATGTCTGTTAGTTCTTCTCCATGCACCATTTTGCAGTGTGGTCATTATTTTTCTATGACATTCTGTTGCGAAATTTACAGTTTTAAAAGAACCGTTTTCTTCTCTGATATTGTGGATTACAATTTATGAAAAAATAAAGGTATGTCATGGATTGACACCGACATAAAAATGAAATCTTTTCATCATCTCTTCAATTTACATATGCTAGTATTGTCTTAATATTAGATTAAAAGCACTTTTATTTTGGTTTAGCAAATAGGAATTTGTTCATATTCAACTAACAGAATGATCGAACATGTTCCAACAGAAGAATCAACCGTTAAACATAATATAGAATCTACAAACCTTATAACATTGACTTCAAATAGGACTACAATGAAATCAATCACTACTGAAAATATATCACCTACACAACCGTTAATGAACACCAATAAGTTAAACAAGATTAACGAATCTTCCGTAAACGATCATCAAACCACTTTCCCACAGGTCACTATATATCAATCATCTAGCAGACCGATTCAAATTACTACTCACATGATCATAAAAGTTACTGAAGACAATCCAATCACATCCAAACAGCTTCTATTCTCTCGTGATATATTACAGATATATTCAATCACATTTATTAATGAAGTCAGTCGTCGTTTATTCATTCGTCTTCTAATGCCATTCATAATCGTGACCATTGTTTCAAGCATCGTATTTTTTGTTCGACTATTCAAAATACGACACCAGAATGATATGAAAAACTAAACTCTGCATCATATAACTAAAGTTTCTCAACATGCTGAAACTAAACAAATTGACTAACTGAAGAAATACATTTGAAATGCTCATTTTCATTCCTTTCATCTTTTTGTTTTTACAACATTCAACGCATTAGCGATTTCATCATTCAGTTTATGATTTGTCGATTGTCATTAATTGTATGAGTTAAATTTGGGACAGAGTTTTAACGTTGTTTGGAAAATATGTACACTAAACATTTCTATATACAGTTCATTGATACGTATTTGAACATTCGAAAATGTTCGAATTGGAATGTGACTTTCATTACAAATGTAAATATATATTGAGATTTATGTTCTATACAGCCTGAATAGAACTGGGATTCCTGATTAGATTATATCTGGATCACATGTTCCTTTAGGTCTTACCATGTCAGGCAGCTCGACTGGAGAACGGTAAGTTTAAAGACAGCAACTTAAGGCTCGGTGGCGAAGTCACATTGCCTATTGTAAAAGGATGTGAGAGCAGTAATGTGTTTCCCTCGGATAAACAACATTTGTAGCGATGCTGCATTCTCACAACGGAAGAAAGGGTTGAAAAAGGTTGAGCATAAAAATTTCACACCTCACACTACCACATAGATTTCCATCTCCAACAGCAAAGCCTTTTGAATTGAGCAGCCAACACATCAAAAACTCCCCATAAAAAGATTACGCGCTACCGGCCTTAAGCCGTCGTCCCTTCGGCTTTGTACTTACGCTACCAGGTCGCTATGACCACCATTAATTCAGCTTTGAATTCAGGGACCTCAACAAGAAATATCCTTATACGATGTCGACAAACAGGATGTGACATTCACCCTCATATCAACCGCTATCAACACTCGAATTCATCTTGTTCACAATTGAATCCTTCTCTCACCACCTCTTAATAATTCTTCTTTCCCAACGACTAATCCTTCTTATTTATCTGAAACTACACTCCAAACTACATGTTCGAGCTTTAAATGTTCAAACCCCGTGTTTGATGAGAAAACAGGCTTCTTTAGCTAGGAGTGGACAATCTCGCACATTACATTACGTTTCCGAGACACGCATACAGGATCCAAGTACAGTCATTCACATGACGCCAACTTATCAATATAAAGAATCGGCGCGGTTTACTCTCCGAATATCTGGGGTCCCCACTACTACTTCCCCCAGCCTTGTTGGTGCAAGTATAGCACTAAGTTTGGAAGTAACAGTGACTCTGTCAGACTGGGTTACAATACACAGTGGCTTGTGCGCTGTCAGACTAATCGGGGCAGTGGGAACTCGAAAAGATAAGGACACAGAGTTACTTTTTGTCTATACCTACGCTCCCAATAATTGCAGCTAGAACAAAGTTGAATATGGGTTTTATAGGAAACAAGAAAACTTCACAAAAGCTAAATGCTCTGATATAGTAATAGTTACAAGTGTCTTTTTAATGCTAATGTAGGGAAACTAAGTCAAACCGAAAGGCCCTTGGGCGGATCTTACGGTGTGGTCGTATACATATTTTGTGTATTCATTGAGTAAATTATTGCTATATAGTTTACGTACTCTGGAACTCAGAAATCCTTGAAACTGGGAAGTTTGTCTAATGATGTGTTCTGAGATGATCAGATTGTGGCAATATCTGAGTCCTAGGTCCATTGACATATAAAGCTTAGATAACACCTTGCCCTCATTACGAAGTCTGGGTTAGAAAGAGAATTGCCAAAACAAATGTCAGTCAGTCAGTTACAACATAGGACTAGGCACGTATATGCATCGGTTCAAGCTGCTACACCTCGTTAGCACATCAAGATGAACATCAAATTCATAGAAGTAGTTAATCCAATGGTGTAATAAATAAAGGGAAGATTGCATATAAAGATATAGTACGATGTGGTCTGTTTGGTTTGTATATAAACCCAGTATGTTTAAAATACATGATTCATATCACGGAGGCTGAGATTGATGTTCCGGACTCAAGAGACAAGGTTAGGTGGGAGGAAGAACCAATAAAGACTCTGGACTGTTCGTACGGGTTTTATGCCTGATTAGTCCGTTCGATAATTCACTGTTCTCTAATAAGCGTTATAATTACATTATACATTAACAGGGGATGGGGCAAAAGTTGTAGCACAAATATTTACTGCTTTCAAATTCCCAGTAGTAGCTTTTGCTCTATAAATTTCCTTATTTTGTTTAAAAACTATGATCATTCATGAAGTTCCCATGGTACTATTTGCTTTATAGTCTAATCACTGATTTCTATAATAATTCATACTACATAGAGTGTAAAATATACTGAAAGTCAGATGAAGATGGATTCTTCTGAAACTTTTGATACATCAGGATTTATACACAATAGTTCCTGTAATCAAATTCTTGATGATATGATGGAAAGAGAAGTCAATTTTCGATTGATTTACTAATTATGAGTTTTGTTCAAGATTACTTCCGTCTTGATTCAATATAATGTAGTATTTGTTCTTCTCTTCTCGTATGATATTTTATTCTGTGTGTGTTGTGTTCCATTGACATGAACTATGCCCAGTATATGAGTTGTTATTTTTCATATATGTGATTACATTCTAGTGATTAATCAAAATGGTTGTACGAATCAATGTAAAAATGAGTGTATTTTCAACTAGGGTTGTCGTCGTCGTCGTCGTCGACGTGTTTTGGGGTTAATATATCATCACTTATACCAATTTTTGTGTTCTTACTTTCGCGTCGTGGGGATTGCAGAGGTCCCGACATAACAATCAGCGATGACCAAATACAAAAGGTAGCATGAAAAGAGCTAAGATAATAAGCATTCAAATGACAAATTATAACACTTGATCCATTGTAGTTTCATTTCTCATCTATTAGAATAACTTTCATAACACTTTCAAATCACTCAAAAACTAAATACTTAAAATAATTTTCATTTTGATATTCAATAAACAAAAGAAGAAAGAAAATAAAGGAAAAAGTCACCGAAATCGATACTTTGAATTGATTATTGAATATTGTTTTATCAATAGGATAGAATATCTGTGAAGAATCTTGTGTTTAAAACTGATCCATAGATGATAATAATATTTACTTAAGAAATACATTACTACTGAATACGAATTTAAGTAATATTTAAAAAAGTAGTATCTATATAAAATAAAATTAGTTGTATAGCATAAATAGTGTATAATCGAGATGAGAAATTACATTGTCTTTTCATCTGGATTGTATAAAGTTCCAGTTGAAGTGATTACATTGAACTCTGTAATATAAAATGTGAAGAAAGGAAACAGAATATCTGTGATAACTCAATAAGATTTGATGATTACAATTTAAACTTGATAGATTAGTAAATAAGAGTACAGTCAGACTAAGATGGATACAAGGATAGTTATATTTCATAGTTGACAATATGAATCACTAAATATAAGCCATAAAATGCTCTGGTAAAGCCAAGGGCAAAGAGTCAGCTCTTCTTCTCAAAATGTTTTCACATGGCCGTGTGCATACAACCACTGCCATGGAAGTCCTACTCACTACTTTCTCGTGACATTACTGTTGTTTACCGGAATGAGAGGAAGAAAAGCGAATGTCCTGTGCTTTAATCGGGTCGGCGGACACGCAGAATTGGATACCCTGATTCCAAACCATTAGTGTACATGGGACACAGGATCCTGAGGGAACAAATGGAGTATGAATCAATCGTTGATCACCGGCTACCATAGGACTGCATCTCCTAACGTTACTCCACTGACTTGTGGATCATACCTGTCGGACGAATTCTCCGGGTATGGCCCATTAAGAAAACCATCTGCTTCGGTTTTGGCACCCGGGCAGTATCATAGCCCACACATAAGCCGAATGATCTATGCGGCGCTTATCTGCTTGGTGCCTCCTTGTATCAATGTTTATGTGTTTAATTATATATATATCATACGTATGTTACTGTTTGTTTTTTCTACAATCTATTCAAAATTACCAGAGTCAAAATCAACTGAGAAGATCCTAAATAATTTTCATTTTATTCAAACAGTTATTATTGACCCGTCACTGGCATAACGACATATTTTTGGTTCAGCGGTAATTGATAAATATAAAACCAATACTATCATCAATATCTTGATTAAAGTTTGATACAGTAATACTGTGGCTTGAAGTCTCAATTGCTAATAGCGCTTAGTTTTTCTTCGTCTTTACAAATGGGACGTTGATTTATCTTAGATGACTATCTACACTACATTCCCTCTCAGTGTCTAATCTACAAGACTTCAACACAAATTAGATCGTGAACATGTGATTAGCCTGACTAGAAAATGAATATATATTTGGACGACAAAAACCGACACAATCTAACAACAATCAATCAATAATAATAAGGGTAATGAAATATATAACTCATCTAGTACCTGTCAGACTATCTACAAGTTTAACTAAGCAAACAACTAATCATTATTATTCTCACCCACACAGCACAATCTCACCAGTGATGAAAGTAAAACGGTGGAATCGCTATGTGACATATACATTTGTAGATATGAATATGGAGAATCTAAGCATTATCCACCTTTATGTGTGAATATTAACACTGGAATTTATTTATATTCAGAGGATGAATCTTAATTAAAATGAAAGTTGAATCCTGGATCCTAGTGCTAACAATAATACAAATTTGTAACCATCATTCGTTGGGGGTTAACCACTGAAAGCCCTCTATGAAACTAGTGTTGTCATGCCATGATACTCTGTTTGAATATTCTAAATATTCACAGGTTGAAATCATGAGTCAGTTGAAGCTAGACCACCATAGAAAACCTGGAAGCACTGGATGGCCGTTTCGTCCTAGTATGGGACTCCTCAGCAGTGCGCATCCACGATCCCGCACCCCTTATGATAAATAATCAACTGCTCACTGGTGACTGATTTCATGAGATACCCCTGGAGTTCTAGTGGGAAGCCGTTACCAGTGGAGTTCAACCAGGTCTGTTGTGAGATATCATCTCACTGAAGACAATGGTATACGGTGACGCAACTTCGTGGATTGGTTGAAGTTAGACATTAACACCGTTGGATGCCGGCTCAGTGGTCTAATGGTTAAGTGCTCGCGCGCGAGGCCAGTAGGTCCTGGGTTCGAATCCCGCGGGGTGCGCAATCATGGATGCGCAGTGCTGAGGAGTCCCATACTGGGATGACACGACCGTCCAGTGCTTCCAGGTTTCCCATGGTGGTCTAGCTTCAAATGACGCATGATTTCAATCTGTGAAAAATTTTAAAGTCTCCACAAAACCCTTCTGATATTCTAAATATCTTAATAACAACGTTACAATCTAATCACTTCGACTTCTCGTTAGTATTATTAATTCTACAGTACTCATGCAAAAATGTTTAATTTACCAATATATTCCGTTTCATTTGACCTTTAATAGATCAGTGATGCAAAGTAAAACTTTTTAAGCTGCCTAAATGGCTTTTGAATGTTCAATGTGACTTAACCTACACAGCTGACGAGTCCCAAACAGGACGAAACGCGCGTCCTGGATTCCACTGCTAGCCACTATCCATCTCTGCTTTTAACCTACATAAGTTTTAAATAACGAACGCATTTGTTTATTAATAATCGCTTAGTTTGATTCAGTGCAAAGAATTTAAAAACAAATTTTCCTTTAAACTCTATCACATAATATTAAAATAGATGGACAATGGTTTATCAGTGGAATACAAGATGCCCATTTCGTCCTATCTGGGACTCGTCAGTTTGATGCTCCTGCATTTCAGAGTTGGTTTTTAATCTGGGCTCAAACCCAGTACTGTTCTCTTAAAACGCCATCGCGTTATTGTTTACATGAATCTTCCCATTGGTGTTTATCACTGCAGTTGATCAGTTTCTTAGTCACATATGTGTTCACTGTGTGGATTGTTTCGATATTGTCTTAATTCACAAGCATTCAAAGCAAAGATGGATGATAGTGGCTAGCAGTAGAATTCAGGATGCGCGTTTCATCCTTATATTCAGCAAGGAATTCTTTTATCTTTTACATTTTCACTTAAAAATACACTTAAATTAATGATATAAAATGAACAATAGAATTGGTGAGTACTCACTTGAAATCTCTGTATTACTGTTATCGATAATTGGAATACATAAAGTTTTTATTCTCTTTGATAAGAAGATTAAAATTGAAAAAAATACAAAAACGATTAAATCGATCGATATCATGGAAAGAAAATACACTTTTGAATAATTAATATCAGCAACAGATGAGAATTATCAATATAGGATCGTGGAGATTATTAAGTTTTCGATTGAGATCATGAACCGATGTATGTTAGACTAATATTGAAAATCTGGGAGCACTGGTCGGCCGTTTCGCCTTATTGTGGGACTCCTCAGCAGTCCGCATCCACGATCCCGCGAGAGGGCTTGCAGCGCGCAACTTCGTGGACTGGTTGAGGTTAGACATAAACACCATTGGATGCCGGTCGGCTTACTGGTCTAGAGATTAAGCGTTCGCGCGTGAGACTAAAGGCCCCGGGTTCGAATCCTGCTACCAGTGCTCCCAGATTTTCAATATTAGTCTAACATACATCGGTTCATGATCTCAATCAAAAACAGATAAGATGACTAATCATTTTTAATTTCTATTTGATTACCATTTTAAATCCTGTATACGGAACAACATAGAAACTTGAATTATGAATGATTTAATTTTTTATTTACTTACTTACGCCTGTAACCCTCAATGGAGCATAGGCCGGTTGTGAGTTTTATCCTAGCTAATCATCACGTGATTTATTCGCCGATTGAGATGTGACTTATAATATCTTAGTAGTGTAACGTTCGACCGGTATGAGTAACCTAGTGTCATTTGTCTTCCTAGCCCTGTCAGTTGAGTCCAGAACATCAATACCAGATTCCACTATGTGAATCATGCATTTTAAACATAATTGGTTTATATACCAGCTGAATAGACCACATCCCACCATAAATTAGGAAATAACATTTAGAACAACATATATAAGCGAACAATATTGTTTTGATTAGATCCTCACCAGGCTTTCTAAAGTGGAACATATAAACTTAAGAGGGAAACGGATGATATCTTTAGATGTTGCTTCCCTGTTCACCAATGTACCGTTAACGGAGACTATTGATTTTGTGTGCCAACAACTACAGGAAAAACAAATCAGTATTGGAATTAATAAGGTTAGTCTTAAATAATTACTTTTGAAATGAATGTCCATTTTGTCTTTAATAACATATTATAGATAAATTGATGGTATAGCAATGGGTTCGCCTCTAGGTCCCATCCTTGCGGATTTTTTCTGGCGAAACTAGAAAAAGGACCTCTCATAGAGGTTATCAATAAACTTGATTTCTATTGTTGTTACGTTGATGACACTTTCATCATTGCCGATCAGAACAACTACTAGAACTAGTTAATAACAAACATCCTGCAATTAAATATACATGTGAAGAGGAACTAGATAATAAACTACATTTCCTTTACGTTTTGTTAAATAGAAAAGAAAACGGTTCTGTCATTAGAAGTGTATATAGAAAAATTTATTCATCAAGCCAATACACACATTTCTTAAGCTTTTTACCCCTTCATTATAAGAGAAACTTAGTCAAATGTCTGGCGCATCCACGAACTCGCCCCCTGTGACACTCGAACACAAAACCTACTGGTTTTGCGCGCGAGCACTTAATCAGTCAACTGAGTCATGATCTTAACTATTGAGATTACTATAATATCCACAAAGTCCATCTAATAAGAGGAATATAAATATACATAGTCTAGTTATTGAATGGTTATACAATAAGAATATTAGTCCATTAATAGTTCTCAGAAGTTACCTATAAACTAGCCTTAACTAGGATATGAATAGTGAAGATACTAAACAAATTTACAGATAAAAGATTAAAATAAGAAACTACCGATAGTTCATACTAATCAATGGTGTGAGCTCCCGATGATTACCATCGGATTATTCAATAGATAATATACTTTGATAATGTATTTAAGTATGAATTTAACCGATAAACCTCTTAGAGAAACTACAGTTTTAAAAATCTACTTCCTGTAGGAATTCTTGGTAGCTGTTTCATAAGCAACTATTAGAACTACATTCTGGCTAGTTGTTTTCCATAATAAGTAGCTAATCACTTAGAAATTACATTCTTTTCATATTGTTTTACAAACATTGAACTGTATGAAAGCTAGAGATATTACCCAATATTATAGTTGAATTCATGAATCAAGTGAAGCTAGACCATCATGGAAAAACTGAAAGCACTGAAAAACCGTTTCATCCTAGTATGGAACTCCTCAGCAGTGCGAACGACGATCCCGCCCCACGACATTCAAACACAGGACCTATTGGTCCGGTGCTTCCAGGTTTTTCATTGTGGTCTAGCTTCAATTAACTCATGAATTCAACTATAAAATTACTACAATCTCCGCAAAACCCCTTCTGATAACAAAACACAATATGTTGATAAATAATCAGTTTACTATTCCGGATATGTTTCAAATGAATGACTTAGGGATTTTAAAACCAGAATTGTATCTATTATCACAAGAAAAAACTAACCAAAAAGAGAAATGATTCACAAGTTACCTGTAGAAGTGTTCCTGATGTTTGAAAAATTTTAATAATCATTACAAGTGGTATTAAAAGTACACTGGAACTAGCTATAAGCCAACCAACTTTTACAGCCCATCCTGGGAATCGATATGGTTTATGAATTGATGCCCGTTTATAAGTTAACTCCTCATAGACAATAACGCTGATAATGAAAAGAACCTAGAATTTTTTAGCAAAGAAAATACAAAAACACATCCATCCACTTGCAAATAGGAAACATAGTAAAGTAATGTTGAAAAGTCGATCTGATGATAAATTTCATTATACATTAACCACCAATATATAGGTGTTTTTATAAAGGTTTGACCTGATAATTTCAAATAAATTGAGCATCGGGTCAGTCAGTCAGCTACAACGTAGGACTAGAAACATATATACATCGGTCCAGGCTGCGATACCTCATTAGCACATCAAGATCAACAACAAATTCATAGAAGTAGTTAATATAATGGTGATAATATATAAAAGAAAGATTGCACATAAGGATATAGTAAAGGAAGAAAGAATTAGTTCTTATAAAGAAAGATATGAAGTGATTTCAAATTCACGGTTTGAGGGAAGATAGAGACTGTATACACTTACGCCATTGTGATTGATTCTGAGCCATGTCACCAAGAGTCTCCAACCATTGGTTACGATAGTCATGCGGACCCTAACCGATTAGTCTGCATCTAACAACATGGCTCAAACTAGAAGTTAGTGACTTCAAGCACTGATGCCACGTTTTGGTTTGGCCGCCCCGAACTTTCTTCCAACCATTTCCAACACCGGTTAGCATTGCACGTCGTGGTAATCGATGTTCAGGCATACGTAACATGTGGCTTAACCATCTCAGTCGATGAAGATTCATAACCACATCAACTGATTTACCATCATCATTCCCTAATAACCTACATCTAACCTCATTATTACTTACCCGGTGATCTCGGCAGATGCGAGAAATATTTCTAAGACATCTGTGATCAAGTACTAATAACTTATGAGTATCTTCTACTCTTAATGGTCACGTTTCGTAGCCGTAAAATAGAGCAGAGCAATCTGCTGCTCAACATACTCACTCATTAGTCAAGCATTGGGTAGATTGTCATAAATTTAAAACAAACTATATTTGTAATATCCCAATGAGTTGCACTTGGATCAAATTAATCTTGTTATTTATCCTCTGAAGAAGTGACCTAAACTGAGATACGAAACATCTGAAATTCTAAAAGCTTAATGTTTCTACTCGTTGGGATATTATAAATATTTTTCGTTTATACCAACAATATGTTCATTTCTTCCTTAATATGAGATTACTCAGTAAATTTAACTAAATAACTGACAAACTATCAGAATATTCAGGTTTGAATCAAAACATTATACTACTCAGCCAATCTAGACAGTAGTTGATAAAACCAACTTAGAGTATTAAATCTCACTATTATTCATCATGCAGTCATTGTACTACTGTACAACATTATCAGCACTTAGTTCGAAGAGAAGTGAGATCTCTGTATTTGACTAATAGCTTGTTCTATTGTTCTGAAATTCAACTAGTTGTTATCCATTACAGTGTGGTCATTGATTATTTGTTTATTTGATTGTTTTTTCTTTGAGCTTGTAGTTATTAATTCTTTTTCCTATTAGCTTGATCAGTTTGAACTAAAAGAAACATACAAATAATGACCGCACAGATTGAACAACAACCAATCAACTAAGTTTCAGACTAGAAGAACAAGCTGTTAATCAATTGTAATGAAGTTCTAATTGTTCACTTCTCATTCAATTAACTTATTTATTTGTTTATTTGAACACATTGATATTGGTACAAGGAGGTACCAGATACATATGCGCCACACAAATCTCACTTGGTTTGTGTGTGGGCTGTAATGCTGCTCGGATCCCCAGTTCGAAACAGGTAGTAAGCCACACTTAGATCCTCCGACTTAGAAATCTGATCCACAAGGCAGTGGAGCATCGTAAGGAGATGCAGTCCCATGATAACTGGACACCATCGATCGGTTCATACGTCATTTGTTGCTTCAGGATTCTCCATGTCCGCCAATCCGAAAATTCGCTTTTCTTCCTCTCAATTTGGTAGACAACAGTAATGCTATGAGAAGTCAGTGAATATGACTTCCTTGTTAGTGACTGTAAACGCATGGCCATGTGAGAGTATTTCGAGAGGGCGAGCGGGCTCTCCCCACTCTCAGCCGTACCAGGTCATTTGGGGGCGTTCAATTAACTACTGATGTTGTGTATTACAAAATAAAATCTTCATGAATAAACTATCTAACTTAGAAACCACAATGCATTTTAATAATATTGAACTCAATTAACTAACTAATGCCAATTCATAGCTAATTTCTACAGGGTTTAATAGAATTTCTTTTACAGAGACCAATTTAATGATTTTATAGTTGAATTCATGAGTCAATTAAAGCTAGACTACCATGAAAAACCTGGAATCACTGGACGATCGTTTCGTCCTAGTGTGGGACTCCTCAGCTTATTAACAGATAGTAAAGAATATCCTGATAAATATCAATGATGAAGAGTTAGTAACATGAGACCTCGAGGTTAAGACCAAACTGATTATTCTTACTCTTTTCAATGTTTATAGAATTTATAGGAAGACACTTTATAAGACATTCTAGTCACTTGATTCTAATAAAATTGTTTACACATTAGAGAATAACTTAAACGTGTTATAAGCAATGATAGATAGTGGTTAGCAGTGGAATCCAGGACGCACATTTCGTCCTATTTTGGACTCATCATCTGAACATACCTACAACTCAGAGTTGATGTTCACTCTGAGACTCGAATCCAGTACCGTTTGCTTCATTCGTCATCACGTTGTCCACTTAAATACTGAGTTATGATAGTCACATCCTTATAATGCTTGTGAATTGAGGCAGTATCTAAGTAATAAACACAGTATGCACATATGCCAGTAAGAGACTGATCAATTGAAGTGCTTAATATCAATGGGAAGATTCAAATAAATAATACAAATATGTTATGTTAATGTTTATTGACAACTTGAACAGTATTTATCTACCATATATATATAAATTCTGTATAACACTTACAAAAGTAAATATTGGTGTTACTATACACCAGAATAAGCATGTAATCCATTTTAATGAGAAACCATACATCATTTTCATGTCATTTGAAATACGCTTGTAACCTGTGGTTAGAAAAACAACAGAACAGAGAGGTTTTAAGAATAATTTTCAAATTTACAAGCAGAAACCCTCAAAGTGTTGATTTGTTACAGTACATGGTTCATAGAGATCCACATCCACCGAACTACACGAAATCCAACCCATAATCTTTTATTGTCTTACGGTAAACATGATATCATTGATAAACCAGTCATTGATTTAAGTGTGTTTTACGCAAACGTTGTATATTCTGTATCTACCTGAGAGAAACCCTAAACAATGGTGGAATGGCTGAATTATAAACTTTGGGTTTCATCATTTATCTATCGAACGTCTATTCTTAATAGAAATAATCTTAAAGCATGTAGTTTAATTTTTTTAAATTATGCTATACAAGTTTTTTCAGACCTAATTGTGATTTAATAGTTGAATTCATGAATCGATTAAAGCTAGATCATTATGGGAAACCTGGAAGAACTGAACAGCTGTCTCGTCCTAGTATGGGACTCCTCAGCAGTGAGCATCCACGATCCTGATTTGAGACTCGGACTCCAGATCCCGAGTCACACGTGAGAACTCATAACCTCTAGACCACTGAGCCGACTGGTATCCGACAGTGTTATTGTCTAACTTCAACCAATTACGATTCATATAAAAAACTGTATATATGTTTTTAATTTCTTTTGGGAAACAGAAATCCCTAGATTTAAAAGATATTTTTGACTGAACCACTATGAAATGATATATTTACTTGGTGAAATGTATCGCAAAATGAAATTGAGTTAGCACGGGTAATTTTTTCTCTTAGCTCAGAGCTCCAGTACCAACCCAGAGAACAAAACTCCATCAGAATCATCCACTTGAGCTACAAATCTCCGCCATCTCATAAGTAATTTTATTCAATTAGTGTATTATTTACTAAAGTGATTCACCATTATTTGCTGAATTAGATTCATCTCCAAAGTCTCCCGTTATAGCTAACGATTGTCTTATTGTTATCAGAATAGGTTTTGTGGAGATTTTTAGAAATTTCACTGGTTGAAATCATGAGTCAATTGAAGCTAGACCACCATAAAAAACCTGGAAGCACTTGACGGCTGTTTTGTCCGGGTATGGGACTCCTTAGTAGTGCACATCTATGATTTCAACCAGTGAAATTTCTGAAAATCTCCACAAAACCCATTCTGATAATAATAATCACTTGCTAACTAGTGACTGACTTCAAGAGATATTCCTGGAGTTCAAGTGAGAAGCCGTTACCAGTGGAGTTCAACCAGGTCTGTTGTCAGATATCAACTCACTGACGAAAATGGTGTACGGTGGCGCAACTTCGTGGATTGGTTGGAGTTCGACATTAACACCATTGAATACCGGCCCGCTCAGTGGTCTAGTTGGTTTAGCGCCTGGCGCGAGACTGATAGGTCCTGTGTTCGAATGTCGCGGTGTGTGGGATCGTGGATGCGCACTGCTGAGGAGTCCCATACTAGGACGAAACGACCGTCCAGCGCTTCCAGGTTTTCCAATGTGGTCTATCTCGAATTGACTCATGATTTCAACCAGTGAGATTGTCATATTGTCTATTTTGTGCTTAGACAATACAAGTGGCTAGTGAATTTATGTTGGTCATTCGGTGTGTATTGTTGTTTGTCACTATGATATCAGTTTAGAAACGTTCTCTTGAATTACATGGTTATTTTAATCAGTTCAAAGCTCTTATTTTTAGATATAAAATGTTGATAATCAGTAAAATGTACTCAATGTTTATGTCATTCGATTGATTATTCAATACACTGGTTACCATTTTTTTATTTGAAAAATATATGACATTAAACTACTTAAATCAGCTATTTAAGTAGCACGAAATAAAAGTAGAAAATATACAAACTGGTTTCTTCACATTTTTTCCAAAAAAAATACTAGCTACTCTGTATTGTTTGATAAGATATCTAAAGTAAGAAAACTTAAGTAAATGACAAAATGTAAACATGTTAGAATCAATTCAGAAAATCATATCCATTCCGTTGATACTTTAGTATTCACTTTTATCGCCTCTAACTGTGAAACGTCTAAACTAATATAAACTTCTTGTGAACGATGATGGATAGTGGTTGGCAGTGGAATCCAGGACGCGCTTTTCATCCTATTTGGGACTACTCAGCTGGATGTACATGCATCTCCGCGTTGATGTTCACTCTGGGACCCGAACCCAGTACCATTCGCTTCAAACTCAGTAGCTGAGTGGATAACGCGATGGCGTCTGAAGCGAACCGTACCGGGTTCGAGTCCCAGAGTGAACATCAACTCAGATGCAGGTACATCCAGCTAACCAGTCCCATATAGGACTAAACTCGCATCCTGTATTCCACTGCTAACCACTATCCATCATTGCTTACAAAAAGCTTGTGAATTAGGCAGTATCGAGGCATACGCACTGTATACACATATGCCGATAACAGACTGATCAATTGCAGTCTTAAACCTCAATGGGAAGATACAAGCCAAACAATACCAAGTAAATTAATATAAACTTCTTCGAATAAATTATATCCGAACTAACCATAAATGTATCCAATCACTAATGATTCTAACAATCCCACAATCAATATAATACGACTTCCACTGTAATAGTCAAGTAATTGAAATACATACATTCCACCCTAAAGAAAAATGTATAAAATAAAGAGAAGAGTTATTGTATATTGACGAAAAATGTGATAAGGTAAATGAATGGAAGACAAATCGGTTGAATAGCAGTAGGAAGATTACACATCAAGCTAATTTTGTCTTACTACTTTTGAAAAGATTACGATATCACGTAAAACCGGAAAACGGAAGTAAAGTCAGTAACACTACAACAGGACAAGCTAAGCTATTCCACTGTGCCCCAGCAGGAAGACCAGATTCATCTGGAGAAATATATATATATTCTTCAAGCAGTCCAGAAGAACGAACGGTAGGGACACAACTCATGTATGTGTGCACAGTACGAAAATATCCTCGAGAAATGCCGAAAACATAGAGTAATAAAACAGGAAACAAACCGATAACATTTAAGATCTTTCAAGTGGGAAACACAAACTTAAGTTTGAAGTGGTCACTCAGTATTCCCAAGGAAATTCCATTTCTTAGACCACTGTCAATGCTCATGAAAACAAATAATTACACATTAAAATAACTTTCATAACGAAAATGTTGGTGAAGGGAATTTCGAAACATCGATGGAGTCATAAATTTTGCCAACTACTATGGTCGACTCTGTTAACTAAGAATTCACAGTTCTGACTCTACGTTCACATTGCTTCAAATTATCTTTTAATTTACTCCATTCCTTATTGTTAGAGAGCTTAGTCAATAGAAAATTTACTTAAAATTCAAGTTGAGATCAAGAAAGATAAAGTGGATCAACTTACATTAGTGACCATTGATAAACCAACTAAATATGATGCAATACATACACAACCGACAAATATACAACGAAACCTTTTGCTCGTTAAAGCATGAGGAAAATAATCTCCTGCAGCTGCAATGAAACCTTCAACTCCTGCAAACTGTTTATAAAAAAATTACAGATTTTACAAATGAAATAATGAATAATAATTAAGCAGTTAATGTATATTCAATTATCCTATGTCAGTTAGAGACAAGTATCTACCTTAGTACAATGGAAGATAATGGTGAAATTCTGTGGATTGGTTAAAGTTAGACATTAATACTGTTGGATGACGATCGGCTCAGTTATTAAGAGGTTAAGCGTTCGCACTCGAGACTAAAGGTCCTGGATTGGAATTCCGCGAGCGGAATCGTTGATACGCATTTTTGAGGAGTCCCATACTAGGATGAAACGGTTATCTAGTACTTCCAGGTTTTCCATGATGGTCTAGGTTCAACTGACTCATGATTTGAAATGTTGAAAATAACTGTAGTGAACGAGAATACAGGTGGGGACAAACGGATGTATTTAACACGAAAATTACAGACTATCTCAACAAAATCTGAATACCATAAAGTTAATCGTCAATTTGCAAATTATCAATGCATCATATCAAACTGTACTGTTCAAGCTGCAAACACTAATCCATTGTCTCCCATTTCATTGTTCATGCGATTTCTTACAAATTCCATTGTGTTCTTGCTCTTCTTTTTTTGATCTTCTCCATTTTCTGCTGCCAGACATTACATCCTTTTAACGCACGTTATATACTACTTATGTCAATATAAGTAGCTCACAACACATAACCACTTCTCTAGTAAATATACATATCAGAATAACTAATATTTGAAGATTGTATTATACAATGGCATTCTGTGAATCATCACCTTATCTATTGGTTAAAGTAAACAGTAACCAAAAATACCTTTCACTGAGATAATATTTTACAAATCAATAATCATCGAAATGTAATTATTCAAACTTCATGAAGAATGTTTATCATCATTGAATTCGTGGAACATATTGATTGTTTTAGGTTTACTTAGAAATATCGATCTTTAATTTTGTACGATTATAACTTCTTTGTGTTGTCGTTTTTGTTGTTGTTGTTGTTGTTGTTAAGATAAAAGCGTACATGCTTTAACATGCTTACCAACTGAAGTCACAGAAGATTATATTATTATCTACATTCCAGACGAGTAGATGTATTGATGTGCAAATGAATAGATTATCCTGATCGAAAATATCATATCCTTTATCAACTACAAACTTCATCTGGAGCCCCTCTTGGGCTACCGCCCAGGACATAATGGGTTAAAGGAGGCTAGTCAGCGGCCTATGCTGCATTGGAAGTAACAGACGTAAGTAATTAAGTAAGTAATCAACAATTACACTTTCACAGATTGAAATCATGAGTCAGTTGAAGCTAGACCACCATTGAAAACCTGGAAGCACTGGACGGCCGTATCGTCCTAGTATGGGACTTCAACTGACTCATGATTTCAATCTGTGAAATTTCTAAAATCTCCACTTAACCCATTCTGATAATTACACTTTCATCAATGAACTTCACACTAATGATGAGGTTTTGTTCTCTAAGCTGGGTGATTTGGTCGTGGAGCTTTCATCGTTCTTTTCAACGACATCATCAACACAAACTTCAAATATATGTGACGTGTTCGAATTTATTGACATATAGCTCAAAGCTTGTCCTGGCAAGAATTTCGAGCACCACTCCTATTTGAAGTTTGTGCTGATCATGTCGTTGAGAAGAACGATGAAAGCTCCATGACCAAACATTCCAGCTTAGAGAACGAAACTTCTTCAAAATCATCCATCTGGACTATAAATCTTCTCCATCATCTCGAGCTTCACACTATATTTATAGCTTACTTATAAGATAATAAGTTAAATATGAAAAAAAAAGAAAACCTGTTCATAGTACTTACCATACTGTCAATACCCAATAGGATAATCATAATAAAAAAACATATTGACCAGAATGGGCTACCTGGCATAGTACCAATTGCTTTTGGATATACAACAAAACCAAGTCCTGGACCAGATTCAGCTATTTGATTCAATGGTATATTTGATATATATGACATATAACCAAGTGTACAAAATATAACACATCCAGATAATAAACTTGTAAATGTATTAACCAGTGCAAATAGGCAGCAATCCCTAATTGATAAGCAACAAAAAAGAGAAAATTAGTATTTCAATAAGATAATACGATTCCTGTATGATTCTAATCGATATAAACTGGGGAAAAAATGAATCAATGTAATAAATAATGAGATCATGAACCGATTGATGCTAGACCACTATGGAAAACCTGTAAGCACTGGACGGCCGTCTAGTCCTAATGTACGACTCCTCAGCAGCGCACATCCATGATCCAGCTCGCAAGGTTCGAACCCAGGACCTTCGGTCTCGCACGCGAACGCTTAGTCTCTAGATCACTGAGTCGGTTAGCATCCAGCGGTGTTAATATCTAACTTCAACCAATCCATGAAAATTACGCAACCATCTTTCAATGTACTAGGGTAGATACCTTTCTCTACCAGAAACGGATAAGCTCCATTGGTCATGGCTGTCCATTGCTTCCAGGTTTTCAATGGTGTTCTAACATCAATCGGTTCATGATCTCAATCGCACACTTCATAAACTCTACAGTCCTATACTGGTAATTAATATTGCAAGTAATTTTAAAAAAATGTTCTATTGTTTTAAATGATAAAGCAACTGTTCAATAGCATGTCATTAGTTTAATTTCCAATTGATAACACTGTAATAATAATAGAAAAGAACAATCATCAATGATAGTTCAATCAGCTAAAACAAATTTTAAAAGGATCACTCTGTTTTACAAGCAACGATGGATAGTGGCTAGTAGTGGAATGCAGGACATGTGTTTCGTCCCATATAGGAGTCTTCAGATGGATGAACTTGCATCCTAAAGTTGATATCCACTCTGAGACTCGAACTCAATGACGTTTACTTGAAATATCATTGCGTCATTCACTTAACTACTAAGTCCTGATAGATACTTGCTAAGAATGCTTGTGAATTAAAGCAGTATCGAGGTATTCCGCATAGAATGCACATATGCCAATCAGAGATTGATCAGTTGCAGTGCTAAACATCAATGGGAAATTTCGAGTAAACAATACAAAGTAGATTACTTTGTTTGTTTGTCATTGTTAATTTTTCTTAAAAAAATTAGCCTCTCAGTAAATTACACTTTGGTTAATCGTTGGTGTTAACGATGAAACATTTAGTGTCACGTTTATTACTATGATTATCATTATTATAGCAACTCTCATACAATCAGTTTCGATTATAGTTAAGTTTTGGTTAAGCCCTTTTATTAACTTAATTAACAGACAATGGTATTCAAACAGTAGCAAGTCGTCTATTTCTTAGTATTATTATGATCACTAACACGACCGTATAAAAGTGTATTCCTGATCACAAGTAACAACCTACGGACATATCTCTCTCTACTTACTTACTTACACCTGTTACCCTTCGTGGAGCAGCATAAGCTGCCCATAAGCATTCTCCATTCAACACTGTCCTGGGCAATACTCTCCAGTTCTTTCCAGTTGTTATTCGTCTTTTTCATGTCTGCTTCCATTTCCCAATGTAATCTGTTCTTTGAAATTCCCCCTTACCGTTTCCCTTCAGGATTCCAAGTTAGAGCTTGTCTCGTGATGCAGTTTTATGATTTGCGTAATGTATGTCCTATCCATTTTCAGTGTCTTTCCATAATTTCCCCTTAAGCTGGAAGCTGGTCTGTTCTTTCCCACAGTGGACTGTTGCTGATGGTATCTGGCCAATGGACGTTGAGTATCTTGCGTAGACAACTAATTATAAATACTTTTACCTTCTTGATGGTGTTTGTTGTAGTTCTCCAAGTTTCAGCTCCTCACATTAGAAATGTGTTGATGTTCGTATTGAAGATTGTGATTTTGATAGCGGTTTATAGTTGTTTTGAGTTCCATATGTTCTTCAATTTCAGGAATGTAACGCTTACTTTGCCATATCTCTCTCTAACTAAAATGCTAATATCTTAAATATCACCCGATGATTCATTGTCTTCCTCATGTATATATGTACTCGAATCCTATTATTAGCCTATACCTTGCGTGACTACCTGTACCTTATTCAGTTCGACTAATAATTCACCTGTGTATTTGTATTTCCCCTCTCTGCTTCAAATTCGCTCGATGTACTTGTAGCTTTGTAATCTTTACTATCCGCTAGTAAACTGTAGTCACCGTTTCTTATTGTCTTCTCATTTCAAACACCCTTGAAGTTTATATGATAACGGTTATTAAAATGATTGATTATTAACGAGGCTAAGCCACTACATTATAACTTGATTTAATACTACTGATTTTGTACAGTAAGAACATCTAAACACTAGTTTTAAAATATTCTAACAAATATCTCGTTGAGACTATAATTGACGGACGACCTTTGAGCGACGCTTGATTGACCATGAGAGTGTTCACCTAAAAACCTGAACCAAATGAGGATTAAAAACCAGTGTGAGAAATTCGAATTACGATTTACAGTTGATGGTTAAGGTTAGGAATTCGATTTAGGGTTTTCATCACGAACTTACATCAGCTTTAATGTCAAAACTCTATTTAGCCAAATGGATGAATAAATTTCGTGCCAAAATCTAAGACCTGTTATTGTATATTTAATTGGTCGATCCATAAATTATAATCTCACCATTATCTCTTTTTGATTGAAATCATAAACCTATCAATTTTAGACAATGATTAGTTTATGCTTTCAGTGAAACGCAACAATCTCTATGAACTCAATACGTATCAATATCTGTTTTTGATATTAATTCAAGTTGTAACTGTTCAAACTACAATTGACACGGTTTGTTAGAGCATTTCTTACACTTCTATCTTCTCATTTGCAACTTGGTTGGTTCTAGAGATCGATTGCTCAAGTTATACCTATTATATTGAGAGAAATCTAAGCTCTAGATATAACAATTTTCGACGAAACTATAATTTATAGATGAATCAATGAGGTATAAGATAATAGGTCTTGGAATTTGGCACAAAATTCATTCATCCATTTGGATAAATAGAGTTTTAACATTATAGCTGATGTCAGTTAGTGATGAAAACCCTAAATCGAATTCCTAACCTTAACCATCACAATTTGAATTCCTCACACTGGTTTATAACCCTCATTTGGTCCTAAGTGTTAGGTGAACACTCTCAAGGTCAGTCAAGCGTCGCTCAAAGGTTGTCCATAAATCAAAGTTTCATCCAATTTTCTAAATATCTTCAACAGTTTGTATCGGTGAAACATACTCAATCGTTAGCCCTCAAATACCTTGATACGGCCGAGAGTGGGGAGAGTCAGCTTGAAAAATGCTTTCACATGGCCACGCGTATATAGCCTCTGTCAGGGAAGTCCTACTCACTACCTTCATGTAGCACTACTGTTGATGACCAAATTGAGAGGAAGAAAAGCGCTTTAACCGGGTTGTTGGACACGGAGTGTTGACCTAGGCAAGTTGGAAAACCCTGATTTCAAACCAATGATGCACATGGGCTACAGAATCCTTAGGGAACAAATGGCGAATGAACCATTCGTTGGTCACCGGCTACCATGGCCATGCACCTCCTTACGATGCTCCACTGCCTTGCGGATCAAAACTTGAGGTCGAACGCTCCGGGTGTGGCTCCCTAAGAACACCACCTGTTTCGGTTTGCGCACCCGGGCAGTATCACAGCCCTCATGCAAATCTCATTTGATTTGTATGGCACATATGTATCTGGCACCCCTTTGTACCAACATCTGTGTGTTAAAATAAATAAATTAATTAATTAAATGCTCGATCATTAGAGTTTCCTACCACTTCTGATGGTACAATTATCTTATAGTGTATTAAATTCTAATTTATCTCTTTCTCTCCTTCCCTCATTTTCTGTTTTTTAAAAGGATAAAAAAAACGAAAACATGCCAATAATTTCAGTGTTTCCATGTGAGTTTCTTTGTCTTTTTCTAGTATTTAGCATTACTAATCTTTTTATGATAGAATGTCAGTCAGTTAGCTACAATGTAGGACCAGGTACATTTATGCATCGGTTCAAGTTGGCATACCTAAATGATAAAATGTGAATATATATGTATAATACTGGAACATTTACAATTATTCCGTATTAAATAGATGTAATATAAGTAGTTTAATTTCATTATTGGCACAAATGAGAAATAGATGACTCAAACATTTAAACAATCTTGTCATCAATGAATATATTACTGAATTCCTAATTGTAACTTGTGATCTAATCATTATTCTAAATGAATAGTTGTAATCATTCAACATGTTACATCTACACAAATATTACATTGTTAATAAGTATCATTTGACAATACTTGAAATAGATCAAGATTTCGGAAAAAGTAACAGATATAAGTAGTATGTATCATCAATAGAAAGTGAAATACCTGTAGGTAGAAGATTAAAAAGATCGAAAAAAAACTAGAGAACGAGAACAGATAATGATTGGTGCGGAAACGAAGGAACAGTGAAGTTCAAGATGATTGATTGACATTATACAATTGAAGTATTTACTGTATGGTTCTTAAATTTTACTAAGATGTTCTGTTATTTTATATGCATATACATTCGACTGTCCCTATTTGTGTTCTCGTTCATTACAATATGAATTGAATATCATCAGTTGATTTTCTTGAAGCTCTTAGTAGTTTCCATTTCTGTATCTTATTTATCAAGTAAGTAATAAGTAAGATCAATAATTGATCAGTCAAATTTGAATATAAATAAACAAAATATGACGTTCAGTGTCATGTAACATACTGAATGGATGCCATTTTAATTAGCAGTGTTGTGGTGAACGAGAATACAAGTAAGGACAATCTTCAACTTGCTTCGCCTCTCCTGGCCAATCTCAAAGCCAATCAATCAATTAACGATAGAATGTATTTGAATACAAAATTACAGAATTTCTTAGTAAAATCTGAGAATCATACAATAAATACTTCATTCAAGAAGGTAAAAGTATTTATAATTAGTTGTCTACGCAAGATACTCAACATCCATTGACCAGATACCATCAGCAACAGTCCACTGTGAGAAAAAACAAACCAGGTTCCGACTGAAGAGAAAATTATGAAAAGACACTGGAAATGAATAGGACATACATTACGCAAATCATCAAACTGCATCACGAGTCAAGTGCTAACTTGTAATCCTGAAGGGAAGGAAAAAAGTGGAAGGCCAAAGAACACATTACGTTGGAAAATAGAAGCAGATATGAAAAGGATGAATAGCTAATGAAAACAACTGGAAAGGATTGTTTAGGACAGTGTTGAATGGAGAATATTGATGGGCAGATGGGCAGCCTATGCTCTTCCACGAGGAGTAACATGCTTCATTAATGTTTCTAGATTTAGTCAATCAATAAATATTATTATTCTTATATTTTAAATGAAACTTACCGTAAAGAATTATGATGAAATTGATTATAACTACCAAATGAAGTTAATACACCTAAACCGAGGCTATAACTAAAAAATATTTGAGTTCCTGCATCCGACCAAACCTTCAAAATAAATTTTGTAATATAGAAATGAAAAAGTTAATCATACAACGATGATTATTCATTGTATAACTTTTAAGATGATCATATCATAAAATAACATTTGAACATTTTAAATCATTGAACGACACATCATAAGCGATAAACTTCACAAGATTGATGAAAGCTCCATGATTAAATCATTCAATTTAAAGAACAAAAATGTCATCAAAATTATCCATCTGAGCTATAAATGTTCTCTACTAAAATTTTAATTATCATTATATTATCAACTTGATAAGGTACTTCACATATGTAGTTCAGTAATGATATTAGGATAATGACAGTTAATAGTACACTTTATACCACTCATGTAAAAAGTTGGTTATAAGTGTTTTGTTTAATTTGAAATATATAATCAATGATATTCTGTTAGTATTTCAAATCTAAAGAAGTTCAGTTATTGCCCGAATAGTTCAGTTGAATTATCTCAGACTATGAAGTAAGGTGATGCAGGTATGAATCTCACTGAGAACACTAACTCTTCGAAGTTACAGACAATTTTTATCGTCAAGTACCAAGTTAAGTTTATAGTTTCCTTTCAATCATCGTCAACCAACCAACATTTCATCATAATGTATGTGATGTCGAATTACCTAAATTGATGCCCAGATTGCAACTCGATCAAACGAATACGTTCAGCATTTGAAGGGCTAGACTAATATGGTATTAGTATTATTCATTGAAATATTAATTATGGAGAAGTAGTTTATTGAGATTGTCTGAGATGAAGGAAAGTTTACACGTAAGTCGATAGTCTGGTATTTAGAGAGACGTTGAACTATGACCACAAAATATTTTTATATCACAATAGGAGAATGCTATAAATATCATACATTCTCATAATACAAATGAATTGTGATTCAGTGTATATAAGAATTAATACATGTAATCTCAGTTTTGTTAAATGATTTGAGAAATGATGCAATAATAGTTTGAGTAACGTATAATCTTGTTCAATTTTATTATAAATAGTTTTTTTTAAGCGTTCACGCGCAAGACCAAATGTCTTAGATTCGTATCCCATGTGTGGGATCGCAGATGCGCACTGCCGAGTAGTCTCATACTAGGACGAAAGACTCATATGATTTTGAGATGGTGGAGAAGATTTGTAGCTCAGGTGGATGATTTTGGTGGAGTTTTGTTCTCTGAGCTGGATGGTTTGGTCGTGGAGCTTTCATCGTTCTTCTAAACGATGAAAGCTCCACGACCAAACCATCCAGCTCAGAGAACAAAACTCCACCGAAAGACTCATCCATTGAATCCAGATTTTCAGTTGTGGTCTAACATCAATCGGTTTATGATCTCAATCAAAAATGAAACCAATGTAGATACATGAGGAGGGAAACATTTGAATTCACAGTAGAAATGGTGAATAATGGGTGATTAGCAAAGTTAATTAATTTTGCGTTCCGATTAGATTGTTGAAATATGAGCTAGTGAAATAATGTAATTTGAGGATTACGTTACCCACGTACGGCCGAGGATGGAGATAGTCAGCTATCCCTTTCGAAATACTCTCACATGACCACACGTATACAGCCACTAACAGGGAATTCATATTCACTGACTTCTCGTAGCATTACTATTGTTTACGAAATTGAGAGGATGAAAAGCGAATGTCAGGGTTGGTGGAAACTGAGAGTCCACCTAGGGAAGTTGGAAAACCCTGATTCCAAACCAATAGTGCACATGAGCTCCAGTATCCTGAGCGAACAAATGGCGTATGAACCAATCGTTGGTGACCGGCTATCATTAGACTGAATCTACTTACATTGTTCCACTACCTTGTGGATCAGATGTTAAGGTCGAAGGCTCTAGATGTGTACCTTTAGGAAAACCACCTACTTTGGTCTGGGCAACCATGCATTACCACAGGCGACACACAAATCAAGTAACTTGTGTAGTGCACATATATATTTGGTGCCACTATGCACCAATATTTATGTGTTCAAACGAACAAGTTTCGTCACATTCGTTTCGTACACTATATTAAGATGTATCAGTGAAAATATTTTGCGTTAAATTATTAAACGTATTGAAATCAATTTAGATCCATGGGATTCTTCAGAAAAACCACACTATGCATAACGTCTTTGGTTTTTCAATAGTACACTTGTAATGAACAGAATACGAGTGGGGACAACCGATTGCATACGGTAAGATATTACAGATCGTCTCAACTATATAGTAAATTGTTAATTTCTAAAATATTAAAACATAATCTCAAACTTGACTGTTCCTTTTGGAAATATCAGTTCATTGTCTCAGATTTGATTATTCATGCATTTTCATATCAACTGCGTTCCGTTTCCGTACTTTTCTTATCGATCTTCTACTGAAATACATTCTTTGCTTGACCACCGTTATATACTACTTATATGGATATAAGTAACCCACACAACAAACAACCTAATAATATACGCGATTCAATCATTATAGTTTAGAAATAAAAAGGATGAAGAATGAGCAATACTTATTATCACTTACTGTCATATCTGTTAATTTCGACCAATCCGGTTTTAAATAATGAATTAATCCATTTGAAGCACCATCAAGTAAAGCAGTTCGTATTAATAGAATAAACATAAATCCATATGGTAAAAGTGCAGTCACATACATAATCTATGCAAATGAATAAAAGTCAATAAATTGATTAACTATACAGTTAACAATAATTAAAACTAATAATAAGGCACTTCATAACAAAGAGATCAGATCGTTTATAATGAAGTTGAAGTTTATTTCATTCACAGATTTCTTCATTATTGACTTGAAGAGGGAAAGAACTAATATTTGAGCAGAATATCATGAATCTATTATATTTCATTAGATTCAAATGGCCAGTGTTATATCTGTAGCGAGTCCTGTTAATGTCTGTGTGTATTGTCACTGTTATGTACGTATCGACTCTGTTAAGTTTGCCGTTTCATTGTTTTTATTTGGTAATCAGGAACTACTGTAATTCCTCGATTCTAGTGTTCGAAATTCAAATAGAAAACCGCTACAATTATCAAGACATAGAATAAGACAACAAAAGACCAGTATAATGAAGATTTATTAAACTCTCAAAAAACACGTCCGAAACGAGTTCCATAAATAAAATCCGTCTAAAATCAGATAGTAATTAGACCGAACGATTAGAACTAAGTTGTTATATAATGAACAAACTATAATCTTAGTGTGAACAAAGCTCAGTCAATGAATAAAAAAAATCACTGAACGTGAAAAGATTGAAAATATTCATCTCCAGTTGAATTCATTGATATTATTACTTTAGAAACGCACAAATAAGAAACAAAATGGTGTATCTTTTTCTTGAAGTTAACCATCGAGATATAAATCAAGGATTATGAAATTAACCGAGACAGTGATACTGATGGAACATCTAAGATGCGTCTGAACAATCTGGACTTTGCAGATTATCTCACTCTTCTATCTCACACTCAACAACAAATGCGAGAGAAAACGGCCAGTGTAGCAGCAGCCTCAGAAGCAGTAGGTCTTAACATACACAAATGGAAAAGCAAGAATCTCCGATACAACAATCATATTACACATGACCGAGAAGCTTTGGAAGATGTAAAAACCTCTACATATATTGGCAAAATCACTGGTCTGATGCATATGTAAAGGCGCGGATTGGCAAGGCAAGAGCTGCACATCTACAAATGAAAGCCATCTGTCAATCAACACCAAAGTCAGAAGTTTCAATATAAATGTTAAGAAAGTTCTACTGTATGGAGCGGAAAATTGGACAGCTACGAAAGCCATCATCCAGAAGATACGAGCGTTTATTACTTTGGATTTGTTGACCAGGGACTATCAGAAACAATATACTGTGGGAAAGAACGAACCAGATTCCAACAGAAGAAGAAATCATCAAAAAGCGATGGAAGTGGATAGGACGCACATCGAGGAAAACACCCAACTGCGTCACAAGGCAAGTCTTCACTTAAAATCCTCAAAGCCAGAGGAAAAGAGGAAGACCACAGAATAAATTATGCCGATAAATGGAGACAGATGTGAGGAGAATAAACAACAATTGGATAGAACTGAAAAGGAAGGCCTAGGACAAGGTGGTTTGGAGAATGCTAGTAGGCAGCGTCAGTAAGTAAGTGATGAAGATAATGTAGAAATGAAGGAATTTGCTCATTAATTTAACTCCGTAAAATATGTTTGAAAATACCACTATTACTTGACAAAACTGTATAGAAGGTATTCAGAAAAATGTGCTTGACAAATGTTCCAACAGAAAGCATCTTATATTCATGTACGATCATGGTATTTTCAAAGTGAATATAACAAAAAGTAACTTATTCCCCCCCCCCTCAAATGAATACTAGTTCATTCATCAGTAATTTCAAGAAAAAAATCAATAAATGCTTACTTTTGCCGATGTTTTAATCCCATTCCAAATGCATAAATATATAATAATCCAAGTGAAAAGAAGACATAAAGCTAAATCCCATTTTACTGTTCCAATATTATGTATACCATCAGATATACTCAGTACACGATATCTGTTTAAAAGAAAAATATGTTAAAATATACGTGGAATTATGAAAACTTCAATGTAGTATGCAAGTCTAAAACAACATAAAATGATTGTACACTTACTTACTTACTTACTTACTTACTTACTTGCTTACTTACTTACTTACTTACTTACTTACTTACTTACTTACTTACTTACTTACTTACTTACTTACTTACTTACTCATTTACTTAACTACTTACTTACTTACTCATTCACTCACTCATTTACTTACTTACCCACTTGCTTACTCTCTGTCCACAAAGCGCCTTCTGATGATAATCATTTGCTCACTAGTGACTGACTTCATGAGATATTCCTGGAGTTCTAGTGAGAAGCCGTTACCAGTGGAGTTCAACCAGGTCTGTTGTGAGATAACAACTCACTGAAGACAATGGTGTACGGTGGCGCAACTTCGTGGATTGGTTGAAGTTAGACGCTTACAGCGTTGGATGCTGGCTCAGTGGTCTAGTTGGTTAAGCACCTGGTGCGGTACTGATAGGTCCTGAGTTCGGGTCTCGCGGTGTGTGGGATCGTGGGTGCGCACTGATGAGGGGCCCCATACTAGGACGAAACGGTCGTCCAGTGCTTTTAGGTTTTCCATAGTGGTCTCTCTTCGATTGATTCATGATTTCAATCAGTGAGATTTTACTTCATTTGTATAGAAAAACAGTTGTTTAATTTTTAATGTTTTGTATTAATGTAAAACCAACAGATACAGCCTACTGTAGGAGAGGAAAAACTAGCTTCCAGCTGAAGAGGAAATTAGCATAAGATGTTGGAAGTGGATAGAAATCATCAAACCACATCACGAAACAAGCGCTAACTTGGAATCTTGAAGGGAAACGGAAAAGACGAATGTCAAAGAACAGACTAGGTCGGGAATTGTAAAGAGACATGAAAAGGATGTATAGCAACTGGAAAGTATTATCGAGAACAGAATTGGATGGAGAATGCTGGCGAGTGGTCTATGATTCTTTTTGAAAGGCAATAGAAGGAAAAGATCTGTTTGCTTTATAAAAATTGATTGTTTCACTAAGGATCAATGCTTATATAGGTTAATCCACCATAAGAAATTCGACCGATGACTATAGTGACAATTAATTTTTAGTGATGAAGTTAACTCTTCTCGTAAATAAGTAACATAGTGTGATCATATCTGTTTTAAATTCATTTAAGAAATATACTATTATTCTTCCAGTTATTCAGTGATGACAATGGTGGACGGTCGTGCAATGCCATGGATTGGTAGAAGTTAGACATTAACACCGTTGGATGACAGCCGGTTCACTGGTCTGGAGGTTAAGCATTCGTGCGCGAGACCGAAGGTCGTGGATTCAAATCCCATGTACGGGATTGTGGTTGTGTACTACTGAGGAGTCCTATACTAAAACGAAACGGCTGTCCAGTACTTCTAGGTTTTCCATGGTGTTCTAGATTAAATCGACTAATGAATTCAACCATTAAATTACTACAATTTTCACAGATCCTCATTCTGATAAATAAAAATATCCGTCTAAATGGGAATTTCTATTCTTCATAATAGCTGTTATTATAATGTCATATTAAATTAATTTGATTCAGTGTGTTAAGATTTGATCACATCATTACTCCTTAAAGATGCACATATCTAAAATGTGAACGGTTTGAACAAAGTTTCGGTGGGCTTAACTGTATTAATGTGAAGGGACTATACATACTATTTGTTTTGAGATGGTGGAGAAGATTTGTAGCGCTGGTGAATGATTTTGATGGAGTTTTGTTCTCTGAGTCAATGGAAGATACAACCAAAACAAAGTAAACTATGACAGATTTAAGGTCAACAAGAACCAATCAACATCGAGGTCTAAAGGACAAGATGTGAACCATATGGGGAGAAATTCGAACACTTCACTTCTATCTGAGGTTTGTGCTGATGATGTCGTTCAGAAGAACGATGAAAATTCCACGACCAAACCATCCAGCTCAGAGAACGAAACTCCATCAAAACTACTTATATTACTCATAATCATCAGAAGCGACTACGAGTTAGTATGACTGGTATTTAACTATCTATCCAATTCAGTATTATATTACAAACGATTAATTTTAAAGGAATCAAATGATTTTCATTTTCTTACTCCCAATATTCTGTAGTTGCATCAACTGTTATTAAGCTTATATTACTAATATGAGTAGTATTTTCAATTGTACTTGAATTTATTGGTTGATTAGTGAAAACTCGACATGCTGGTGTATTCCATGATTGATCACATCTTGTCCATGGTAATTGACTTGTGAATGATGAAAAAATAAAATGAAATGCCCATGCCATTATCACAGTGTAATAGCAATTGAGAAAGAAATTAATCAATGTACACGCATAACCAATACCTTGAAAATAAAGAAAGGAAATCTTATTAGATTAAAGATTAATTACTATTTATTCGTAAGTGTAAGAGTGACTAAAATGTATGATCAGTTAAGGTTACGTTATTACAGAATTGATGTTATTTGGCTGTAAGATATGGCCGGTAATACTAGAGGATATTCGTAGGCTACTAGTATTCGAATATAGGGGTTCTCGAAGCATTGCTCGTGTATCCTGGGACCATCGAGTAAGTAATGCAGTTGTTAGGAAACGGGTATTAGGTAAGGATGGCAAATCAATTGATGGCGATCAGAGCAAAGCATGGCACAGATCCATGAAGACATTGACAAGTGTACTGAATCATGTTGGTAGGTGTAGACTATCTGGTTAGGATCCACGAGACAATAGTAACCGTTGGTTAGAGACCTTGAAAAATATGACTCAAAATCGTTTGCAATGGCGCAGAAGCATCCAAACTTTGTGTTCTCTCAAATTGTAATCTTCTGAGTTCTTAATGTCCCTTTTTTTCTTTCCAAATTTATTTCACTGGATTATACTCCTTGACTAACATCTTCAAACCCTAATGTTTCCGATTACTGCTTATACTTTGACTACCACTACCACAATGAGATTTGAATCGAAAATTTTATCTGTGTGCTAATGTAATATGGTAACTGGAACTGATGTATGTACGTATGATATTCTACGTTGTTATTGACTGACTATTATATGCATTATTTGTGACACATTCAGCTAGTAAATTTACCTTTTTATTTTTCATTCTATATGGTTATTTGAATGAAAAAATGGTTAATGTATAACACACAGAGCATGGAAAGATATTCTTCATTATTTGTTTGCGAAAGTATGGTGTAATGTTTTAAGGTCCCATCAACAACTTACATCTTATAGACCAAACTTACTTGAACAGTTTATGGGATTGAATGTCGACTTTCAGTCAAACATGTATTTTAGTAGTAATGAAATAATTTTAATGCACTAGCTACTCAACTACTCAAATACTTACAGCTCATGCTTTATCGCACTACTTCTATCTTTGTATTAAGATGAATATGTTTTAAACTTAATCAAAGCAATTTAACAGTTGAATTCGTAAGTCAATTAAAGTTAGACCGATAGATCCTGAGTACGAATCCCGTGAGTGGGATTGTGAATGAGCACTACTGAAGAGTCCCATACTAGGACGAAACGACAATCCAGTGCTTCCACGTTTTTCATGGTGGTCTAGTTTTAACAGACTCATGAATTCAACTATTAAATTACGAATTGTTACATATGGACTCCAAATTCCAACGTTTGTTTACATTTAGAGTTAAGCTGGGTTTTTTTAGCGATTTGGTTTTCTACAGGATGAGGTCGCTAACACCATGCCCAAGCCTCCTACTTTATCAGGGCTGGGAACCGACAGTAGCCCAAGAGGGGCTCCAGGCGGAGTTTTGTTTACATTTAGTAATCAATTTATCAATAAAGAATTTAAATCTTTGATTTGAAATTTATCAATTTGACTCTTTTGAGTTTCATTCATTTCATGTCTTTATTTACGCCTGTTGCCTCCAATGGGGCATAGGTCGCCAACCAGCATTCTCCGACCCACTCTGTCCTCGGCCTTCCTTTGTAGTTCTATCTAGTTGTTGTTTATTCTCCTCATATCTGTCTCCATTTCTCAGCCTAATGTGTTCTTTTGTCTTCCTCTTCTCCTTTATTTAGCATTGAGGATTCAAAGTGAGGGCTTGCCTTGTGGAGTAGTTGGATGTTTTCCTCAATATATGTCCTATCCACTTCCATCACTTTTTCCTAATTTCTTTCTCCAATGGAATCTGATTTATCCTCTCCCACAGATTATTTCTGATAGTGTCTGGTCAACAGTTCTGAAGTATTTTTCATAGACAACTGTTCTGAATTTACATAGAGATTAATGAACGCTTTACGTTAATTAAGTATTGTCATGACTTTTACTTAAATATTATTTGAATACTTGAAAAATGTTTTAACAAACTAAAGATAATTAGAATTTATAGATCTGTATTATATAATGAAGTGTTATGATTGAATGTAAGATTTCTTGAATTGATATATTCAATTTCTATGATGAGTGACATCAGTGAATGTTTGTAAGAAGATATCAGATAAGTCTCATTTAAACTGTAATAATGTAGTGTAAACTACTAATGTCGACAGATATAAGTAGTATGTATCATTAGTGGAAAGTGAAATGTTTGGTGGCTGAAAATTAACAAGATCGAAGAAAATAGAGAATGATTGATGTGGAAACAAAAGAACTACAACAGTACTCTGTTCTTTCGTTTATTTTGTATCATCTGAATGAGCAGATTTTATTTTTGTTCTAGACTAATATGGTAAAGTCATATGGTTACGACTAATTGTTAAACCAAACAGACATAATGAAAACTGTTAATTTATACAGGAAAGATTTGAATGGATTAGAATCAATGTCTTTACAAAATACACGAAATTGGACGACACATCTACCACTGTCATCAATAATTTATCTCATTAAACACTCAGTTGAACGCTGATAAGTCGTGGGTTCAAATCTTGCGAGACGGAGTCGTGGATGTTCACTGCTTAGAAGTCCAACAATGGGACGAAACTGCCTTCCAGTGTCTTCAGGTTTTTCATGGTATTCTAGCTTCAATTGACTCATGAGCTCAACTGTTGAAATTACAACAATCTCCACAAAACCTTTTCTGAGAATAAATACAAGCAATGCGACTAACAAAATAAATCACATTCTCTTAGTATGCGAGATAAACTGTTCCCATCGAAGCTTTACAGACTCCTTTGAGCAATTTAAAAACAAATATAGAAAAAAAGTGAATCCCTAGAAATACTTGCTTAAATCTCAGTCGACAGAGAAGGTAGTGATCTATGAAATTATTAAAACATGTATATACTAATAGTCAGTTAAAAGCGTGCTATGGGCACTTTTTAAACTGCAAAATCGTGCATGGAGGACAATTGACAGACTCGTTCAGGGTAAAGACCGGCGTCAGTCAAGGTTGCTTACTATCACCCTTTCTCTTTCTCCTGATGATCAACTGGATCACGAAGACGTCAACATCTGAAGGGAAACACGCGATACAGTGGACAGCTAGGATGCAATTGGACGATCTAGACTTCGCAGATGATCTGGCCCTTCTATCCCAAACGCAGCAACAAATGCAGGAGAAAACAACCAGTGTAGCAGCAGCCTCAGCAGCAGTAGGTCTTTATATACACAAACGGAAAAGCAAGATTCCCCGATACAACACAGCGTGCACCAATCCAATCACAATTGACGGAGACGATTTAGAAGATGTGAAAACCTTTACATATCCGGGCAGCGTCATTGATGAACACGGTGGATCTGATGCAGATGTGAATGCCCGTATCGGTAAAGCAAGAGCAGCATATTTACAACTGAAGAACATCTGGAACTCAAAACAACTGTCAACTAACACCAAGGTCAGAATTTTCAATACAAATGTCAAGACAGTTCTATTGTATGGATCGGAAACCTGGAGAACTACGAAAGCCATCATCCAGAGCATACAGGTGTTTAATAACAGTTGTCTACACAAAATACTTCGAATACGTTGGCCGGACACTATTAGCAACAACCTACTATGGGAGAGAACAATTCAGATCCCAGTGGAGGGAGAAATGAGGATGAAGTGCTGTAAGTGGATAGGACACACTTTGACGAATGCACCAAAATGCGTCACGGAGCAAGCCCTCATATGGAATCCTCAACGATAAAGTAAAAGAGGAAGACCGAAGAACACATTACGCCGAGAAATGGAGGCATGTACGAGAAGGATGAACAAGAATTGGATAGAACTAGAAAAGAAGGCCGATGACAGATTGGGTTGTAGAATGCTAGTCGGCGGCCTATGCTCCATTAGAAGTAACAGGCGTAAGTAAGTAAATAAGTAAGTTAAAGGAAAATGAAATAAATACAATCTTGGAAATTAATAAAGACAAAGAAATAGAGCAATTCAAATGAAGTTGATAGCTCTATCAGATTTAATTTGTTCATATATCGACACCAATGAAATCCTTTCGTCACAATCACAATGTCACCAACTATACTATACACTTCACTTCACAAATACCTGTTGGTCCATATGCGCACGACTCTATGTGTAATTCAACACTGAACAGTTTTAATTATTATGGTGTTGGTGTTTATTGTCATGGTTTTGGTGGTATTGATATTAATAGTGGTAATGGTTGTGTTATTGTGTAGATGTAAGTGAGTCAATGATTTTGCTCATATGTACGTGTCTGCGTGTACACTGAGAGATGTGTGTATAAATACGATGTTGTAAGTAATAATGCAATAAATAGTTGTATTTCGAATTACGTAGTATGAAGTGTGTTATTTGTGTGTAGTAGACTTCAAATGATTTTGAATAAAGAAAAAGAAATAGAATGATTCAAATGGAGTTGATGGCTTTATCAGATTTAATTTGGAAATGTTGTTACTATGAATATGTTGATATTTTCATGTTTTTATTCATAGAACGATAAAATTAATCCTATAACCTATTCAGATGTGTTTCTCAAAAGTTTACAACCTTACGTTGTACAAATTACAAAAGAACCTAATCAGAGATATTGTGATTGCTGTTACTATGCAGCGAAAAACATGAACATTATTCAGATGTCAATTGACTGAACTGCTAATTTCTCAGTCAGTCAGTTACAACATAGGACTGCTAACTTCTAGCTAACGATCACTTAATATTTAATCTTCAGGATCGATCAAGAAATAAGAAATGGAAACTTGTTGAAATACTTTTTGCTGTGAATTCTAAATTGTACCAAAACTATAATACTGAAAGTGTGTCTAGATTAACTACTTAACAGAATTTCTGCTCATTTATGTTTCAATCAAAATCAAAGATGACATTTTTAAAGTATACAGAGATTCGTTTAGTATCATGTTGATTGTGACCATCTTATTAGAGTAACTTTCTATCTCATAGTCCAATTTCACTTGTGAACACATAAAGTTGAATTCTATACAAAGATGGATAGTGGCTAGCAGTGGAATCAAGGATGCGCATTTCGTACTATCTGGAACTCGTCAGCTGGATGTACCTGCAACAGCAGAATCGACGTTCACTTTGAGGTTCGAACTCAATACAGTTCGCTTGAAACTCCACCGCGTTATCCACTTTAGCTACTAAGTCCTATTTATCGAGGCTATATTGGGACAATACGCACAATATGCACATATGCAAATAAGAGACTGATCAACTGCAGTCCTAAGCATCAATACGAAGATTCAAACAAACAGTATCAAATGTATATAAAGTTGAATTGTTTTATTGCCTTAATTCTACAAACATATCAAAGTTTATAACTATTATTATGATGACTTAAGTCTTAGCTGAATTTATTGCACTTAATCTTTCATGAATCAATATAAATATCATTCATAAAATTATTAAAGTTTACCTTGAAACAATGGACAGATATTCCAAGCAGCAATAACTCCACGACGTGTTACTTGTCCAACAGTTACTTCTAATAGAAATAATGGTATACCAGCTAAGAATACACTGATGAAATAAGGGATAAGGAAAGCACCTGAACAAAACCAGAACATAATGGGAAATATAATCAAGTTCATTTTCTTTAAAATAACTTTCGAATAAATATTATAAGGTATTCATTTCTAGAAACTACGATTACATTTAATTGCCACAAAATTATTTAAAAATTTACTAATATTGAGTGCGTGCTACTGATGTCGATAGATATAAGTAGTATGTAACATCAATCGAAAGTGTAATGCTTGACGGTAGGACGTAAAAAGATCGAAGAGAAGAAAATGAGAACAGAAAATTAATTGGTGTGGAAATGAAGGAAGAATGAGGTCTTAGACAATTGAATGACATTTTGCAAATTAAGAATTTACTGTGAAGCACCCAACTCAGTCACAAGACAAGTCTTCTGTTACAACTTGTTAACGCCGATTAGAGAGTAGTGACTTATCGGTCGGAACAATGACGCGTAAACCCGTATGAGCAGCCTAGAATTCTGATTGGTCCTGCTTTCCGCCTAACCCAACCAGTTAAGTCCAGAACACCATTTTCAGCCTCTGAAATATGAACCCTTATATTTCGAACATTCTGAGTTGATATACCAATCAAACAGACCACAACGTACCAATAAAATATGAAATAACAGTTGTACAAGAATTAGCCAGATATGGCTGTGAATGAGCGAGGTAGTAATCAATATACTGGGTATAACTCAAGAATGGTAAAACGTATAATAATAGTTTTGTTGTAACGTGTGAAACTCCGCCTGTAGCTCTTATAGGGTTACTGCCGGTCCCAAGCCCGGGTAAAGGAGGAGGGTTGGGCATGGGGTTAGCGTCCCCATCCCGCAGAAAACTAACTCGCTAAAAAAACGCTAACCAGAAAAAATAATCCAAACCATTTAAACTCTGCCCTGGGAGTTAGAAGGTCTTCATTTAGAAGAATTATGACGCTTCATGGTGAAAGCCGAGTTCCTTCGGAAGCCAAGAGGCCGATGCCCCTTCTAACAACCAGAGCAAAAATTTTTATAGGTACATGGAACGTTCGAACAATGTGGGAAACCGGGAAGACCAGTCAAATAGCAATGGAAATGAGGAGATACAACTTAGCAGTACTGGGAATCAGCGAAACCCACTGGACCCAAGCTGGACAGAAAAGGCTAGCTACGGGAGAAATGCTGCTATACTGCGGTCACGAAGAGGACAATGCTCCACACACTCAGGGAGTCGCTCTTATGCTGTCCAAATTAGCACGAAATGCACTTGTAGGATGGGAATCCCACGGATCCAGAATCATCAAAGCATCATTCAAAACAAAGAAGGAGGGGATCTTAATGAATATTATCCAATGTTATGCACCCACAAATGATAGCAACGACGACATTAAAGATCAGTTCTACGAGCGGCTGCAGTCAGTTATTGAGAAATGCCCAAGGAAGGACCTAACTATTCTGATGGGAGATCTAAATGCCAAAGTCGGAATAGACAACACTGGATATGAAGATATTATGGGACGACATGGACTGGGAGAAAGAAACGAAAATGGAGAAAGATTTGCAAATCTATGTGCATTCAACAAATTGATCATAGGAGGCACAATATTTCCACACAAGCGTATACACAAGGCTACATGGATCTCACCGGACCACACTACAGAGAACCAAATAGATCATATTTGCATCAACAAAAAATTCAGAAGGACAATGGAAGATGTGAGAACCAGGAGAGGTGCTGACGTAGCTTCAGATCATCACCTAGTTGTGGCCAATTTAAAACTGAAGCTAAAAAAGAACTGGACAAGTGGACAAACAGCAATACAAAGGTTCAATACAGCCTTCCTTCGAGATACTGACAAACTCAATGAATTCAAGATAGCTCTCAACAACAGGTTCCAAGCCTTACAAGATCTACTGAAAGAAGAAGAAACTAGCATGGAGGACAACTGGAAAGGCATCAAGGAAGCATTGACTTCAACGTGTCAAGAGGTTCTGGGTCTAAAGAAATACCATCATAAGGAATGGATCTCTACAGAAACACTGGACAAGATCAAAGAAAGGAAGAACAAGAAGGCAGCAATTAACAACAGCCGAACACGAGCAGAGAAAGTCCAAGCACAAGCTGAATACATAGAAGCAAACAAACAAGTGAAGAGGAGCATTAGAGCCGACAAGAAGAAATACGTGGTAGAACTAGCAACGACGGCAGAAAAAGCTGCTAGAGAAGGAAATATGAAACAGCTTTACGATACAACGAAGAAACTAGCAGGAAAATACAGTAAACCAGAGAGACCGGTCAAAGACAAAGAAGGCAAGCCAATCACCGAAATTCAACAACAGCGGAACAGATGGGTAGAATACTTCGAGGAACTCCTGAATAGGCCGGCTCCAATGAATCCACCGGACATCGAAGCGGCACACACAGATCTTCCCATAGACGTCAACCCACCAACGAAGGAAGAAATCAGAATGGCCGTCAGACAAATCAAGAACGGGAAAGCAGCGGGTCCGGACAACATACCAGCTGAAGCACTGAAGTCAGACATCGAAGCAACTACAAACATGCTTTATCTTCTATTCAAAAAGATTTGGGAAGAGGAACAAGTGCCGATGGACTGGAAGGAAGGACACCTCGTCAAGATTCCAAAGAAAGGAGATCTGAGCAAATGTGAAAACTATAGAGGCATTACACTGCTGTCAATACCAGGGAAAGTCTTCAACAGAGTGTTGCTGAACCGAATGAAAGATGCAGTAGACGCCCAACTTCGAGATCAACAAGCTGGATTCCGTAAGGATCCATCATGCACAGACCAAATTGCAACACTACGGATCATCGTCGAACAATCAGTTGAGTGGAACTCATCACTATACATCAACTTCATTGATTATGAAAAGGCATTTGACAGTGTGGATAGGAGGACGTTATGGAAACTTCTTCGACACTACGGAGTTCCTGAGAAGATTGTCAACATTATCCGGAACTCATACGACAGACTACAGTGCAAAGTCGTGCATGGAGGACAGCTGACAGATGCATTCCAAGTAAGGACCGGAGTCAGACAAGGCTGTTCACTCTCTCCCTTCCTCTTTCTTCTGGTGGTCGACTGGATTATGAAGACCTCGACATCTGAAGGAAAACACGGAATTCAATGGACAGCTCAGAATCAATTAGACGATTTGGACTTCGCAGATGACTTAGCCCTCCTATCACGTACACATGAACAGATGCAGATGAAGACAGCCAGTGTAGCAGCAGTCTCTGCATCAGTAGGCCTCAGCATACACAAAGGGAAAACCAAAGTCCTCAAATTCAAAGCGGAAAACAACAACCCAATCACTCTTGATGGCGAAACTCTGGAAAATGTAGAGTCCTTCACATACCTGGGAAGCATCATCGATGAACAAGGAGGTTCAGATGCAGACGTAAAGGCAAGGATTGGCAAAGCAAGGACAGCATTCCTACAGTTAAAGAACATATGGAACTCAAAACAACTTTCAACCAATATCAAAGTGAGAATCTTCAATACCAACGTCAAGGCAGTTCTGCTGTATGGAGCTGAAACTTGGAGAACTACAACAACAACCATCAAGAAGGTACAAGTATTTATAAATAGTTGTCTACGCAAGATACTCAACATCCATTGGCCGGATACCATCAGCAATAGCCTTCTGTGGGAGAGAACAAACCAACTTCCAGCTGAAGAAGAAATTAGGAAAAGACGATGGAAATGGATAGGACATACATTACGCAAATCTTCAAACTGCATCACGAGACAAGCCCTAACTTGGAATCCTGAAGGGAAGCGAACAAGGGGAAGGCCAAAGAACACATTGCGTCGGATAATAGAAGCAGATATGAAAACGATGAATTACAACTGGAAGCAGCTAGAAAGGATTGCCCAGGACAGGGTTGGATGGAGAATGCTGGTGAGCGGCCTATGCTCCTTCACGAGGAGTAACAGGCGTAAGTAAGTAAGTAAGTAAGTGTAACGTGTGAGACTGCAGGTTATGGAGCAGCGTTTTATTGATCGGTTACAGTGACACGTAAACACGTACGAACGACCTAGTGTCCTGATTGGCCCTGCTTCCCCGTCTATCACAGCCAGTTGAATCCAGAACGAAAGTCACAGCCTCTGAGATATGAATCATTATATTTCAAACACAATCTGCTTATATACTAACCAAGCAGACCACATCGTACCATAAAAATAGAAAACAACATTTACACAATATTAAACAAGTGAAGCAAATATCGACCAATAGGGAATGTACATTTAGCGTCTAAGGACAACATTAGACTTAACATGATAACTATTGGTATATTTTTCTGCACATCCTAACAAGTTTATGGGCCAAAATAAAGTTTATAATAAGAGGAATATGAATATGCACAGTTTAGTTACTTAATAATTATACAATAGATATGTACGTTTAGTATTGGTCCATCAACAAATCCCAAAAGCTACCATCCATTATTCTTGTCGGGACATAAAATCCTCACAGATTTGCACAGATATGCATCGGTTCAAGTTGCCATACTTCATTAGCACAACAAGATGAACATCTGATTCATATATGTAGTTACTTCAATGATAGTAATACATTGAAGAAAGTTTTCTTATTAGGATATAATACAGAAAAGAAAACAGCAAACTAGAATACATATTCATACGGCATATGAATAGGCATATGATTTCACAATCATTATTCTTATGTTTCATTTGTTTACATGTTTATATTCTTATCAACTCGTAGTCTTTTATAACTTGCTCATAAATGGATTTTATCACAGTCGAACGTATTGTATTTTGAACTGATTGGACATTTAGACTTAGATCACATTAGTTATAAAACATGTTCAACACATTGCCGTAACATTCACTCAAGTATATGTTCCAAACAAACTCTCACTATGTATGACTAATACAGTAATTCATAAAGAAAGCTGAACTCATCAGGTGCTTATTAACTACTTTAAGATGTTTAAAACTTGAAAGGCTTAAAATCAATCACATTAGATTTTAAAACTACAACTACATGTCCACTATCAACCAGAGGATTAGAAACCATACAACTTTAAATGATATGCAGTTTTAGTGTGAAGTTTTATAGAATAATTTTGGACATATGAATGTGTAAGGTGGTAGTTGGAAAAAGTCTACAAAAAATCCCTGTACTTAAGTTATATGCTACTCGTCAGCAAGGTGTATATATTGATTTGATGGGACAGATGTTCCCGCTAACCAGCACGTTATATCACAACATAGTGCATGCGATAATGGTTTAATTGCAACTTGATCGATAAAATGTGATGAGCACTAAAATGAATTCGCCATACATGGCATTGTTTGCTACCCAGAAACCGATAAATAGTAAAACTATGAAAATGTGATAATCATATAATTATTCGATCTAATCACTTTCAGTATTTATTTATTTTAACACATAAATATTGGTACAAAAAGGCACCAAATACATATGTGCCACACAAATGTCATTTGATATGTGTGAAGGCTGTGATACTCCACGGGTGCCTAGACCGAAGCAGGTGGTTTACTTAGGGGGTCACACCTCGAGCCTTTGACCTAAAGGTCTGATCCACAAGGCAGTGGGGCATCGTGAGAAGATGCAGTCCCATGGTAGCCGGTGGCCAACGATTGGTTCATACGCTATTTGTTCTCTCAGGATACTTGAGCCTATGTGCACCATTGATTTGGGGTCCGGTTAAAGCGCTGGACATCCGCTTTTCGTCCTCTCATTTTCGTAAACAACACCCCCGTCACGAGAAGGCAGTGAGTAGGACTTCCCTGGCAGAGGCTATATACGCGTGGCCGTGTGAGAGCGTTTCGAGAGGGCGAACGGACTCTCCCGACTCACGGCCGTACCAGGGTGTTTTGAGGCATCACTTTCAGTAATTCCGTTCAACATATAAAAGCGATCAGATGATCATATATAGCATCTAATTGCCCTGAGACGGCCGAGAGTGAGGAGAGTCAGCTCTCCCTTGAAAAATGCCCTCACATGGCCACGTGCATACAACCACTGCCAAGGAAGTCCTATTCACTACTTTCATGTGGCATTACTGTTCTTTACCAAATTGAGATGACAAAAAGCGAATATTAGGCACTTTAACCGGGTTGTTGGACACGGAGTGTCCACCTAGGGTAGTTGGAAATCCCTGATTCCAAAACAATGGTGTTCATGGGCTACAGGATCCTGAGGGAACAAATGGCGTCTGAACCAATCGTTGATGACTGGCCTCCATGGGACTGCATCTCCTTACGTTGCTCTACTGCCTTGTAGATTAGATCTTTAGGTCAAAGGCTTCGGTTGTGGCTCCCTAAGAAAACAAACTGTTTCGGTTTAGGCACCTGGATAGTACCCCATCCCTCACGCAAATCGAATGATTTATCTGGCGCATATCTATTTGGTGAACCTTTTTATCAATATTTCTGGGTTTAAATAAATAGATAAAGTTCATGTATAACTAATTTTAAAAACGAATAATCTATGGGTTGGTGAATGCTGGTCGGGGTGCCTATGCTCCATTGAGAGTAACCGGCATAAATAAGTAAGTAATTTGTGAAATAAAATCAACATATTTTTCAAGAGAAAAGATAATATCAGAATGGGCTTTGTGGAGATTTTTTGAAATTTCACTGGTTGAGATCATGAGTGAATTGAAGCTAGACCACCATAGAAAACCTGGAAGCACTTGACGGCTGTTTCGTCCTGGTATGGGACTCCTTAGCAGTGCGCATCCATGGTTTCAACCAGCGAAATTTCTGAAAATCTCCACAAAGCCCATTCTGATAATAATAATCACTTGCTAACTAGTGACTGACTTCAAGAGATATTCCTGGAGTTCAAGTGAGAAGCCGTTACCAGTGGAGTTCAACCAGGTCTGTTGTAAGATATCAACTCACTGACGACAATGGTGTAAGGTGGCGCAACTTAGTAGATTGGTTGGAGTTGAAAATTAACACTATTGGATACCGGCCGGCCCAGTGGTCTAGTTGGTTAAGCGCCTGGCGCCAGACTGATATGTCCTGTGTTCGAACCTCGCGGGGTGCTAGATCGTGGATGCGCACTGCTGAGGAGTCCCATACTAGGACGAAAGGACCGTCCAGCGCTTCCAGGTTTTCCAATGTGGTCTATCTTCAATTGACTCATGATTTCAACCAGTGAAAAAAATAACATATGAACTCACCGCCACCATTTTTATAACATAAATATGGAAATCTCCACACATTACCAAGTCCAATTGAAAATCCTAAACATGCAATAAGAAAATCAATTTTTCCTTTCCAATAATCTCGTTTAATTACTTTCTCTTCTGTTATATGATTTGAAAGTTTATCAACTATTTCAATAGATTGTACCTCTAATGTATACAGTTCATTAGGTTTATTATGATGATGATGATGATGATGACTATCCACTGATAGATGTTCACAAGATGACATAATTAATTGTTGTTAAGGGGGATTCATTTCTATTTAGATAATTCGATCAAATGTGATGTATGCTGAAGTGAAAAAAAATCTTTTTTTTTGTTTTTTTGATTGTTGAAAGAAAAAAAGAAAAAAAAGAAAACAAATCAAACATTAGCGAGTATTTTTCGATTAGAAACAAAATGTTTATATATGTCTATCATACAACACTTACACCACCACCAACATCACCACCACCACAACAACAACTACAACCAAAGAAAAAATCAATAAACATGGTAATGTCATGTTATGTAATATATTAACCAATTAAATCATAACTAATTAACTAATTTCTTAGCTCAGCAACCAGTAGAAGTTATCATTATTATTATTATTATTGATTAATAACATTCATCAAGTGATAATATTGTTACTATGTACAGACCCATATAAATATATCTATATAGAATGTTAATGAAGCTGATCATTAAAATATGGAATTAAAAGGGATTATATTTCTCCTTAGCTTATTTTTTTCATTTCTAGTTGACCGAATGTCAGTGATATACTGTCTAACCATTAATTTTGATTGATTTCTATCGATTAAATTGTTATGTAATGATTGAATTAAATGACCCAACCTTATAGTTTATTTGATTTGTTCTCTGATGATTGAATGATTGATTGACTTTTATACATATTAATGATTATATAACATTTGTTATCATCCAATGATTAATAAATGAATATAGATATCAGTCATACAGAAGATCAATCATTACATAAACACCTCACTGGGAATGTTATCAAATTACTTCGATGATCCTTGGTTCATGACATTCCCATCTTATAAGTGCTTTTTGTAATTGTTTGGCTATCATTAGTGAAACTCCTTATATTTGTACAGCATTTTGTTCTTCATAGCCGGAGTATGACAGAAGCTCTCCCGAAGCACGACTTTCAAGCACCTCCAAGCTGTAATTTTTCATTTCTGCAGCAACTTAAATGAATCTCCCGGTCTCCAACATTGTAAGAACGTTCTATGTACATGAATTAATGGTTTCTCTGGTTGTCAGAAGGGGCATCAGACTCGCAACTTCTGAAGGAACTTAGCTTCCATAACTCTTCTAAATGAAAAGTTTAAATGGTTCGAATTATTTTTTCTGGTTATCGCTTTTAGCGGGTTAGTTTTCTACGGGATGAAGTCGCTAGCCCTAAACCCAACCTTCCACTTTTTTCTGGGCTTGGGACCGGCAATAGTTCTAGAGGACCTCCAGGCGAAGTTTCCACATCACAGTCGATACAATTTATTTTGTAGATGATATCGGACTTGTCCTATTGCGCCCTTGTATCTTTTGGTTCACATGAAATGGATTCACTGTTTCGGTTTTTGGGTGACACTGATCTCAAAGCCTTTTTAAAATTTTTGTAAAATTTCCACAGTTGTTTTCACAGATGGTAGGTTCATCCTTTTCCTAAATTCTGGGGTTGATATAGTGATAGTAATTTCAGCTACAAGAAACTTTTCGATAAAATTTCTCTGATAATCATTTATACGGAGGACAGACAGAAATGCACTTCCTCAATTTTATGCATAGTGAGAGTGCTGCGATGTGTTACGGCTCGTTTTCATGGTTTCTGCATACAAATCTTTTTGTCTACCGTTTGGTTGCTTCTGTTGCAATTTAGTATTTCATCACTATTGCTTGGTCACTAGAACAGACTGATTTACGATTATTAGAATGACTAAGAACTTCACTTCTACATAAAGTAGACATGAATGATATTGTCCAGTACGGCAATAAAAGCTCTGCAGATAAACCTAGCTCGGAGGAATCATCAATGCCGAAGTCTGTAATTGCATGTTAGCGTTCATATTCACATGGAGACTATGAACTATAACCCATCAATTCAATATCATTTCCAGTTTATCTAGTTACACGGATAAATTAGTTATCATTAAATGCATGAAACATAGTCAGACTGCACCAAGTATTAGTTGGATTGTGTCGTTACAAGACATTTCAAACTTGACTGAATGGCTCAACCATAACTTTCTTGTTCGAGAAATAGAGATGTTATAGGGGATGTTAAATCTCCAGAAATCACTTGATAAACGTCTCATTTGTGTAATTTTATTTTGGAAACTTCAATTTCTCAATTTCGCGCCAAAATAGCACACTTTTACCTTCAGTTTGTACTTCCCTGTCATTAGTTCGTTTCCTCTTTAAATGTGTTACTTTGTGACGTTTTCAAGGGAGATTCTGACACTGTATATAAATACTCACGAGTTGTGTGCTTGTTCGTTCATGCTTATGGAATATACATTTCTCGCTAATGAATCTGTTCTTCTCCATCTAAATGACAGTGCTGGGGCTCAGCGGAATAGTTTACCTTTTCCCGTTGTTGTGTTGCCGACTTTTTTTCGATCTCCTGATTTCGGTGATATCATAATCGCTCCAAAGGTAGCAGATGTACTCTTGAAAAGATTCGAAATTAACTGTTGAGTGATCCCATATTCTCTACCACTTTTTTTGCTTCTGGTGGTCGGCTAAATTATGAAGACCTCGACATGTGACGAGAAGCACAAAATAAAATGGACAGATCAGGATCAACTAGAAAATTTGGACTTTGTAGATGACCTGGCTCCTTTATCCCATACACATCAAATTTAAGTCAACACAATCAACGTTGCAGACGTTTCTGCATCAGTAGGTCACAACATCCTCCATTACAACTCAAAGAACATCAACAAACTCAATCACACTTCATGGAAATTCAGGAACAGGTGGAAAATCTTACGAACCTGGACAGCAGTATCATCGATGAGCAAGGAGGATATGATGCAAACGTAAAAGCTAGGATTGTAGTAGTACTCACAGTATTCATACAAATGAAAAACATATTCAACTGAAGACAACTATCTTTAAGCCAACATCAAGGTCATAATCTTCAATACAAACATCAAAACAGTCTTGATGTACGGAGTTGAAACTTCGAGAACAACCACAACAATCATTTGAGACCCGATTATACTTCTTCCAAATCATTCCTTATTTAACCAGAATTATTTAATTAACAACTTCAAACATAATATTCATATTTATTGATTTTTGTTTTATTGAGTTACATAAAACTACTTGAATTCTATTTGCACGTATCTATTCACTTTATTGTTTTGTTTGTTTTGAACCAACGTTTACTTAATCTATAATTTAAAATATAAAACATGAATTATAAGAGTATTACTTAATGTATCAAGAAGAAAGTTCAGGCGTTCTATTATAATAACTAAGCATCTTTCGTTTTCATGTTTGATTGGTGCTTTTCTTAGCAAGATTTTGTCTATGGTATAAAGTTGCTAACCTTATGCCCAACCCTTCTCCTTTAATTGGGTTGAGGATCAGTAATAATTCTAGAAGAGATACAAATGGAGTTTTCATATTATTCATTTGAAATTTATCATTAGGGTTTGTTTTTCTTTAGTAAATAATACGTTCAATGTATTTCAACTGGAAGTACATTTTGTTGAATTCAAAAGTACATTCAATGGTTTATAACTACTGATTTATCACTGAATAACACAAAAAGTGATTTTTGGCTTCAAGACGTATTTCCTGGAGTTCTAGTGAGTGGAGTTCAACCAGGTCTTCTGTGAGATAGTAACTCACTGAAGACATTAGTGAACGGTGTCTCAATTCTGTGGACTGGTTCAAGTTAAGCACTGATACCATTTTATGCCATCTCAGTGCTCTAGAGTTTAAATGCTTGCCCATGAGACCTCGGATCGTCAGTTCGAGTCCCGTATGTGGGGTTTTGGTTGTGCACTGCTTAAGAGTCCCATACTACGACAAAACTGTCGTTCAGTGCTTCCAGGTTTTCCACGGTGATCTAACTTTAATTGACTCACTAAACCAACTATTAAAAGTAGTGAATCTGTCAAAAAATAAAAAAAGATTAAGACTATCGTATTCAGCAATTTACAGATCGGTTCAATGTACATAAACTTTACTTAACCAAATGGTTCCGTTTAAAAGTAAGATTAATTGTAATATTACATTTAATCAGAGATTTACATCAGTACTTCAGTTATACTATACCTAAAATATATTAATTGTACTCGCTCAAACACCAGTGACTTACCGTGCTATCTGTTGTCAATTAAATTTATTTGAGAGTACATTATGTATACACAATAAATTGTATGCTAATAATAAAAAGATTATTTACTCAATAGTTGAATTCATGAGTCAATTGAAGCTAGACCACCATGAAAAACCTAAAAGCACTGGTCGGCTGTTTCGTCCTATTGTGGGACTCCTCAGCAGTGTGCATCCACGATGCTGCCTCGCGAGACTCGAGTCAAGGATGCTCGAACATTTAACCTCTAGACCATTGATCCAGCATTATTTATTTATTTTGATTAGAATTTGATATAGATTATGTAATAATAATTTATATTGATCAAACGAATTAATGAAGATTATATCACATAAGTGACAATCAATCACATAAAGTTGTATATTTCAAATGTTCTTCACAATCTGTTTCACTGTTGGTAAGTTAACTAATGATTACCTAATCCTTTTTGTCTCATACAATCAAACTGACCTATAAGATAGAATTATATATAATCAATTTCATAGAGATGAATGGGAGATTTATCCTCTTCTATTCAGTTATCATTTGTTTTCATCTAATTTATATTCAATATAGAATATTTCACTAAAACTAAAAGTTTCTTTATCACTACTGACCTTATAAAAAAACGGTAAATCTTTATTTACGTTATATGTGAACACTTATGCAGAATATTTGTCAATTTCAAACATTGATGTGTACTAAGATGATCATTACCATATAAATGCACATGTGAAATAAGTGACTGACCTGCTATAGTAGTAGTAGTGTGTGCTACTTATATTGACATGAGTAGTAGATGATGTCAGTCGTGAACAGAATGTCTGGCAACAGAGAGACAGGAGGATCGAACAGTAAAGAATGGAAACCGAATGCAATTTGTATGAAAAGACAAGAACAATGAAGTCTGAGTCATTTGGAGACAATTGATGGACATTTTGCAAATTAAGCTCGCGCGCGAAGCCAGTAGGTCCTGGGTTCGGGCCCCGGGTGGTGCGGG